GGGAAGAAAACAAGCAAAGGGGAGCCCAGAAAGGGCTGCTTCTTCTTCGGCTTTGTTGAAAGCTCCCCAAGGCGTTCTGCCCGCTCCCCTAAGCCACAGGGCGCCTGGCATGCACTCTGGCGCTGAGCTCACAGGCTCAAGATGCTCCCCCCCCCACCAGCCTCTCTGGCCAGTAAAAAAATGTCTGGCATGCAGAAGCTCCTTCTCGCTTGCTCTCAGGGCAGCTGGAGTGATGAGAGAGTGGGAGGCGGGGTTGGCAAAGCCGGGCGGGTACCGCTCTCCCCTGGGCAATGTTCATACAAGACGTTCTCAGTTCGGCTGCCCAGGTAAGGTTGGCAAGGGCTGCTTAAGCATCCAGACGCCTTCGCTCCGTATAACTGCAGTATAACTCCTCCAACAACATTAAGTCTAAGGCAAACACCTTTATTGCAGCATAAAGTCCTCTTGTTGAGTCTGCTCTCTGCCTGATTGCCTCTCCTGGAAATTGCTATCTATGGCCCAATTTCAGACTGCTTTGCTTCACAGGTCCTCACCACCATGATCACGACGACTACTACTATTAGGACAGCCAATGCAGTCCGAGTAGGACTCAGAAGACCCGGGTTCCAATCCCTGCTCATGGGAGAAAAAAGGGCAACGGTAAACATCTCACAAACCTCGGGAGGAAAAAAACCCATCAGGAATGCTGTAAGTCGGAAGAGCCGGGAACGCAGAAAGCGACTATCACTATTTACTCTCCTAGTTCTGGGCTATAAGTAATGTTCTTCTACATCACAGGAAACTGAAGACTGAGTCGCAAAGAGATAATGCACAGAAGGCATATGCGTGTATATTTTAATATCGGGGAAGTTCTGAGTCATGTTGCAGGATGCCTCCAAAGCGCAAGCGGCGTGGAGGTGGGAAGGGAACCTCTCGCTTCCCAGATGGGTATCCACACCCACACTCAACCCTTTCCCAACCCATCAGCAAAAAATAAAAATAAAAAAATTAAATGACCAGGACTCCATAACCTGCCTGGGGATTGTGGAAGTGGGAGTGCCACGGAGCCAGAAGGCGTTGCCTTGGGGAAAGGCTGGCCCACTAGGTGTCAGGCACATGTCTAAATATTTGCCATCATCTGAGGGGTGCGGCACGGATTCTGAACCAAAAGTGTTATTATCATGGGAGGGAAACAAGGCCAACTTTAGACACACTCAGCTCCGTGCCTTGGGATTTTCTACATTCTGCTTCTGAGTGGCAAGCCTGCAGTCCTCCAAACGTCGCTGTAGGTGGAGCCCCGGCTGACTCAGGGGTCACGGATGATGGGAGCTGTAGTCCCACCAACCTCTGGAGGGCCACCTGCACCTCCTCCTTGATCTACCCGATTTCCCTCAACGTAGCCTCTGCATGAGCCCCCGACCCACACTCATCTTCAAAACGGGAGTCACCTTGCCCGCACAGAGCAGTCCCCTCTTTGAAACTATAAGACACTGGCTTCCTCCCGGCTTCAAATCTAGAGAGCATTAATGTGCAAAGCGTGATGGGTGGCCTTGGCAAAAGTCCCTCACAATCCCCTCTGAGACTTGGTGTGGGGTTCTGCTCCCATTCAAACTACATCTGTTCCTGTCCCCCAGAAATTTCAACTTTCCACCGCAGAGACTCCCTCTAGTCCATGTCAAGGTTCCATCCTGGCAAACCAGGGGACCACAAGCATGTGCAGAGTGCATTTACCTCCAGGTCTCTATTTAGGGGAAAAAAGCGAGCAAGAAAGAGAAGGAGGCAGGATGCTTTCTTACTTCCACTCCTACATCTGAAGACAGGCAGCCGATGCTTGCTTAGCGGGAGAAGGAGATGATGCATTTGGCACATGCTCAGATGCCCTCCTTTCTCTCCCCTCCCCTCTTTTATTCATATTCACCAAAGCTGAGGCACAACACTGGAAAAACACGTTCCGAAGCTGCTGATCTGAAAACCAGTTCCCCTGACCGCTGAATAATGACAGCCCTTGCGCCTTTACGCGCGATTCCGGGGCCGAGCCATTTTTACCCGGGAGTAAAGCCCCGCAGCGTCCGACAAGCGCAGGGTTTGCACCGGGGGGGAGGCGGAACTCCCACTTCCAAACCCTTCCAAAAAACAAACAAACCACGAAACCTTTAAAAACCCTCATCTCTCTTCCTCCCCCCCTCCCCACGGCCTCTGCTCCCTTTCTTTGCAACGCGAGGAGAACAATGCCTCCCCCGCGCGCCCTCGCCTCCCCCCTCAAAAAAAACCGCTTAGAACGTCGGAAACGGGCAACGCGCCTTTTTCGCACCGCTCGGCGACACGGATCCCTTCTTCCCCAAACTCTCACCTGGCCCGAAAGGGAGCCTTGCCTTCCCACCTTCGGATGGAGGCCCCCGGGACGGAGTTTGGCGGGGTTTCCTGTTGCAAAGGGCGGCTCGCGAGGAGGGGTTGGCCTGGGAAAGGAGGAGGACGGGGGGGCAGGAAGCCACTTGCATTTCCCGGATCCCTCCCAGTTTTCGTCTCCTCCTCCTCCTCTTCCCCAGTCCCTCCCCTTTCTTCTTCGAGCGCAAACACGGGGAAGAGTCTGGGTTTCTCTCTTGCAGCGCTGAAAGCGAGAAGCGCACGTCTGAACGCTCGGAATGGAAAGGGGGGAGGCTTCCCGGGGAATTCAGGGCGGGCCCCCCAAAGAAGACCCGCTCTCTGTCTCCCCCTCCCCCGGGGGTTTCGGAATGTAACGAGGAGCGAGGGACTCAACTGCAATGGGGATTTTTCCGCGTGTCAGCTGGCCGTGCTGGCTGGGTGATTCTAGGACCTGGAGTCCCCCCAAAAGTAACTTTTTCTGGCGCTGACTGTGCCCGTATTTATGCTTCTTTGCTCTGAAGTCCCCTTCGATTCATTAGTAAGGTGTGCATCTGAAAAGCGTGCGCAGTGGCGGTAGGGATCCTCCTACACGTATCTATTGGCAAGTATTAAGATTCACGGGGAAGCGCGGTGGCGGTAGGGATCCTCCTACACGTATCTTCTGGCAAGTACTGTAGATACGGAGGCACATGGGCTTGCTCTCTGGGGTGTAAAATGCGCCCAGTCCTAAATGCATTTACTTCGGAGTAAGTTTCAGTGGGACTTGCTTTTGAGTAGAAAGCCATAGGATTGCCCTGTCGCTCATAGAATCTTCCAGCTGGATCTGGACAAACACATATTATTACTATTCATCTCTTTCACTTTTTCAACACATGCAACTTTTTAGGATTAAGCAAGGATTTGAACTCAGGTCTCCACACTCTGACATGGTAGCCTTCAGTATACCATCAGCAATCTTTACTCGATCAAGAATATCGGAGACTATGGGTGTGGGGTTTTTTCCCCCCTACAACTCTCAGAATGCTGGGGGTTCTGGCCTTTGTAGTCTAAAGGAGTTACCCTTTCCAAGCTCTGCTGTAGCGGCTCATTTTTAGGGCCAAACTAGTCTTCCCACCCCCAATTTTGCAGGGAAAGAAAGAAGGGAACACTAAATTCTTGTGAAATTTTGTTTCCAATTATTAATTTGATCAATATGTTTCCCATCCATGTCTTCCATCCCCATCATGTGCCAACAAGTCAATTAGGTCTTACGGTGACCCTTCCCAGGGTTTTCCAGGTAGACAATATTCAGGAGTGGTTTACCCTTCCTTTCCTCTAGGGGGAGCCCTGGAACTGTGTGCAGCTGGCCCAAGGCTACCCAGGCTGGCTCTTCTCATTGTAGGCACAGTGGGGAATCGAACTCCCAACCTTTGGATCTGCAGCTAAGTAAAGCTGAATAGTGACTGCCTTCTCCCACCTAATTTTCCTTTTTGGTTCTCCCAACGAACACATTGGCTACCGAGCCTGCTCAATTCACAGGAAGCCGCTGGGAATTTTTATACAGACCTTGGGAAAGTTACTTTTCCAGACTCTCTCAGCTAACATGGTTTAATAGTTCAAAAAGTCATTTTCCCCCCTCATGTCCTTCCCCCCTTCCCTTTTGCCTTTTTAGTTCAGACTTCCCTACAGATTGTTCCTAGCTGAGCAAACTTCGCGGCTCCCGCACGCACGATGCGCCCTTTTGTGTCTCAGAGGCCCCGTTTTGGCTACAATCCTGCTGGCAAAGGGTCGGCGCAGAGTTTACTATTAGGAAAGACTGATTATTATATTGGGGAGTGGGCTTACATTGAAATGTAGGGTTTTCTGCATGGACTGAGATCACGCGGTAGGAATAAGGCCAGCGGTAGGATAAATCGCACACTGAGCAAAGAATGCCTTTTGTGACACACACTCTCTCTCTGCCTGCAGGGTGACCCAGGGATTTATGCAGCCTCCAAGCTTCTGCATCCTGCAACCATCCATGGGTGTGCAGGCACAAAGCATTTCACTGGTTTTTGTTATTATTTTTGCCATAGTTTTTGTCTATAGACCCCCACACGCACACCATGAGGAACAGATGCTTTTTGTGACCCTGACTGCAGGTAGGATGGGGGGGGAGACACAGAGCCCCTGAGCTCACCTTGGCCACCACGTCAACCAAACCTGGTGCAGAACCAAATGGGTGTGCAGGCACAAAGCATTTCACTGCTTTTTGTTATTATTTTTCCCATGTTTCTTGTCTGTAGACCCACACACACACACCATGAGGAACAAATGCTTTTTGTGAGCCTGACTGCAGGTAGGATAAGGGGGGGGAGACACACAGCCTGTGAGCACACCTTTGCACATCAACCAAACCTGGTGCCCCTCTCATCTTGGTACAGTGGCGCCTCGCTAGATAGTTACCCTGCATGACAGTTTTTTTTGCTAGACATTGACTTTTTGCGATTGCTATAGTGATTCGCAAAACAGTGGTTCCTAAGGGGGAATTCCACTGGACAATGTTCGGTCCCTGCTTCGCAAACCAATTTTTGCTAGACGACGATTTTGACAGCTCCCTCCGTGCTCGCAAAACAGGTGTTTTCGGGACCTAAGCTTTGCAAGACAGTGATTTAAACACCTGATCAGCGGTTCGCAAAGCGGCTTTCCTATGGCCAATCTTCGCTAGACAACGATGATTCTTCCCCATTGGAACGCATTAAACAGGTTTCAATGCATTCCAATGGGGAAAATGCTTTTCGCTAGACAATTATTTTGCTAAACAACGATTTCAGTGGAATGGATTATCATCGTCTAGTGAGGCACCACTGTATTTCAGGTGACTGCCCCACACATTCCTTCCCCGGAGAACCCTGGTTATGGGCAGAAGCAGCATGTGTGAACCTGCTATTGACGGCTTTGTGTAAGAGGGGTATCTTGGTGTGTGATTCCCAGTTCCTCATTAAAAGTAGAAGTACCACAGCTGTATGAGGGAATGGGCCTTTTCACATCTTATAGGAAGCAGGGAGGGTTATGGTGTATACAATGTATGTGCAAAACTCTACTTCCATATTCACATGGACTACAAGTACCAGGTTTGAAACTGTGTTGCATTAGATGAAACATGGAATAATAGAGGAGGCCGAAGGATGTCAGACGGGGCTGTCCCCAGTAAGGTACGTGAGATGTTGTGGCTTATTTGGGACAGCATGCATAGCCATATTTCCAAGTAGTGATCATCCCCACCCTGAAAGGCTTTAGAAGGCAACGAGGCAAATCCACAGAGGAGCACAACTCTTATCTGTGGCCCCCAGACAAGATGGCTGGACAGAACCTCCATGCTCAGGCCTAATAAGCCATTGAATATTAGCTGCTGGCCCTCAAGATGGTGCTGTTTTGATTCATTCCTGCATGCATCTCATTGCAGGAAATTAGATGCTCTGCCACAGTGTTTTAGTTCCCCAAAGATCACTAGAATGTCAGTAATGATTAGGGATCATGAGAGTGTAGTTTAATAAAGTTAGAGAACATGAGGATTGTATTACTGGCTTTACTATATAGGCTTCTAAACTGATGTTACAGAAGGGCTTTATAAAAAAAACAGTAACACAGCCAGAGTCTGATTACTGTTTGCTTAAGGCTTGCATAACTTGACATAGCTAATTGCGGCTAATTGTTGAAGTGCCTGGGTACCTCTTGGCTTTCCAGTTGGGTGCATGACCTGGCAAGTAATTGAAATTGGCAAGGGCGCCTTATCAATTGGGCACAGTTTGCTGTTGTAAGTTACACAAACTCTATGCAAATGATAACAAGATTTTGGCTTGTGTGTTGCAATCGTATGGTTTTACCTCTGCAGTAGTGGGCCGTACTGGCAAACTGGGGAATGTCACACCGACTCCACAATAACTAGGTATTTCTATTGCTGATTATGCCAAATTTTGGATATGTACAAGGAGAAAGAGGGTCAGAGTTTTTATTGAGATCTCTTCATTCTCTCTGTACTTTTCTTTATCACCACCCCTAACCCATTCCACTGCCAAGTGGCTAAAAGCAGCTAAATTAGCCACTCCTGCCTGATTATCTTCCTGGAAATTTGCACAGAAGATATTTTGAGCAGTGATGGGCTCCCTCTGCTGGTGGCATGCAGGCATTCTATCACCTTGTTTTTAAGTTCGAATTCCATCCGTTCCCAAAGTTGTAGATACTGTACTTAGTTGGTCAGAGAATTTAATTCAGGTAATTTAGTAACACAAGAGTCAAGCAATTTACCTGTGTGCGGTTTATATTTATAATGTATAATTTTGCAGACTCAGAATACTGCATTGGGCCATTATTTTTAATTTGTCTGAAGCAACATCTACTGACATCAAACTAGTTTTTCATGTGTGGGGTATCCTGTAATCGAATCTAAACACTCTGCTTGAGACTAAAAAATTGTAGGACATTGAAAAAAGCAAGCTGTCCTTGAGGGCTGATGGACAAGATCAAGGGATGATGGACAGGATCAAGCCCTACTCACATTGTTGCTACTCTAGAGTTCTTAAAGTCATTAACACAGTGTCTGATTCTAGGTGTAAATGACCTGTTTTAGCTTTATATTCAGGTCCTCACCTATTAGCCCGTGGCGTACATGCAGGTCAAGACTAGACTTCTTTTGAATCCAACATAATAAAACTAGTGATCTACTAGAGAAGGGGTACCTCTTCCCCCAGCCTCTGTGCAGAAATCAAACTATAACACTGTAGGTTTTGAAGCAGCTGCCTTAGGTCTCCTACCACGCCATTCCATGCCAGATGAAAGAACCTTTGTTTTTTATTGCATGAGGAGGACGTTGATGAAACAAATTGGTCCCTCTCACTGGGAACAAGAGTTCATTAAGTAAATGGGAAGGCAAAAAGTCATTTTTGCAACCCTTACGGATGGAGTTCTCCTTAGATATAGGTGAGAACTTAAGTTCCATTCATTTTTTCTGAGAATTTATAGAAAATTCCCAATTTTCTTCATACTCAGAAAGAAAACAGCTTGTAATTCAAACAAAATGGGAGAAAGGGGAAATGATAGATTTTGTCTCAGAGATTTGAGTATATCATTTTTAGAGATTTGAATCCCTGTAAATTTATCTGTCGTTCTGCTCAATGGTTATCACTCATATTTTATTCTAAGCATGTTGCTCATCTTTGCTCTCTACAAAGAATGTATGTTTCAAGATGCAACACGTCCCTCTCTATGCTGGGAATAAAGGTAATGGCATAGAATTTTGTTTCCGTTCCTTGTTGAAGCGTACACCCAAAATCTGCAAATGTCTTGATATTTGGGAAGGAAATAACTTGAATTTTTTAAAAAAAAAGTTGCTGAAATGGAACGGACAAGTTTTATCATCTCAGCCCTTAAAAAAGTATTATGTTGATGTTATGTTTTGATGTTGCTTCTACTTATCATTGTTTTACTGTGGTGTTTATTTGATCTCTTCTAGTATTTGTATACTTACCATTTTTAACTTTTATCTAAGCCACCTTGGCTCCTGATCTTAAGGAGAAAGGTGAGGTAGAAATGTTTCCAATCTAATAAAATTAATGTTTCCTGGACCTATTTGCAAGACTGTCTAATCATGATGTTTCCATTTGTGTTCTTCTCCAATTGAAGATGAAGAGTTTTTAATCTGACCTCAAGCATTTTTACGTGCATTCATAATTATCATCCACCAAAGAATCATGAAATGGGAATTTAGGTCCTTACCTCTGTTAACTGTGTTTTTTTCTGAGCACATTTAGTTATACAGGAGAACGTATTGTGCATCTTCTAATCCTGGCCACATTATTATTTTTAAAATATTTTCTGGATTACTTTTCTGTTTTAAGGAGTTTTGTAATCCAGGGTCATTTGCCAGTGTAGAATTTGCATCATTTTTAGTCAAGCCACCCCATCCCACCCACACACCCTGTACTGTGGAACCAAAGAGAGGACAGGAAATATGTGCAGTGCCGTCAGAAGAGGGAAAAAAGGAACCTAGAACGATAAATTCAAATCTGTCTTATCAAGTTGGCAAATTTCTCAAGTCCTGTTTGCAAAAAGGAAAAAGCTGTATGGATGATCACTTTTTTTAAAAAAGGAAGTTCTTCTGAGTGAAGGGGAAAATTTCCATACCTGCTATTTTTAGACATTTCAGAAGCAGAAGAGTGGAAAGAAATTAAAATGTGCAGTTGATTGGTTAATCAGTCTTAATCACCTTTTCTATCTAGGTAGCAATGTTCTCTGTTTAGCTGGAGCAATTCTAATTTTCATGTGCAACCTCTTTCAGTTAAAACATTTTGTATTTTATCTCTGTTTTGTCACTGGCTTTTCTTTTTTCCTTTCTTTTCTTTTTCTGCATGTTATTCTTATTTTGCTATATAGATTTCCTGGGAGTAAGCTCCGGTGAAGACAATGAGGTTTATTTCTAAATGAATATGAACTAACCTACTCAATGAGTAATGAGGTTCGGCTGTTCCTGTTCTCTGCCATGGTGGCATGTACTTGGGGGAAAAACTACATTTAGGATGGAATATGATTCGAAGAGAAAGTTCCTTAAGTGCTGAAAACAGCTGTTTGTCACAGCAGGAGCTTTTCACGCCCCCTGTAGTTTACAAATTAGTGTGCTTTGTTTTATGGTTGGACACTGAAAGGTAACCATAGCCTTTGCAAATATCATTGCTCAGTCACGAAGCTCTGCCATCTAATGTCTGTGGGGCATGAATCAATGTTGGCTTCTAACAACCTGTTTCTGCAACATGTTTATTATTTATTTAATTTGTTTGTTTAAAATAGGTTTATCCCATTTTTCTCCTTAAAAGGAACTCAAACCGACACATAGTTCGCACTAAAGAATGCCGTCCTAACACCTGCCTAAGCTACTCCAGAAACCTCCATATTCCCCTGAAAAACCCTACAACTGTCGGAAGAATCGTTGGTGGCCTTTGGGTTGGAGTCAAGTCAGAAAGTCTTAGTTAGGTTAACCGGGGTGGACTTAGTTCCTCCACGTCCAAAGTCTCCTTACTCCCCCATTCCCACCAAAAGACATCAAGTTGGGTCTGGTATTGTTGTTCTTTAGTTGTTAAGTCATGTCTTACTCTTCGTGACCCCATGGACCAAAGCACGCCAGGCCCTCCTGTCTCCCACTGCCTCCCGGAGTTCTGTCAATTTCATGTTGGTTGCTTCGCAGACACTGTCCAGCCATCTCATCCTCTGTCGTCCCCTTCTCCTCTTGCCTTCACACTTTCCAAACATCAGGGTCTTTTCCAGGGAGGGATCTGGCATTAGGCCCCTCTGACGTTGGTGTAATTCTTCCTTGCTTATGCCAGTTTGCAAGACTCAGTTTTCCAAGTACCCCACAGGCGTCAGGGACATGTAGACCCTCTCCTTCCACCTCCTCCTCCAGCAAGCGCTAAGTGGCTTTCAGAGTGCCAGATGTTCTCCGGGAAAGGCTGGAAAAGTAATTTTTTTTTGACAACAACCCCCGGAATACACATGCTAGAATTACCATAATTTATGCCATGGAGAGGGATATGTGTGCCATACTAGGAATTACAATTCAAAAAATCATTTCTCAGAGGTCTGCTGTCTAGCACATCCAACATCATATAACCAAATTATAATTATCATGTCCCATCAAGTCCATTCTGAGATACGGTGACCCTTCGCAGGGTTTTCTAGGTAGAGAGTACTCAGAAGTGGTTTCCCCTTCCCTTCCTCTAGGGGGCGTCTTGAGACTGTGCAGCTTGCCCAAGGCCACCCAGGCTGGCTGTTATCTCAAGAGGCCCATTGGGGAATCGAACTCTCAGCCTCTGACATTGTAGCCAGATATCGAAACTACCAAACTACCCAGCCAGGTTCATATGACCGACAACATGCCATTTTACATACTGTGGCGTGTTAAGTTCGTCTCGAGAATTTTTTATGGGACACTTCTTTGATAAAAGATGCTTTGATATAAGACGTGGAGTCACAAACATGTCTGCTTTCGGTTGTTGTGGGTTTTCCGGGCTCTTTGGCTTTGGAAAAATCCACAACATTAGATCCTGGCCGTGAAAGCCTTCGCAAATATGTCTGCTTTCATTTGTAATGGGTTGGAGGAGTCCCTTGCCCGTACTTTCTTCAGAATCCTAAAGGCCTCCTACTTTTTAAAAAAAATAAATAAATAGTGAAAACAGAGACTTCCGTGTGTGGTGAGAAAAAGCAAATCTCATTAGCTCAGTTGGGCGGAGCAGTGGGTAACCAGGCGCATCTCCTGGTGTCTGCCCGAAAGAGGGGAGAGAAAAAAAAACATAAACCGACGAGTAAAAACAACTCCAAAGTTTAGCAAACTCGGTTGCAACTGCATGCATGCCTACAACGAGTGGTGCTTCTAAAGAGCGGTTCTAAAGGAAAAAGAAGTCACAGAATGGATGTTACTTGGTACTGGTGCGTCTTTCTCCTGGGTCTTATTACAGGTAGGAACCAGCAGAGAGCTTGGGGACTTGCAGACGTGTAAAACAACAGCAGCAGTAAATAAAACGGAACCATCCTTAAGGGTGTGGGTAGCGACGTGGCAGGTATACGGTTGAGAATGGGTAAACTTTTTCCTCCTTAATTTAATTCCACTTCTGGAGAAGCTTCTGTGGCTTAATTAATGTCAGGCTGCTTTTAAAGGCAGAAGAACCATCCTGGCGTCTGTAAAGCCAAAAGGTGCAAGGCTCTATAAATTTAAATCTGTAATGTCACTTTTCTGGAATTGCTGGCTTCTGTAGTTTAAAAAATGTTATATTTACTAGCTCTGATTTGTAGCACAGGGGATGTGGGTCCCTCCAGATAGTCTTTGGAGGCTGGACCTTCATTCACCCTTGGATGCTGGACCTGCTTCCTGTATTACAGTTGGATCATATGATCATTTCTCTTTGAACCCTATGATTTTATGGACAGCTGTTTGAGGAAGCAATAACTACACTCAATATGTACCATCTAGCATTAAAGTATGGAGAGAATGCAGAATGGGGCATTTCTGATAAGAGGCCATGGAAGATTTATTTTATATCAGAAATGTGGTTTCCCATTTTCCATATAGGTTTGGTTCTAATGTATTTGTAAGCTTTAAAGAGGGCTAGGAAGCCAAGTTAAAAAATTTTAAGTAAAATATTCTACTAATAATTGTGTACCATCCAGTCAATTCCGACTTATGGTGACCATTTTTCTAAGTACTTGGAAGGGGTGTACCATTTCCTCCTTCTGGGAGCTTCCTGGGATTATGCAATTTACCCAAGGCTATAAAGGCTGGTTCTTCCCCTAGGAAGCAATGTCGGGAATCGAACTCCCAACCTCTGGATCTGCAGAAACCTCACTGCACTATCCAGTCAGCTGTAAGTAAAATAGCACGATGTGACAAGCAGCCACACAGAGGGAGGTCAAAAAGATGGCTCCATGGAATTAGGCATTTTTGATCATGTTCCCCAATCCCTGGAACAAATTGCCAACAAACTAGGTTATTTCTGCCTAGCTGCTGTTTAGGAATCTGGTTGTAGAGCCAGAAGTTGTGAGTTTGATTCCCCAGCTGTGCCTCCTTGACATGGGCTGGACTCAATTATCTTCTAGCTCTGCAGTTCTAAGATTTGTTGTTGTGATGTCAGGAAATTACTAAAGACAGAATTATTTAAAGCTGCCCTTAACAACTAAATCTCCTGGATGCTGTTAATTTTGTTTAGTACGTATTTTAGACTTTATAGGGTTATTTATATTTATGATTTAGTTACTGTTTATGTATTGCCATATTGTTTTTGAATGTATGCTATTATGTGGAGTCTTGTGGCTTTTAAACCTATAAACTGCCCGGAATAGTGTTTTCACTAATGGGGGCAGCATATAAATCAAATCGAATCAATGAAAGTAAGCTCCACTGTATTCTTTTGGACTTAATCTAAGGTTACTGAGTATAGGGCTGCAGACTTTAATGTGAGTTCTCTGCTTGAATCTAGAAAGTATTAAAAATGTCAAGAGGCTTAAAGAGAAAAGCTGTAAGAAAAGGCAGTTTGGATTAAACAGGTATAAATTCAGCTATCTCATTTTTCCTCCCAGGTAGTTTTGGTTCCAGCTGGCTGGATAATTCACTGGTATTAGGTCTGCAGTTTTGGTTCCAGCTGGCTGGATAATTCAGTGATTTAGGTCTCCGGTTGTCAAGCCAGAGTTCAGGAGTTTGATTCCCCACTACAATAAGAGCCAGCCTATAGCCAGAGGTTGGGAGTTTGATTCCTCACTACATTAAGAGCCAGCCTGTGTGGGCTTGGGCCAGCTGTACACTCCCAGGGCGCTCTCTTGGGCCAGCTGTACACTCCCAGGGCGCTCGCAGAAGGGAATGGTCAACCACTCTTGAGTATTCTTTGAAAACCCTGGAAAATTGAAATGGACACCGAATGGTCAACCACTTTTGAATATTCTTTACCTCGAAAACACTGGAAAGTTGAAATGGACACTATATAATACATACATAGTTTTGGTTCCAGTATTTTATTATGCTAGGAGACAATGTTAGAAGAAATGGATCCTTCCTTGCAGGTAAATGACACTTGTGGGGAAGGGGAGGCTGTAACTCAAGGACAGAGCGTGCTAACGGCTCCAGGTTCAATCCCTGTCATTGCCAGGTAAGACTGGAGCCTACATCTGAAGCTCTAGAGAGATGTTGCCAGTGAGACTGCCAACAGGATTGTGTGCATGTGTCTGTGTATTCCCTCCGTAGGTAGGAAATCTGTGGATTCTTGCTCCCGTCAGTTCTAGCCAACATAGTGAATCATCAAGGATTATGGAAGGCCAGCACTATCTAGAGAATCACATATTCCATACCACTTCTGTCCTATATTCCTGCATTCCTCAACATCTCATAAATGGTGGTATTAAGATCTTGGTAGCGTGATAATCTGTTTAATCCTATATGTCCAACTAAAAGATGTTCAGCCAGTTAAATACTTTTTATTGCATTGATGACTTTAACTATAACCTTCCCTATATCCTTCAAATGCAGAGACCCCATCCCAGATTATGTCTACTGCATCTAATGTGACGGATAATCCTTGGAACTCTTTAATGAGTTTGCATCATAACTGATCCCAACATTTAAAAGCCAGTTTCTTCAGATAGGGTGAGGAGACGGCCATTTATACAAAAGGGGGGAGGGTATAAAAAGAGGATGGAAATGTGAAGATGCAAGATTGAGGTGGTCTGATTAGTAGTTATTAATAGCCCTTGGGATTTGACACATAGAGATCTTAATAGAAATCATTAAGAGTTGTTTAGTGGTCATTGGTGCATGAAATGTTGATATACTGTAGGTATATCAACATCTTAATAGAAATCATTAAGAGTTGTTTTGGTGGTCATTGGTGCATGAAATATATGTCCAGACATACTGTAGGTATATCAACATAAATGTCAACATCTTTGCCAATATCTATTTCAGAATCAATATGGATAAATAGGCAGACAGAAGGGGTGGGGAACATGTGGTCCTTTAGATATTTTTGGACTACAGCTCCCATTGGCACTAGCCAACACAGTCAGCAACATCTGGAATGCTAAGTATTTCCCATTACCAGTATATATCCACCAACATATTCACCTATGGCAAGTAGGCATTTCCTGTAGGCGACCCAACAGAGTTTTAAACTGGATGAGAATCTGCTCTCTTTCTCTTCTCTTGTGATAGGATTCAGATTACGAAAATTACATAACTGCTGGGCATATAAGTAGTAATGCCGCAAACCCTACTGGGTTTACACAGCACACACCTGAAATCACACTACTGTTGTGTGTAATTGTTCTGGCTGGCTGTCACATGCTTTGATATACTCAGATCATGCATTTGGTTGTGCCCCCAACACAACAGCCAGGCAGAAGAAAAATTGTGAAAGCTGGTTGCAGAATTTTTCTTATACATGTGATGTTTTGTAAGAGAACTTTGGTCAATTTTGGGGGGGAGGTCTAACAATTTTTAATACTAGTTTGTTATCAGCCTTGCTGCACATTCTTGTCAAACGACAATGCCCAATGCGTTCAGAAGTGTTTAGATTGTAAGACGACATGAAAGAAATTGTATTGTATTCCGTGACACACAAGGTGTTCAACCCCACCCAATAAACTTCCTTCCCAAGAACCATCACCTATTTTAGCATACCCTAGGGACAAACAGACCAGCATTATAAAGTTCCTCTTAAACAAGTTCTTCTCGTCAAGGTCTCTTAAAATCTGCCGCCCCCCCAGAAGGTGGTCGGTAAATTTCCCTTTTAAAAAAACCTCTTCTGTTTCCTGTCAACAGGGGCAGGAAAAAGGGAACTAAAACCAGCACAGAGCCCTTAAGGGATGGCGGGGTGCATTAAGCGGTGATGTGGTTCACTACCTTAACCGGCAACTGTGGAGAAAGAACTAAATAGCTTGTTACTGGAAAGGAGATATAGTATATATTCGTTTTTATCATTTTATTCTTTTGTCACAAGTATCTGCCTATCATGGGGAAATTCTGCCACTAACTGCATTTCTGAAACTGTAAGATCAGGGCTGTTCAACATTAGGAAACATATAGCTGTCAGAGAGATAGGGCTGGCTGGATAGCTCAGTGGTTTAGGCATCTGGCTATGGAGTCAGAGGTTGGGAGTTCAATTCCTCACTGGGCCTCCTGGGAGTAGAGCTAGCCTATGTAACCTTGGACAAGCTGCAAAGCCCCAGGGTGCCCCCCATAAAGAAAAATGGTAAACCACTTCTGAGTACTTTCCACCTGGAAAATCCCCAAAAGGTGCTCCGTCCCAGCTCCCGCCAACCTAGCAGTTCGAAAGCATGCAAAATGCGAGTAGATAAATAGGTACCATCTTGGTGGGAAGGTAAACAGCGTTCCGTGTCTAAATCACACTGGCCACCTGACCACAGAAAGATTGTCTTCGGACAAACGCTGGCTCTATGGCTTGAAGAGCGGGATGAGCGCCGCCCCCTAGGGTCGGACACGACTGGACAAAAATTGTCAAGGGGAACCTTTACCTTTTTTTTTAAACTCAGAATTGACTTGAAAGCACATTATTATTATTAAGTCAGATAGAACATACAAAGTTATCTTACATCATGTGAGTTTATAAGTCCATCTAGTAAACTCAGAATTGACTTCACAGCACATGATTATTATTAAGCCAGATAGAACATACAAAGTTATCTTACACCTCGTGAATTTATGAGTCCATCTAGCCCAGCATTACCTCTTATTGGGAATAGTTCGCAAAGCCAATTGTATTTGTTTAATTTAATACAGTGGTGCCTCGCTAGACAATGATAATCCGTTCCACTGAAATAGCTGTTTAGCGAAATCATTGTCTAGCGAAAAGCATTTCCCTATTGGAATGCGTTGAAACCTGTTTAATGCGTTCCAATGGGGAAGAATCGTCGTTGTCTAGCGAATATCGGCCATAGGAATGCCACTTTGTGAACCACCGATCAGCTGTTTAAATCACTGTCTTGCAAAGCTTAGGTCCTGAAAACACCTGTTTGCGAGTGTGGAGGGAGCTGTCAAAATCGTCGTCTAGTGAAAATGGTTTTGCGAAGCAGGGACCAAACATTGTTCAGCGAAATTTCCCCATAGGAATTACTGTTTTGCGAATCGCTATAGCGATCGCAAAAAGTCAATGTCTAGCAAAAAAACCTGTCATGCGGGGTAACTGTCTAGCGAGGCACCAGTGTAATATTGTTAATCCCCCTTTAACTCTTTCCCTCAGAGGAAGGTGAAATTAAACAAATAACATACAACATTGGGGAACACGTGCCCCCCCCAATGTTGTTGGGCAACATAATTTGTCATCTCTAATCAGAATAGCTAATGGTGGAACTTTGAATCTGCCAGCCACAGAGGTTGAGATCCCTGGGGAAATTTTGTTTCTGTTTTTTTTTTTAATGACCCCTCTTATTTGTAGTGTTCACAGATACTAAAAAGTTGGAAGACTCTAGACTTTCCAGCCATGTCTTCCCTGTACCATGAATGGCTGGCCTGAGAATATGGTTCTGTATGTAATGTAATTTATAACACACAGTGGTTTGCTGTAAAATAGTACAAATACATTACATTAAAATGAACAGTCAGAATAATATTGGTGTTCAGAGAAAGCTTATGTAACTCCTTATGGCTAGCTGTTGCTAATTCATATGATGCTCAGGTACAGCTAAGTCACATGTCCAACTGACTGCAAAAAAAGAGAAGCCACCTGGAGCCTCATGAATTAGTTGCAATTAGCCATGGCAAGTTACTCAAACTACTCAAATAGCAATATGACTCCAGCTGGTAAAAGCATACAGAAATTAAAACAATTAAAAGACACACCAGTAACAGAAAAATAGAGCATCTAGTCGAAAACACCTTCCATTACTAAAGGCCTGCCCGAGTCAAATGTTATTGCTTGCTGATAAAAAGATAGCAGTAGATTACTCCTGTACTTCTTATTTTTGTATCTAAAATGTGTGTATACCTACTGCTTTTAATCTGTTAAATATTATCTTTTACTGATGTAAGTGGCCTTGGGTCCTTTTAATGGAGAAAGGTGGGATGACAATATTTTAAATAAATATTACATAGCAAAATATTCTTGTTTCTCCTGTCCTCAGGTCATATTGATGGGATCCAGGCCGCCGATGCAAATGAAACCACGTCAACAGGAGACCAGCTCAGTTCATCGGATGATTATGGTGTAGCCACAGAAGCCACGATGAGTGCAAGGGTTGTCACCATTGAGGCTTCTGTGGCTCCACCGCCAAAAGCTGAGAGTCAGGCCCGTGTTCAAGTGTCGGTGGGATCCGTGCCTCCCTCCCGTATCATTTTGGAAGGTTCCGACACCTTTTTGGAGTGCAGGTTCAGCCCACCAGAGGCCAACGTCACCTGGAGGCGATCTTCTTCTGACTGCAACAGAAGCTGTGATGTAACGGCTGACCAGCATCGGAATATTTTAGTGGACCGCAGGACTGGGTTGTCAAAACTCTCGTTCTTTCCAGCGGAAAAGAATCACACCGGGATGTACTATTGCGTTGTGTCTACGGAGAATGGGCACAAACAGTCCTGTGGCACGTACCTCTGGGTCCGGAGTGAGTACTAGCTTTGTGACCATCTGGTTTGGGATCGGGATCGCTGTCAAGGAATGGGGGTGATGTGGAATCTGTTGGCCTCGGTGCTATCAACTCATTGTGCTCAGAAGTCATTAGGGCTCGTTAGGGCTCAACATCAGCCCCAAGCTGAGTCCCTGTGATGCAAAAATAACTAGAGTAGGGTGGCGTGAATCAGTGGCACTTACAGTGTACCCTCGACTTATAGAATTAATCCGTATTGGAACGGTGGCTGCAGGTTGAAAAGTCTGTAGGTGGAGGCTCCATTGACCTACAACGCATTGAAAACCGATTAATTCCATAATTGGCCGTTTTGGTTCCATTTGGGGGTTTTTTCCCAGTCTGTAGGTCGATTCTCCGGCTGCAAATCGAACCTAAATTTTGCAGCCAGAGAAGTCTGTAACTCAAAAAGTCTGTAGGTGGTGCCGTCTGTAAGTCGAGGGTCCACTATATGGAGGAGCTGAATCACCAAGTCCCCAGAGATTCAGTGAGCCCACCAGAGTTTGAACTACTACACTAAGCCACAGCATTTCGGACACTGGGTTCTGTTTGCATGTTGGTTTTACAAATGTGGAGATTTTTAAGATGTGATTGTGGAGCTAGATTCCCATTGTCTCCCAATAGTGAAGCTCCCCATAACTTGTTACCTCTCTTATTATATACATTGAGTTAATGGAAGTGTAAGAAATTTGCTGTATCATTTTCAGAGCATAGGATCGTCTTTGCATTTAATTTATTTTTGGTTAAGGTCTTCCCAAACCTTTTACATGGGGTTGAAAGAGAATGATAGAGGTTTGTGATACTCTGGGGTTCCTGGATCATACTTTCTCTCTCTCTTTCTTTCTGTCTGTCACTGTCTACTAGGAGCTCGGCCGGTCACCTTTCTGAATATGAGTGAAACTCTCAAAAATAAGATCATCACCGCGGAGGGTATCTTTCTACTGATCTCTGCCATTGGTCCTGGCCTTTTCCTGCTATTTAGGGTGAGCTGTTCTTTCCATCCAACCATCATCTGCACACGCAAACATATAGAGGGCACATGGTCTGTTCTGCATCCGTCTGACTATACTTTCCAGTCACCAGATCTTGTTCTGTTTTTACTCATTTTTTAAAAGGGCGCTGTACTCCCCCCCCCAGTGGAGTAAAAGCAAGAAGTCTGCTTGATAAATCAAATGGTTTTAAGCTTCTCATTAGGAGGTGAAAACAGTCTTTGTGCGATGTTTTGGAACTATTTCCAAAAAGATTTCATAGGGTGGTGATCTATATCTGATATAACATCTTGCTCACAAGGCGAGACAGAGATGAGGGCAGTTACCTGTTGGACAACGTTTGTCCAAATCCCACAAGACCCATGCTGGGTGTAAGATTCTGGGAGTTGCATCTGGAAAAAAGTAACTTCTTCAATCTTTGGGCTGATACAGCAATTTCCCCAAATGGCCGCTCCTGTGGGATGACAGAAAAGAGTTAGCAGTGGTCCATGCTGAGGGCAACGTTCAGTTGAGTCTCCAGGATAACATTGTGTGATTGTTTTGGGACATTAATAACAGCATAGAGGTGTGGAACGACCCTGGTTCTTCCAATTGATCAGTCCTAAGAAAGACTAAGGGACGTGGTGGTGCTGTGGGTTAAACCGCAGAAGCCTCTGTGCTGCAAGGTCAGAAGACCAGCCGTCGTAAGATCGAATCCACGCGACGGAGTGAGCTCCCGTCGCTTGTCCCAGCTCCTGCCCACCTAGCAGTTTGAAAGCATGTAAATGTGAGTAGATAAATAGGTACCATCTCGGTGGGAAGGTCATGGCGTTCCATGTCTAGTCGCGCTGGCCACGTGACCACAGAAACTGTCTACGGACAAACGCTGGCTCTACAGCTTGGAAACGGGGATGAGGGCCGCCCCCCAGAGTCGGACATGACTGGACTAAATGTCAAAGGGAACCTTTACCTAAGAAGGACTAGGTCTGGATCTGTTCCGCTCTATTAATAAAGCTTAAATGTCAAGGGGAACCTTTTCCTAAGAAGGACTAAGTCTGGATCTGATCCACTCTATTAATACATCTGGGTGTTTGGTGAAGTGGATTCCTCCACCATATAACTGTTAAAAATAAATTCCATCATGCATGACAGACATTATATAAATTCCCTTGTCAAATGGCCAGGCCATGTTCAGATTTACCATACACTGTTCATATGAAAATCAGGTTTCATTGCTGCTGTTTCATAAACTGGTCCTTCGGCTATATAAGACATTATATAAATTCCCTTGTCAAATGGCTAGGCCATGTTCAGATTTACCATACATGATTCATTGCTGCTGTTTCATGAACTGGTCCTTCGGCTATATAGGCAAGTTTAACTGTCATGGCCTCCTGTAATTAATAAAACCTTGTCTCACCCCAAGGACATCTGTTTCTCCTTTGCTTATAGGAAGCTGACCTAATCTGACTTTACTGTAGAGCTAAGCTTGTTTTAAGTCTTAGCTGTTGCTAATTCATATGATGCTCAGGTACAGCTAAGTCACATGTCCAACTGACTGCAAAAAAAAAAAAAAGTCACCTGGAGCCTCATGAATTAGCTGCAATTAATTTAAGGCATGCCATCTGATCTTCCAGTTCTTCCTAGCAGCTCCTAATAACTTGTGTGCTTTCCTCTACAGAAGAGATGGGAAAATGAGCGTCTCTTGCAAGAGAAGAAGAAGGCTTTGGAAGAGGAGAACCTTTATGAGGTAGCTTCAGGAAACATCTGTGCAAATTCCAGACATGAGAGAGAGGAAGTGATAGTCTATTCATATGCCTTTAGACATGAAAATGCCTTTATACCTTGTGCTTCAAGATACTTCTCATCTGGCATAGAAATATATAAAGAATGGTGCGATTAAGCTGAGTCAACCAGACCAGTGAGGATTCCTGCCAGAGATTTGTGAATTCAAAAAATGTTGTTTGGTCCAAATGGGGGAAAAGATGGTGAAAAAAATTGCAACCTATGTGCCGTCTCTCCAAATGGCTTACTGAGATTCAGCATCTGTTGCTCTTGCTTTGTGCTGTTTGGTGCTGAATTAGATCAATATTCTTTGCACCCCATTTTCTTCACACTGGTTATTGCCTCTTATTTTTCTTTCCTAGGGACTGAATCCAGACGAGTGCTCCATGTATGAGGATATCTCACGAGGGCTGCAAGCTACCTACCAGGACATAGGGAATGTCAAAGTAATTGATCTGCAGCTGGAAAAGCCAGAGAAGCCGTGATAAATAGGACTTCGCTCTACACAAATTTTCCTGGAGCCTATTCTTAAATCACTGAATATTCTCTCATTTTATCCTGAAGACGACATAGAGGAAATTCTGTTTTCTGCTGTGTTTCACAGGCTAACATATTGTATAACCCTTTCAAGTGTACAATATAGAAACTGAAAAGATCTGAGTGGTTCTGCATGTGTTCGAAGATCTTGGTTTAAAAGGAAAATACATGAAATAGCAGAGGTGCTTCCTTGATACTTTGGTTCTTATAGAAAAATATTCTGACAAGTAGTATTTTTACTTGACATTTATTATATTCATTTCCTTTCTTCCTACCAGTAAGTTGGAGGCGTGGGGTGGGGATTTTAAGATACAATTTTAAGACAAATACTTGCAGAGGGTTAATTCTATCATATTTTGTGCTTGGCTGTTTTTCTTTATCACTCAGAGTGAAATACTCGGAGCAAACAAATATCTTCCTCTTCAAAGTTTATTGCTGGGGTAAAGGGAAAAAGCTCTACAGTAATATGTTTTCAACAATGGATGGTGCTGGTTGCTTAGCAGTTGTGACTGATGTCACAAGCAAACCAAATCCCATCTCTCATTTCTTAGCATCTCTAAAAATATATATTAAAATACCTTTTTCCCCCAGGCAAAATATCAGTATGCAAACAATTAGATTTGGTGTTTTATATTAGAAAAAAATACATGAAGCTGGTGATCTGTCTAAATACAAAGCATAAGCAAGACCAGTACTTTTTTCCCTGCATTCATCTTAAGGGAATGTCTGTTGCAAAGGCAGGAAAAACCTGGAATGGTAGTACAGAGACCCATTTAATTTTTGGCTCACATTCTGAACCATTGAACATCCACTTGTAAGCTTTCCCCCCTCATTCTTCAAGGGGAATAAGATGTAAGATTCATTGCAAATAAAAATGTAGCTACATGATTAATTAGCAGAATCGAATACTAGCAGAATTGTATGTTTATTGGATCACCAAAATTTTTTTTAATAAAAAAAGTAAAAATAAGCTAGTTTTGAAAGTTCTGAGATAATTCAAGGCTTATTTTTTTCATTAAAATATTTTGGTACCCGACTCTGCTTTTTCATTGTTAATACAGCTAATGTGGTTGGGAAGAGCCTCTGAGCAGGGACAGAGAGCTGAGCAGGACTATTAGGCTTGACTTACATCAAAGACAAATGAGACGTTCCAGACTGTGATCTCTCGTTTCCAAGTTCAGACACTGGTGTCTCCTCTACTTACTGAGGCAGGCAACGTTCTTACTAAGGTCACGCACGATCATAAATAGTTAAAAGTAGGTGAGTTATAGCATAGTAGTACGTGGGATTGATGACTCCTTTCGCGAGAACCACCATATAATCTTGTATATATTGATATAACCACGGACTAAATTTCCTTTGTTTTTTTAGTGTTTATAAAATGTGATGTTAATAAAATAACCAAAACTCATTTTGTGTCTCAGACTCCTTTGCTATATCTGCGATTACTTGTCATGGATACAAGCTAGCTGGATAGCTCAGTGGGTTAGGTAACTGGCTGTCGACAAGGTAGTGTGTTATGTACTGTCATTATTTTACTCCAGAACTTAGCCTAAGTTCCTCCCAGTAAGTAGGAATACAAATTGGTCCACTCGCCTTGCACTCTTGCCATCAATGCAGCATGATGCCTGAGAACAGATTTTTATCAACTGTGCACTATCTCTGGTAGAACAAGACTGTGGGGAAAAGTGCTGTTCTTCACGTTTTACCTAAGGAATTGAGATAGGGCAGTGATGGCGAACCTATGGCATGTGTGCCACAGCTGGCACGTGAAGCCCTTTCTTCTGGCATGCGACAAACCTTTAACTTCCTATCCATCCCCATGAATTCCCCTTAAACTGCCACTTCCTGTTCCGGTTCTGGTCACGGCAGCCACTGGTTTCTTCCCCCTCATTTTGGGCACTCAAGCCGTAAAAGGTTTGCCTCCACTGAGATAGGGCATGATTTTGCCTTGGACAGCGATGTTTATAGCTCATCCTGCTCAATCCAAATTGGATTGGAATGGGCCTGAACAGAAGACACAAAAGCATTCAAGCAGTTGTGCATCAGTGAGAGATGAATACATGGTGTCTGTCTCCTGCCATGGTGCACCCCATAATCCTTCGGAAGAAAGGTTCTGTCCTCTCCGTCCCCATGAAGGAGGAATGTCCCATGGTGGGGTAGGGAGAAAGCGGCTAGTTCTGTAACAATCTCTGGCTTCAAACTGTATCAATTGCAAAAACTAGGAGATTATTAGGAAATTCTTTCTCCTGCTGACAAATGACAGTATTGCAGGGATCAAACAAAGAGATATTTAAATTAATTGATTAGGGTTTTTTTTTAATTAAATAATCTCAGATGCATACTATCTTCATGGAGATATCAAATTTTAGGCAAATTTTATAATATATTCATAATGTTTTTAGAAGAGATGCTTCTTTATGTGGTGAAAGATTATTGTTAGTCATAACCATCTGTGTAGGCTGCATCTGGTGTGCTTTTTTGTAATTATTGGAGGTAAACACAAGGCTATGCCTCTGAAGAAATTCTGTTGTGGGATGAGAAACGGATAATAAAAGGGAATACTGTACATACAGCTTTTAGTATCTGCTTTGGTTGGAGAACTATGGCTCTGACTGACACGGACCACTTTTATCAATATTGATGGTTGTACTGTGTTCTTTCATCCCTAGTTCCAGGGTTTGAAAATAAAGCAAGAGATAGGTTCATTACCCTATGCCAGCTACATCAAAGGTTATTTGTAAATTTGTATGTAATTTCTGCACATTTCAATAACTTCCAGGGTTTGAAAATAAAGCATTACCCTATGCCAGCTACATCAAAGGTTATTCATAAATTTGTATGTAATTTCTGCACATTTTAATAACAACTACCTTTGAAGAGAACAATTTATATTAATGCAAAAGAACCCTATACCAAATGTTCTTGACCATAGATATAAAAACAATAGAATCACACTGCATGTACACACTTTCCACCTGAAGTATAGAATACTGTACCTTGCATTTGGTCACCCTGAGTCTACATGGATTTGTTATCTGGGAGAGGGACAGTCTTCCCTGAATATTTTTCTTTAAATCAGAACTCTTGACCCTCATTGCAGTAACATTTTGTGAAGAAGTGAATTGGAAATAATTTTGTGAAGATGGACCAAGTTTGGTGAAGGTAGAGAATACTTTATATAGGAATTAAGGCATAGGATAATGATAAAACTATTTGTGTGATAAACTTTCGGAAATGCTGTTGTAATCACCAGTTCCATATTCATGTCTCTGTCACTTTTTAGAGTTCTCCAAGTAAGGTATTACAATCAGTAGTACTACAATCATGGTTACTGTCAGTTTATTCACTCTTGTGTTGTACTTGCCTAGGCTTGATATAGTTGGTGAAAAAGTGAATATTAAACCAATGTGACAAAGGAAAACACAGTTGTTCACTTTATTAATACTCCAAATAAAGAGAGAAGCTAAAGTCCTTGTATTTACACTAGCAACTTTTTTCACTATTATCTATTAAGGTAGCTTTTCTTCTGTGTGTGTTTTCTTGTGTTTGGTCAACTGTGGTGAGCACCTGAAGCCTTTCCCATGCTGCCTACATGAATATGGCTTCTCTCCTGTGTGTGTTCGCTGGTGCTGGACTAAAGTGGATGAATGCCCAAAGCTCTTCCCGCACTGCCTACATGAATATGGCTTCTCTCCTGTGTGTGTTCGCTGGTGGGTGACCAGGTGGGATAATTGACCAAAGCTCTTCCCGCACTGCCTACATGAATATGGCTTCTCTCCTGTGTGTGTTCGTTGGTGGGTGACCAGGTGGGATAATCGCCCAAAGCTCTTCCCGCACTGCCTACATGAATATGGCTTCTCTCCTGTGTGTGTTCGCTGGTGGGTGATCAGGTGGGATAATTGACCAAAGCTCTTCCCGCACTGCCTACATGAATATGGCTTCTCTCCTGTGTGTGTTCGCTGGTGTTTGACTAAAGTGGATGATTGCCCAAAGCTCTTCCCGCACTGCCTACATGAATATGGCTTCTCTCCTGTGTGTGTTCGCTGGTGTTTGACTAAATTGGATGAATCCGCAAAGCTCTTCCCGCACTGCCCACATGAATATGGCTTCTCTCTGATGTTTGTTTGCTTATGGGTGACTAGGCAAAGAAGGCTTTTTTCACTGGAGCCATAAGAATTTATATTCTGAGCCTTTTTGTTTAAATCCTTTAAAAGTTGTGTTGGCTCATCTTCATTGTTGTTTATACAGGAAGGCATAAGGCACTGCAGTACAGCACTGGAGGAAGTACAATTTGTACTTCTGGACAGAGATTTTTCAGCTTGTACATTTTCTATTCTTGCAGCTTGTACTCCATACTGAGAATGCTTCCGCTTCATATGACGGCTAAGGAAATCTTTGCATGTGAAAGCTATGTCACACCAGGAACAGCTCTGAAAGGCCATATCTTGCTTCTGTATCAAATGTGACTTCTTCCTGTGAACTATATGAAGTAAAAAAAAATCTCAATAGTAGATCTCTAGCAATCATGAAAGAATTAGTTTCAGTAGCAAACACATGAGAGACTACAGAGACTTACAAATCTGCTATCAGGTAGAATTCTTAACCCTATGTGGATTAGCTTTGAGACAAAGACAGGAGTAAATAGAGAATTTGAAATGTACTGATACATCCTTTTTCTGCTTTCTTAACAAAACTGTTTTAGTTTCAGGTCCCGACTATTAATATTTTTTTGCAATATTCTTCATGAACGTTTCCTTGTTTCTTACATGCATTATTGCACATTACTTTGACACGTTTTTATATAAGATAGCTTTTACAGAATATTGACAAAACTATGTCACTCTAATGCAACTTACTATCCTAAGCAATAGGATTTCAACCATTATCTTCTTTTCTTCAATGACATAGGTTGTAGATTAATTCTGTTTTTAAGAACTAACTGTTAATTTCTCTGAAAGAATATGTATGAATTCATCTTTTCCATTCTCAGGCAGGGCTTGATGGAAAAGCGGATAGAGCAAGCTTCTGCACATTTAATAGTTGTGTAAGAGAATTGCATGGCAAGCTATACTGGATGAAGTCATACTCTGCATTCTTGTTAAAAGCACAGGAGTCCTCCCTTTTTCATTACCAGACAATTCTAATTGCCATTAAATAGATTAATACAGTACTTCCTGTATAGCATTTTTATTACATGGAAGAACTACTACCTGTACTTTGTTCACACTTGATAATGGATAATTTCCAGGCATATTTTAATAGAAATAAATATGTGTCTTTCTTGATTGTTTAATACTGTACTTTCAAGAGCTGGAATCACATTATGCGAATTCATCGTTGAGTGAGGCACTCGTTAAGCTAGGCACCACTGTACTTTGTTCACACTTGATAATGAATAATTTCCGTGTATATTTTAATAGAAATAAATATGTGTCTTTCTTGATTGTTTAATACTGTACTTTCAAGAGCTGGAATCACATTTTCTCATATTTAGAGAAGGGGGCTACAAATTATTCATTATGTTTTTATACAACCCAGCCACACCATATTTCAATTTCCCTGAATTTGCTTTCAGAATCATGAGATAAACTTAGACACCTTAGACTGCATTGTTTCACAATATGCTACAACATACATTCTGACATCTTCCAGGCCAAACGTCTCTTTCAGGCCTACTGCATACATGCAGCAGAATGAGTGGTACAGTCAGTGTCCCAGTTGAGACTGCATAGTTGAGGGAGGATATTTCAATATTTTCCTTTCCATAATAAATGCACTTTTTCTTAAAGGCATCTCCTAAATACAGGAGATACTACTGGTTGTTGTTGTTATTTAGCACTTTCATATCACTACACATTACTCTCCAGAGATATTATATATACTACAACTGTAGATATAGTAAGAGAAAGAAAACAGTGAGAAACTTCCAGGATTTAGGAACTGTGAACAATACATAATTTAATGTTGTACCTTTTAATGATTTCCATCTAGATCCCCACTTGATGCCAAGTTCCTTTCCATATTCTTCTCCATACCAAACCAGAAGCTCAGAATGAAGGAGGATTACCTTACATGCTCTATAATAAATTTTCCCATGATACTGGAAGGCAATAAGGTTTTGTTCTTCCTCATTTCTGGCACAGTTAATATACCTAGAAGTCCAATTTCAAGAGGATTACCCAATTCAAACTGGAAACCAGAAAATCTTTTGATACTATGATATGATTGGATTTTTTTTTATTATTCGAATAATGAGATGAGCCTCTATCATATTTTAAATGCAATATTTGACTTATTATACAGCTGACCCATAACAGTATTTTGTAAAATAGCTGCTTGTACTAACAGGAACAATTAGACAGTATCATCCACGGTCAGTGTCCATTGCCTTGAGTCAAGTACAGTAATTTGGTTCAACTGGCTTGCAGATTAATTTGTATACACCATTCTATGCTATTAGGCCTTTCAGGTGTAAAAAGCTACCTTTATAAAAGGTATTTTTCTCATTTAGTCTCATCAAGGGTTTTACCTCATCCAGTTGGAATTTGTTTCATCCTTTCCATCAATGTAAACATAGCAGTTTCTTCCTTTAGTAATCTGCAATTAAAGTAAACATGAACTCTACATACTAGTATGGTAACAGCACTACAATATATAAGATACTGTAGTTCAAACATCATTTTAGTTCAGTGAGAAGCCCAGCATTAGACCCCAGCAAATAGGGAAAGTCTACTATAAATGATTAATAAAAACAGTTTTATTTTAGTTTAATCTGCCCTCCCCAATTGCCCATTCTAGGCAGTAAGAAAAGAAATAGGCATCTCTTGTATATAATATATTTAATATAGCTTCTTCAGTTACTCCTTTATCACTCTGAGTAAAACATACCAGCCAAGAGTAGCCACTGTTAGCTGCTTCGTCTTCTTCTGTCATTTCCCCTTCATAAGGCCCAAAATGAATTCCCGGAGACAAAATTTTCCCTTCATTCCAAACTCCAAGACCTGCTCTGGGGATGCTTGAAGGGCCAATTCTTAAACCTGGAGGTAAAGTCAGCCAGGCTCTCTTCTCTAGTCCTATTTCTGCTGCTGAATCTTCAATGAAAACTGGAGCACCATGAACTGAACACTCATCAGTAAAGAATACCTGGCAATGTTCACAAACTAAGGGGGGAAAGGATTGGCAAGTAGTGTGTCATGATGGAGCAGAACATTTTCATTTTTATGCTCATTAAGTACCAAGTACAAGTACCCATAGTTTCTAAAGAAGCTCCCAGAGTCCCAGGCTGAACAGACTACTCACGCAGAGAATAACAATTATATTAACCTAACAGCACCTGCACCGATACATGGGAACTGCAGTACGTCAGACCCCTCTCTTCCATCTTTTAAGAGGATGCTAAAGGTGGCCCTCTTTCAAGAGGTGTTTAGGGACTTTGTACTTTAAGTCCTCAGTTTCTTGTTTATACCATCTTTGGGAATTGTACATTATATTATTGCATTTGTTTTATTTCTCTCTTGTTTATGGGGGGGGGTTCTACCCTTTTCAGTTTGCTGTAAACCACTTAGAACAGTGCTTTGCAGTAACTCAGTGGTACATTTAATTTATGAAACAAATAAACAAACAAATGCTTAATACTGGCATGGTGGTTAAAAGTGTTTTTGACATAAGAATCTTTAAAATGTAGAAATAAATAGAAGTACCTCAAGCTTTAGAGCAATTTGAATAATTTTGTGTGAAAACATTCCATGCAGTGCTAAATAAATGTGTAAGTACATTTTTCTACACATACTGTATGGGATGAAGACAGAAAATCTGATTGGAAAGGTATCACTTACACAAGTAATCATCATCATTTGGTTCATTTATTTCCATATATGTTTTTTTCTCTCTTTTCCGTAAACTGTACATGCTAATTTTTTTATCCTGCTCTCTCGTCTGGTTCTCTTTTTCCCAAGATACAGCTTGTCGCTTGAAATCTGAAGGTTAAAACATATAGTCTAATTTTGTAATACATAAACTCATGGAAAGCAACAGTACAAGTATTTTTGTATGATGCAAGCAGATTAAAGGGAACTAACTGTTGTCAATACAATTAAATGGCACTAACAGTTGTACAGCAAACATTTGAATCAATTTGCTACTAGAGAACAGAGAAAAAGCAGTACTGAAACAGAACAGAGGGTTAAATATAAACATGTTTGCATTAATATAGCTCTGTTGCAAGATTAAAGAGGATAGATTAGTACTGTATAGATTCATGCTTATGAATCATGTCTTATTTCCTGGACAGTATCTTGTATAACATAGAGCTTGAAAAATTACTTTAACAATATTTACTAAATAGTTGTAGTTTGCTACCACTATAGTTGCAATTTAAAAAATTAATCTACTTTCCTGTTTCTCAAAACTAACCAAAATCTTCATTCTAGTTACATTACTTCTTTAAAATGAGAACTAGAATGCTACAAGCCACCTATAGTACAAAAATCTTGTTCCCCCATCCACCTTGTTGTCACTTCAATATCCACAACAAAGTAGAAAATGCATGTGAACAATGTAATCTTTTCCAGAATTATTTATTACTCCCACATCCAACTTTTTCTACATTTTCTGCTCTCAAAGATTTCTACATTGCAGTTTGTTTGATAATTTGGAATTATTTTAAGCAAGTGCACTGCACTACAGTCCAGATAGTTCGCTAGAGTGTGCTGGTACAAAAATAGCAACAACTTGTAACATAGAACTTACTCATATATTCAATCCCACCAATTTTTCACCCTGCAAAATACATCACAGAATCAGGTAATTAGAAGTTTCAGAATGTGTCCTTTGTATGTAAGAATAAAGAATGTTACAAGTAATTGTAGATGTCACTAAAGGCATATCTCCTCATAAAAGGAAGAACACTATCTGTGTGTGCATGCCTACATGTTTTTAGAGTAGCTTTGAATATATATGATAGAAGGTTTTAGTCTGTATTTACCAGTCTTAGATTCTGCTGCAGGGTCAATAGTTTCAACAGACACATCTACAGATACATGTTTTTCAATTTTCTTAACGTCTTGGTTTTGCAGCATAGGTTCCATAGTATTTATTTGCTTATTCTGAAAAAAAAGTTTTATATCCAAATTACCTATCTACCTGCATTAAATTTAACATCAGAACACTAGAAAGGAATTAATGATGATAGACCTGCAGATTACATTTATTTACCTAATTTGATGAATATTCATATTTATCTTGATCTTTTTAAATATTTCCATGTTACCCTGTTTCCCTGAAAATGAGACCTAACCTGAAAATAAGCCCTAGTATGATTTTTCAAGATGCTCGTAATATAAGCCCTACCCCAAAAATAAGCCCCAGTGAAGTGAAACCCCGCCCTCCACCCTTGTGCAAGAACCAGAAGACACGACTGTATTTGAATAAATGTACATTGTTGTACATGAAAAAATAAAACATCCCCTGAAAATAAGCCCTAATGCATTTTGGGGAGCAAAAATTAATATAAGACCCTGTCTTATTTTTGGAGAAACACGTGTAGCATTAATTCAAAAAATTACTTTCTGGTATGTTCAGCTACATCCGGCTGGTTAGCTCAGTGAGTCAGAGTATGAAGCCAGGCATGACGAGTTTGATTCCTACCAGGGCCGTTGGAAAAAAACTTGGGCAAGCTATATGTTCCCACAGTACTCCAGTATAAGGGAATGATACATTACTTCTGAGTACATTATACCTAGGAAACCATGGAAATTGGAATCAACTTGACAGCACATTTTTTAAATTAATGAGACAGCCAGAGACAATGCCCATTCTTTATTTTTCTCAGGAAATAGTTACTCAGCCATTATAAACCATTGGCTCTACATTATGCAAGATTTAGATAAAAACAACTGTGAATTTGGATTGTCATTATCAACACCACCCCACACAATTTAGCAAAAATTAAGTTCTGTCAGTTATCTTTATTTAAATGTATAAATAAAAGTGATTTTGGCAACAGCCATATCAACCTACTCCCTTTTACTATATAGTTTTAAATTATTGTATTGATGATGGATAGCTTTCTGAAAATGTAGTTGATTTTATTGCAGTTATAAAAAAAAAACACCATGCATTTCTGTCCAGTCCGATTATAAGAGTTCAGGTTACTTTTTAAAACCCTTCTGTACATGTATAGATTTCAACAGCACTATGCTGTACGTAAAGTAGTTGTTACCCTTTTAGCAGCAGTTAAAGGCCTGCTGCCACTTTAGGCAAGTTTTAACAAACTAAGATCAAGTCCATCTTCAATACTGGGCACATGTTCTTTTAAAGTCTGTTTTAAAAGTTTTTAAATCCTTGATAACTTTTTAGATTTTTTTTAAATTTGTAATTTATTCTGCAACTTGTTTTAATCATTGTTTTGAATCATGTCAGGGGCCCTGACCAGGAGAAAAGCAGCATAGAAATGAAATAAAAATATATCTATCAGCCTCTAACAATATTAAAGAGAAACACATCTCTCTCTCTCTCTCTCTCTCTCTCTTATCACAAAGAGTTGAACCGTACATTAAAAACTGATATATCGCAACATAGGCTTCACAAATTACATCCCGTTCATGAAATGGCCAATAATCCTAATTATTACCAATCTGACACATTTTTCCCTATGACATGGGAAGAAGTAATATTGTAACTAAAGGATGCTGGTACAACTCAGTGTGTTGGGTTACGGCTAGGGAGCTAGAGATAGGAGTTCAAATCCCCACTGTGCTTCTTGGGAGAAAGACCAGTTGATATCACCTGGTGAGTTTGTGGTTGGTGGAATCGGGTTATGTCCTTGGTATCTGTGTGGCCTTGGATAAACTGCAAAATCCCAGAGCACTATCAGAAGGAGGGACTGATTGTGGCTAGAAATCCCTAGGAGGCTTGTCATACGTTGGAATCAACTTGATTGCACAAAATTTTTAAATTAAAGCCATAACTATTGACTGCAAACTCACTGTTGTTCCAAAGAAAGCTTATGATTCGGAACAATTATTTCCCAACCGAAGAACATATTGAAATACTAAAAAGAAAACATTACCAACTCAATCTACCAACTATCAAAGTCTTATTTTGTACATTCAGGCAAAAGCACTGAAATGTTACTCAAAATTAATTTGGCACAGTGTTTGCTCAGATCAGTAGGCAAATAAAATTAGAAAATTCAGAGGTGTTTGGAAATATCAAAAAATATCATACTTGAGTCAGGAAGTTCTTTTTCTTTTCTTCTTCTTTCAAGCTGCTTGGAATATATGGTGGTATCCTAAAAGATTTTACTGGAGTTAAAAAAACAAATACATTTTTTAGAAAATAAAATGTAGCATTAATACATTTACAGTAATTACAAGGATCAAGAAGTAAAAATGTTTCAGATCAAAAATATACTAAATTTTGGTACTATTACAAATTAGTTATGTACAGAAAGATATTGTTGCAAACCTAACAAACTTCTCAAATAGAGTATAGTAAAATTGTTCCAATATGGGCCAAAGGATACATTGTGCACAAATGCATGCAACAGAGCATCAATACTGGTAATTTAAATGATTATACTATAAGCAGAGGTTTGCAATAGAGGTGCAGGGAAAGGGATGTCTTAATTACTTTGTCCCCCACTTTCTTTATTCTCTTTGACAATCAATACCCAGTTTTATGTTTGAAAAGAAATTCTGCCATCAAGGGGAAGCATTGATATTAAATGGAACTTCAGCAGACAGGTGATTCTTCTAGTTATGGAATTATTTTAAAAAGAGCAATTGTATCTGTACAAATCCATCTCTCTGATTAGTATTTATAATACTTTTCTTCTCCTCCATTTTTTGGTCAGGATCCAAAAGTGCATTTCTGCAGGATCCTGCTTTCCCCCCATAATTGGCAATTTTCACATCTTCCTGAAGATCCCTCAATCCACCCTTAAAACCTGGTCTAGGGAGCTGATATATTCCCTGAAGCATGATTTTGCTCATAGTTCTGCTGATAAGAGATACTTCACCATCTTCTCATTGCATTATAGGAATACTGTATGTCATATGGACCATTAATGCATTTGTGGAAAGACACCCATGGATAGAACAAAGAAAAGACCAAAACTATTAAGAATAAAGCTTCTTTGGGAAGCCTACATGGCTATAAGAATTATTTCTGATTTAACAAACACCTTTATTGGATAGTCAATGCTTTAGAATGAATATCAAAAGCTCTTTGATGCAAAAGTCTTAAGTTAAATAAATTTGACCATTGCAATCTTGCTTATATATCTGTGCACAGTTTGACAACAGGGTATCTATTATCTACAACTACCCATTATGTAGGGTTTATGATGCATAAGCAGGTACTAATACTCATGTGTTATGTACTATCATGTATCTTCTTCAGAAAGTGGCAAATCCAGAATCTTAGCAGTGAAACATATATATCTCAGCAGTGGTGTTCATGTTTAAACAGAATCTCCATGTCCAGAGGCAGTAGGGATATAGAAGATAATTTTCTTGAAATTAGGTTTGTGAGAGGTAGAAAGACTGTTAAGGAACTGTTTCACCCAATCTTCTTTTTATCAGTTCCACACAAACAAAGCCTGAATACAGTGGTGTCCCGCACAGCGAGGTTAATCCATTCCGGATTAACCTTCGCTGTGGGAAACATCGCTGTGTGGGAGGGAAAAAGCCATAGAAACGCATTGAACTTTGTTCAATGCGTTCCTATGGCTTTCAAACTCACCGTTCAGCGAAGTTCCTCCATAGGCGGCAGCCATTTTCGCGCCCTCCCCTCGCAGAACAAGGGCGCCAAAATGGCTGCCATCAGCTGTTCGGCGGGTCAAAAATGGCCACCAGAACAGCCAAAAGGGGCCGGGGCGCAACGTTTTCGCGCCCTTGGTAAGCAAGGGGAGCGCGCGAAAACGCTGCCGGAAGCCCCGAAATGGTTGCGCGCAGCCATTTCGGGGCTTCCACAGTGTTTTCGCGCACTCCCCTTGCGCTGATCGGCGGGTCGCAAAGCGAAGGTCGGTAAGCGAGCAGCTTACCGCCCTTCGCTCTGCGATTTTTGCCCATTGGGGCCATCGTTGTGCGATCGCTTTAGCAATCGCAAAAGCGTCACCGTAGAGCGAATTCATCGCTCTACGGTGCGCTCGTTGTGTGAGGCACCACTTAATTAATTTGTATTGTCTTCCACAACTAGACATGATCTAGGTACACATTCAACTGTACTGCTATAAATACTGTGGTGCCTCGCTAGACAGTTACCTCACATGACAGTTTTTTGCTAGACATTGACTTTTTGCGATCGCTATAGCGATTCGCAAAATAGTGATTCCTATGGGGGAGTTTCGCTGGACAATGTTTGGTCCCTGCTTCGCAAACCGACAGCTCCTTCCACGCTCACAAACAGGTGTTTTCGGGACCTAAGCTTCACAAGACAGTGATTTAAACAGCTGATCTGCAGTTCGCAAAGCGGCTTTCCTATGGCCGATCTTCGCTAGACAACGACGATTCTTCCCCATTGGAACGCAGGTTTCAATGCATTCCAATGGGGAAATGTTTTTCACTAGACAATGATTTCGCTAAACAGCTATTTCAGTGGAACGGATTATCATCATCTAGCGAGGCACCACTGTATTTAACAAAACAATAAAAGTAGATACAGGTTTTCAGCTAAACAACTGCACTGAAAGATCCACATTAGCAACATCTAGACCTAGCATTTGTGTGGAGTATTCTTCACAGAGACTTTTTCAGATAACTTCAGACAATTATACTACAGGACCACTAGTTTAGTAGTTTACCTATAGGTTTTGGTGTCCATTCCTCATCTGACTCAGAAGATTCATTTGCAGTTTTGAAGGTCTGCCGTGCATAATACATAAATGCTGGTTTAGGTGCAGGAAGACCTAATAAAAATATTACTGATAAAGGATTGCTTGACATTGCTTTATTGTATAAGGGCACAGTCTTAATTAACCAAGATAGCTGAGAACTGGCTGAGATGAATCCAAGCCCTTCACAGCCTAGGGATGCTGGAAATTAATTAGGACTGACCTTGGCCTAACCCTGTGCTGGTATAGTGGCTACAAGTCTGGACCAGAAAGGGTTTGCATCTGATGTTACTTGACCTGATTCACCCCTTTTCTGGCTCTTCTGCCAGCTGATCTCAGCCGGTGCAATTGTGCTTGCAGATCTGAGCTGGCACAAGGGCAGCTGTCCCAACATGAGAGGCTTCTGCCTGTTCCAAACTGACTATCAACAGTGTATCTTTGATTTTGGATTACAGTAATGTATATTCCACTGAAATTAATACAAAAAGTTAGATATGGCTAACTTAAATCCCTTAGATTTCAGTGAGAACTAAGTGCAAATTGAATCCCACGCCAATGATTTATCCAGACCTACCACGTGAACCTATGCATAGGATGTTACATAGATGATTTCATACTTCTCAAGGACAATTTCAACATGTTGTCTGTTATTTAAACTCCCAGTTTCTTCTGTTTTGGTTCTAGTTTCCAATTTCCATGTAAGGTTACAAATTCTATTTTTTTGTTTACATAAGTTAATAAAAACTAAATGGTGTAGTTGAATTGGGGAAAGAATTACAACCACTGGGAAAAATGTCCATATTCGATTTCCTGGTAGCCCATCTCAAACATTTTAACATAAGCTTAAAAATATGATTTACAAAAATTTAATGTCATACATAGAACCTCCCTGAAGATTCTCTTTCTGCAAAGTTAGAATAGTGTGTCAAGCATAAATTCTTAACTTGCTTTTCTACTTGGAAATCTTATTGTGTTAATAAATCATCCATTCATTCCTCTCTTTATTTCCAGTAATTTGTCTCACCTAGTTGAGTCATAAATTCATAGTTCTCTTTTATGTTCTTATAACGGATTTTTTCCCATTCTCCCATTTCAGCCCACTGCTCTTTAGAGAAGTAGATGGACAGCCCTTTAAAAGTATCTTCAGCCTAATACATTGAAAAGAAATGGATATATGCACAATGTATGGTTTATTTAAATTTTCTGCTTAAAGTTACCTTTTTGCAAGCAAAATTTTATCAACTAATCAGCTCAATACATTAATTCTAATCTCCAGACCAAATAATAAATAGCATGCTAAACAGCTGCATAAGTGGGCAGGTTTAAAAAATAGATATGATGCAAAACACACATACAAAAAAACAAACAAAACAAAACCCAACACTAACTATACCTTTTCTGTCTTGTCTGCACTCACTATTAGCAGGGGAGGCTTAATTTTAGGATACAGTCTTAAAATGATAATTTCCCCTTGTAGTAAGAGTAAGTGAATTGGTGAGCTGAATCCTATTGTTAGCCCCAACTAGAGTATACTCCAACTTGTTAAATCAATAATTATGTAAGTCCCCTTGATTCAATAAGTGTGCTGGTTGGGAATAGTCACTGGATTTAGTTCAACAGAATTATAAATCTAGATGCTGTGAAATATTTTAGGGAATTTCTTTCCTGTCAATGGATGTACTGCAGCACAGGATATTCTGTAACCCAGATCACTATTAAAAATAGTAACTTGTGCTTATTGAATTATAAATGTTACATTAAAGAAAAACAATAGCCTGCCTTATTTTTTTTAAAAAATATGAAAATCTGCTATCTTGATATTGCAAAGAAATGTAATAAATGGAAAGAAACAAGTTTTAGTGAGTTAACATTCCTAATTGTTCTAAGTGGAAATACTTTTTTTTCCTGAAGATGATGAACTTAGCAATAATGGGTAACTTTTGCTTTTTAACTGAGTCATTTTATACATGACTGCTCAGAATTCAATGAATCTTACTCTCAAGTTTGTATGGCTCTAGTCTAATATTTGGAAAAAAACTTTTCCTTGGACTCCTTAACACATTGCTTCATTGATATTTTGTAGTATGTAAATTCAGCAATTAATATATTTAAAGTCAGACAATGAAAGTCTTTACTGATTTATAGTTCTTATTTGATTTATACTTTCTTTGACCTCATCATCTTAACTGACCATGCAAGCCAGTTAGTAAATATGCTGATTTCATACAAGAGATTAGCAATAGTACAACTACATAATGGATAAGTAGTTGTATGAAAATGTATAGGTTGATGGAGAATACTTTTGTTAACTTCCAATTTCTCCATTTTAAAAGTCAATTGCATTTTCTTCATCTTTGCCTGTCATCTCTTAGTTGTGCCTAAATAAAGGATTTCTTTTCTCCTTCATTTTCCTCACCTTGGCTTTTTGCCCTTTTTTCTTAGTATTTTGTTTTTTGCCCTTCTTGGTGGAGGGCTTCTCTCCAGTACTGCTTTTGTTAATACCTGACCCTCTCCCACCTCCCTCAGCACCTTTGGCAAGCAGAAAATTAGGAGATCCCCCACTGGCTTTTTCCTTCAGAGGTGGTCCCCCCTGATCCTTTGGATCTATCTCCATGGACCTTTGTCCATTGAGAACCTGGCCTTCAGTCTCAATGGCCATCTCTTCTGGGGCTTCATTTCTGTCTGATGTCTCTCCCTTCCACTCTTGGGCTTCTCCTCTTTTTGAAACATCATCTTTTTGCTCCTGGGTCTCAACTTCTCTTCTCATCTCTCCCTCCAGCCCTTGAATGTCTGCTCTTTCTGGTGTCCCTTGCCATACATCCTGAGTTTTTCCCTCAGACAGCATCTCCTGCCATTCTCCTGGGGCTTCTGCCTCTGTTGGCGTGTCCCCTTCAAACCCCTGGGTTGGCATCTTTCCTCTCAGCTCTTATACTCAAGATGAGCTTATTTCTCTTTCGCTCTCTCAACCTCCCCTCTCTCGTTCATCCCCATCAATATCTTGTCCCTTCAGCTACTGTTAATCCAAAATGGGGTGCTGCCCTTCATCTTTGGTCGTTTCAAGTTCCCCCTGCCCCGCACATAATGAGGAAACCAGGACGCTCTAAAATTAATCTTGTGTCCCCGATCAAATCTAAGCGCTTCCTCAACACAGCCTCGCCTCGCCCTCACAACCCGCAACCTCCGCCGAGGTAATAAAGGCGATAGCAGCGCTCGCCTCAGAAAGAAACCAAAGCGCGCCAAACTACTCAGCCAATGAGCGAGCGGCTCTGATCGGTGGTGGCCAATCATCGGACAGCGCGGGGAGGTTTAAAAAAATGCAGGTCTCACAAAAAGCGGCGGCGGTCGCTTTTACCTCAGTGGGGAAAGGATGAGGGCGAGAGTCGCTGAGCGCCCGTTCTTTGGGTGCAAAGCGGAATATTATGTCGAGAGACACATAAATGCCCATCAGGGGATTTAAATCTACGATTCTGTGTGGCTTCTAATGTTAACGGCGGGGAGAGGTCTCTTCAGTTCTCAAGTCAGATGTCTGGGATATACAGAAGAGCTAGAAATCAGAGTTTAATGTAATCCTCTTATAAACATGCTTTTGAGCATGTGCAGAGTTCTTTTTCCCCTTGCTGTTAGTAGCCAACACAAGCAGTACCCACACATCTACCACTGTTATGGGCCGCGTACATGATTCTGTGTTCCCTCATTGATTTCTTCACAACAGCCCCCTGAAGCAAGCATGTCAGGCTGGAAGGAAGTGGCCGGCCCAAGGTCACCCAGTATATTTAGTGTCAGAATGGAGATTTGAACCTGGGTTTTGGATCAGTGCTGGTGGGTGATTCCAGATTCAGCTGTGCTGTAAACCTATTCTGAATTTTAGTCTACACTTTAAGGACCTATCCAAGGTCCTGAACATTATTCTTAATATAGGGTAAGCACGTTTGGTAATTCCTACAAAGTGGTGATTAAATCCCAGAATGGATTCCCAGCACCCTTGAAACTGGTCTTCAATCACCACCCCAAGTACTACTATTAGAGGCAGAGAATTTGCGTTGTCTGACCAACTTAAAAAAAAAAAATAAAACCCTCCTGTACTTTTAATAGTTGTGTGGAAGCAGGAATTTTGAAAGGTACAGTTTTTCATGCAAATTATAGTAAGTGTGGTTTAGAATCATAGAGCTGCGGAGTTGCATGGAAAGCTATACCTATGGAAAATACATATGCTCAGGCTGGCTTCTCACCCCTCCTACTGTCTCTTTCATAAAGAGGCACATTATTTCAGTGTTAGCTGGTGAAGCTGAGTGAACAGTATAAAAGGGAATTATTCCCAACATGCCCCATAGTATATTTTAGAACATGAGCAGTGAACAGGGAAACCTGTCCTTAGTGAAAGCCAAAGACAGAGTGGGGTAACGGTGGTGTTCTTGTATCTTTAATATTTGTGTAGAACACATTTCAGAAGCACAGCTTTGCTCAGGCTTGCCACGTGATTAGGCAAGAAACTGCAAACATTTAGGAAATTTCTCTACTGTGCATTTGTGAATGGTTCAGTAACCGCATTGCCTTCCCTCATCAGGTTCTTTTGAATGAAAATGAACCATTTTGCATTATGTGAGAAATTCACTGGGTGGCACTACAGCTCCAGTAAACTAAATATCCAAACTGATAAGTGTTCAGAACACTGTAGGAAGGTTCATAGTACCATCCAAAGATGAACTGTGATCAATCAAGTGCCTTTCCAATGTGCTTTTTAAGTCTGCCTATTTTCAATAAATTGCTAACATGCTCTGGATTATGGAGAAAACCAGAGAGTTCCAGAAAAACATCTACAGTACTTCTGTTTCACTGATTACACAAAAGCCTTTGACTGTGTAGACCACAGCAACCTATGACAAGTCCTTAAAGAAATGGGAGTACCTGACCACCTTATCTATCTCTTGAGAAATCGATATGTAGGACAGGAAGGAACAGTTAGAACTGGATATGGAACAACTTATTGGTTCCAAATTGGGAAAGGAGTACGACAAGACTGTGTATTGTCCCCCTGCTTATTTAATTTATATGCAGAATACATCATGCAAAAGGCCGGACTGGAGGAATCCCAAGCCGGAATTAAAATTGCCGGAAGAAATATCAACAACCCCAGATATGCAGACGATACCACTCTGATGGCAGAAAGTGAGGAGAAATTAAAGAACCTCTTAATGAGGGTGAAAGAGGAGAGTGCAAAAAATGGTCTGAAGCTCAACATCAAAAAAACGAAGATCATGGCCACTGGTCCCATCACCTCCTGGCAAATAGAAGGGAAAGATACAGAGGCAGTGACAGATTTTACTTTCTTGGGCTCCATCATCACTGCAGATGGTGACAGCAGCCACGAAATTAAGGCGCCTGCTTCTTGGGAGGAAAGCGATGACAAACCTCGACAGAATCTTAAAAAGCAGAGACATCACCTTGCCAACAAAGGTCTCCATAGTCAAAGCTAAGGTTTTTCCAGTAATGTTGCATGGAAGTGAGAGCTGGACCATAAAGAAGACTGACCGCTGAAGAACTGATGCTTTTGAATTGTGGTGCTGGAGGAGACGCTTGAGAGTCCCCTGGACTGCAAGGAGATCAAACGTATCCATTCTGAAGAAAATCAATCCTGAGTGCTCACTGGAAGGACAGATCCTGAGGCTGAGGCTCCAATACTTTGGTCATCTTATGAGAAGACTCCCTGGAAAAGATGCTGATGTTGGGAAAATGTGAGGGCAGGAGGAGAAGGGGACGACAGAGAATGAGATGGTTGGACAGGGTCATCAAAGCTACCAACATGAATTTGACCCAACTCTGGGAGGCAGTGGAAGACAGGAGAGCCTGGCATGCTCTGGTCCATGGGATCACGAAGACTTGGACATGACTTCATGACTAAACAACAACAACAACAAATTAGCAGTAAAAAGCAACTAGTATCCTGAATTCTTGTAAAGCCAGTGTGATCACATGAAATGTTGGACAAGGCTCCTTTAACTTCAATAGTTGTGCAGCAGAAAAAAAATTCATTGCGTGCCAGCTGTATGACAAGTTATACCTTTTGAAAATCTCTTTTAAAAGCAATAGTTTTTTTTCCTCCATTTCATATGGCAACCCTAACCTAGATGTGTTATTATTAACATTGTTACATGTCATCCAGTCACCTCTATCTTACGGCAGCCCTATGAATGAAATACAAAAGGTTGTATCCTCAACAACCCTGCTCAGCTCTTGCAAACTCAAGCTTGTGGCTTCTTTTAGGGGGTCAGTCCATCTTGTATGAGGTCTTCTATTTTTTTTCCTGTTGCCTTCAACCTTCACCTAGCTGTGAAATGTCATTTATTCAATACTTGCCAACAGCCAATAGCCAGATGGCAGAGCCAACTATGGAAAGGGTTGTATTCCCCTCCCAGCCTTCGTCCCCAAAACAAGCTTTTACAATTGTGATATTGCAGTTTACATTTGAAGAATGAGATTTCTTTTAAGAATTAGAAAATGTCAATCACATTACTGTTTTTCAAAGCAATAGTACTTGATATCACTCATGTGATAATAATGACCTAAACCTTGCCCACCAAAAATCTCCTAATGCTCAGAATGTAACTTCCCAGGAACATTCCCAAGCTTATATTGCTATGATGATGATTATAAATGTGAAGCTGTGACTGTGACCATGTTAGGGTTTTTAGAGGGAATGATAGGGAAGTGATTACTTAAGACAAGCGTTAGTTATAAATGGGTAAAGGCATATTGACTTTTAAAAAAAATGCATTTATTGAGTTTAGATGACATGCATGTAACTCTCAGTCTAAAAGATACAGACAAGCCAATACTGTACAATCATTATTCATAGAAGGGAACAGATGATGGCAATGATATTCCAAATTTTGGGTTGAAGCATTATTGGGTAAAGTGTGAAGTGCACGCTGTAAAAGCAAGCAAGCAAAGAACAAGAAGTCCACTGAAATATTAATGGCTCTGAAAATTAATCTCAGCATTTTGACCCTTTGTGGTCTCTTAAATAAAATATTTATTAAATACCCTAGACTGAGGCTCTGAGTATTTTATTACCATGGTGGTAATAATAGTATTCATAATTGTATGTAAATAAGATTTCCTTTGTTTAAATATTGATATGAAAAAGTATGATTAAGCTCACTTGACAAAGATGTTGAATTTTTATTAGTATGTTTGGACAAGTCATCTCAGCAATAACTGGAGTGACATTTACTTTTTTTGAAGTTCATTCTGAGGACCTCATCTAGTTAGAAACAGACATGCCTCATCTACAGGAATCATCATCAAAATCTTTTCAATCTCACTTTTCAATCTGTTTTAAAGATTTCAATGTTATTTTAGAGTTTTATTTCTGATTTACATGTTTTCTGGACAGTCTTCTTTTGTTTTGATTGTGCGTGCACTACTTTGGTGACTTTTGTGAAATGGTAATATAAACTACAATATAGTATGCTGCCTTGGATCCTTTTAAGGAGAAAGGCGGGGTAAAATATTTAAAATAGAGAAATAAATAAAGAAATAAAATCCTAAATTCTTATCTTTTTTGTTTCCCTTTCCAGAGTTGCTAGACTTAAAAAAAATAGGGATGTTGTTAAAAAAAGATGATGGACTGGATTAGAATCTGTTCCCTGTATCCTCTGATGTGAGGAGTGCCATAAACCTGCAGAAGGGTTTAGATATGATAGTGTATCAGAATTTATTCCTTGTCATTTAAAGCATAATTGTGCAGGTACTGCAAAAGATGACAACAATACAACTATATCTTCACAATTTAGTAACCTAGGTAATTATCTTCTTCTGCTTGTCTTTCTACTCACTATAGGCAGGAATATTACCTGCTCTGGAATGACTATAGTGTGCAAATGAACATTCATTTTCCAGGTGATTGCATTTGAATAAGGGTATTTTCACCAGCCGCCCCAAAAACACTGTGTAGCTTTTTCTTTTAAAAGCATGCTTTTTTGCTTGTCTTCCACTATTTATGAATGTATGCATAATTATAATGCATAACAATATTGTACCCAGCAGGTAAAAAAGGAACCGAAGCGCTGAATGAGGGCTTTGATCAGAAAATATGAACCAGCGTACACAGAGAAAGTAGTTAAGCAGATCTACCCCCTGTAGCTCTTCTGATTAAATTCACAGCCTTCTGTGTCTGATTTTCATTAAAAGGAAGCAGGAGAGAGTCCCTGAGAAAACTCCTAGGTGGAATCAGTAACTTAGCTCTAAATAATAAACAGTTCATTATTTATTTATTTATTTCATTTATACCCCGCCTATCTAGTTGTTTGGCATAACATAGTCAATTGTGACCACTCTAGGCGGCATGCCTTCAATTTTAATTCATGGGGGAAAAAACTAAAATACCTTTCCAGCCTATACAATTCCAGTTTTTCCAGGGAATGGGCAAACTACCCAACTACCCTCATCCTTTGCCAACAATCACAATCTTCTCTATCAGTGTCTGGTGCGTACCTGTAGTGGCAGTGCTAAGCACATCTCTGGGTTACATGATTATATTTATTTAATTGATATCCTGCCCATCTAGTCGTTCGACTACTCTGGGCGGCGTACATCAGACAAAAGCAGTTAAAATGTCATCCATCCACTTTATATAGTGGATATCCATATACTGTATCCATCCCATCCACTTTATATAGTGGATATCCATATATCCATCTACTTTAGCAGTACGTTGCACCTCACACCTGCATGATGCAGGGGAGTCTGGCAGTAGCAAGAAGGAAAGGTATGTGAGTTATATGGACTGATCTCATTGCTTCTTACAGTTCATCGCTATTGGAAAAGGTGATGGGGACCCTTGACAAAGTCTCTAGGGGGTCCTTGTACGCTTACCTGGCTGGAATGACAGAGCATCAAGACAGCCCCTCTCTGTCCTTCCCCTTGTTCCCTGGTGGTCCCTCTTATCCAGCCCAGAGGCAGCTGCCTCAAAAGACAGCAGGCAAAGAGAGCCCAGGAACATCATCACTATAGTCATCCCCCTATATAAGGTGAGTGCGCTATTCAGCTTGTTTGCTTCCCCTAAATTGGCTCGTTACCAATTTTTCCTTCCTAGAAGACGTTGGTTTCTTGACCATAAATATTTAAGGAGAAAATCTCCAGAGCAAACAGCCCAGAGGCAGCTGCCTCAAAAGACAGAAGGCAAAGAGAGCCCAGGAACATCATCCTTATAGTCATCCCCCTATATAAGGTGAGTGTGTTATTCAGTTTGTTTGCTTCCCCTAAATAGGATCGCTACCAATTTTTCCTTCCTAGAAGACGCTGATTTCTTTACCATAAATATTTAAGGAGAAAGTCTCCAGAGCAAAAAAGGATCACAAAGGCCATTCAAAAACAAAACAAAAAAACAAAAAAAAAACAACAACCATAAAGTCCATTGTCTGGAAACGTATCTATGCACCCTTGATCCCCATATCAAGTCTAATGAGATGCTATGGCCCTTTTTTTTAATGCACCATCAATTCGCACTTGACGTATAATGATCCCAATAGGAATTCAAGGTGTTTGGGAGATTTAAGGTGTAGTTTCACTATCGGCATTCTACGAGTGTCCGAGAAGAGATTCGAACCCACGACACTAGAGACTTAAGTCCCATGGGCCGTGCTTTCGACTAGGGAGAGAAAAAAGCAATCCTATGTAATCGTATTACGTATTCAGCTTCTCCCGGCACACCTGCCAGTCACTCGCCACCAAATTATACATAGCCAATCAGCGCAGAACGCTGCCCCGTTGTGACCAATCGAAACCAACAGGGGCGTGGTTACGGCTGAAACGGAAGGCTTTTCCCCCCCGCGCGGGAAAAGGGGTGAACTACTTCTCTGCTCGGGGCAGCTGTAGCGCGTTAACTGCTCCGGCGCGAGGCCAATTCGCCCCGCCCCTCGCGAGGGGCGTGGTTTGTTTTTTAGGCAGTTAGGAGGAAGCGGTAGGTGGAGGCGTAACATGGAGAGCGAGGGTTGGTTATAAGGTGGCGCATTAAAGGACATTTTCCTCCTTTGGTGTTTCCAGGGCTGTGGGTACAGAAACTATAGGGGCTTTTTTTGGTAGTACCTTGAAAAATAGCAAGATTTTTTTTTATATAGTGCACCTCTTCATAGAAGAGGTGGAGTGAAATCCATGAACCTTTATTCCAAATAAAACATTTTCGTTTTTAATGTTCCATGATAAATTATTGCCTCCGTTTCCCTGGCATTTGTTAAATTTGAGGAAGCATTTCAGCTCAAATCTCAGCTTCAATATGTCCAATCGCCTCAGAAGCATAGGACTTGAGTGATGAGACAGTATTTGAAAGCTGACAAAAAAAGGAACAGGAAATAAAGAGCTAAGGATCCTGAGGAACTCACCAGCTCAAATGCTGTGTTTGCTATAAACTCATGTGGCTTGGCATGTTCAGTATTTTCTCTTGCTTCATTCCTCCTTGTCCCTGCTATAATACTGATACGCCTTAGAAGGCTATGGCAGCGATTACTGACATCATCTGTGTAAAGTGTTTTATACTTTCTAAAACACTATAAATGCTGTATTTTATTTGATTATGGCTATATCATTTTAAGGTATTGTGTTCAGTTTCATAAGACAACATTATATGGCATCTGATTTCTGCATCAAAACCACAAAGCATTTTGTAGGTTTTTTAAAGTTAGTCAATCCATTATGCCATAAGCCTTCATGACTTAGTGCATTAATGAACTGTATTCTCTGTGTACTAGGAGGTTGAAAATTGTGTGGATGAGACCAAAGATGAAAGAGGAACTGCAAAGGCAGCAACTTTTTCCCCTCCTTTGGCACATGACTTTTCCAGCTGGAAGCTACAGTGCAAGGCTAGCATCTTAGACGCTGTTTATCTTTGTCATTGTTTTTTCCTAGAACCTGCTTAAGAAAATCAAGATGAATTCTTGTAGCATGGGAGAACCTGAAACGCATCCTTTAACTAGATGTGACTTACAGTGCTCTTTCCATCAGCCGAGAGGATCCCCATTAGAACCACAGAACACTGAGGAGAAATCTGCTAAGGTTAAACGCCGCAGAACCAGGCGGGAGCGCAACAGTACCAGGTTTGGTAGGAATGCTACTGACAGGATCTCAGAGCAAAGATCCGCATGTAGGGGACAACAAAAAATGTTGCCCCCCTTTTGGAGCTCCCAGCTTAGCCAGTGTGCTAAATCAATGCCCTTTCAGGCCATTAAAGGGACTTGTGTTGCAAAACCTGTGATCATAACCCAGAACAGACTCTCACAGCACTTCGGCATGTTTAACAGAGAGGTGAAATCAGCTGATATAGAGAGATTGTTGAGTCCCAGAGCTGAGCAATTGATAAATGAGATAACTCCTATACAAAGTGATATTGGAACGGAGGTGGTAATAGTAAGAGAGAACAAGTCTTGTAAGTCATGTGATGTTAATCACAAGTGTATTCCCAATGAAGAATTTGCCTGCACTGGAAAGGATCTGAATGGAACAAAAGAAGATTTTACTCCTACAGTAGTAGACATTGTCCCTATATCAACTGAAGAACACTGCGATGTGGCTAGTGTACAAGATGTGAATGCAGGATCCCAACCTTCTGCTGCATCTGCGACTGTGGATTTCAGTCAACAAACTACAGAAAATGAAACTTTTCAGAGCAATGCCCCAGTTGCTTTAAATGAAAAAGAAAATGTCCCCCCTGTTCCAACAACACAAGTTGAGCCTGGCAAAGAGAAATTTCTGGTGAAGAAACTGGCCCAAGAGCTTCAAAAACTTCTAGACCTCAAGGCAATATTTCCTGGACGAAACTTGATAAGTGAAACACGCCAGGCGGTTATTAGGTTACTGCAGGAACAGAAGAAAACGTTGCCAGATGTATCTACCTTAGCGCAGCTCAAGAAATTAGCAACTGGTTGTAACAGAGACGCCATCCATGCAGGTAGGATACTTGTTGAGGCCGTAGTGTGAATAAAAACCCTCCAAGAGGCTTGACACAATCTAAAAAATTTAGCGGCACACCCATAGTTGCATTGCAGTAAATACTGACACCGACCTACTGTGGCATAGTGGGCAGAGTGGTGGATTAGGACTCTGGACACCAGGGTTTTCAGAGCTGACAGCACGTAACAACAACAAAGGACAAAGCAGGAGTATTGTATCCAAGCCCCACTCTACAAGTTTTTGACTGCTACTTTTAAAAGAACACAGTCAGTTGGTAAATTGGTATTTTCACAAGAAGATAATGTGGATACTTTCCTTTCTACAATTTTTCTTGCTTCTCCTTTGCCGCTGCCCTGGGTCCTTTTAAGGAGAAAGGCGGGGTTAAAATATTTTAAATAAACAAAGACTCAGGGCAAGTGCCATATTCTTACCTCTAGGGAGGGAGTGGAGAACTCTGGCAGTTGAGGTGTAGATGAACTCTGACTTCCCTTAGCTGTTAGCTAGACTGCTTGCCATTTGAAGAGAACAGGAGTCAAAAACATCTGGGAGGTTTAAAAGTTTCCAAGGCCTTTTCTTATCTTTGCCCTCTTTCTCTGAAGCATTCCTACCTGTGAGCTTTATACTCCATTATTGTCCCACTTAGAGTTTCCTTGCCCCATGGGCATCTCTGCTGTCTCCCCACCTCACTTTCAGAACTCAGATTTATAAACCTTGTGGGACAGGGACTTGTCTTTCCTGCTATCTGTAGCTTACTGTGCTATTTATTTGATTGATTAATTGATTGATTGATTTCTATCCCGCCCAGCTAGACCAAAAGTTTAAATGGCTATTAACGGCACCATTTCTTGCTGACTTGTGGCTTGTGTGCCATACTTAAGAAGTATGAATTAACCATATTTACTCTCCAATGCATTACACTAGTTGAGTCAGACACTGTGATTGGAGTATTTTGTTCTGTGTTTCTCTAGATTTCAGGAGCAGAGACCAGGAGGAGTTGCAGTACAAATTGAAAACTAGCGACTGCAGCAGGAGGAGTTCTGACCAGGTTGTTTCTTCCAAAAAGAGGAGAGGACTGGATCAAACCTTTTTTACCAGCCCCTTTCCTAGTTCTCTGCATACAGTGTTAAGAATGGCGAGCACTTCAATGGTGAGCATTGGTATTTGTCTGCTTAAGAAATTTACATTCCATTTTTTTCTGATAAAGCAGGGTCAGACTCAGTAGTTCAACTGCAGTACTACAGTGAGGACTCTGCTCACGACCCAAGTTTGATCCCAGGGTCAGGTAGCCGGCTCAGAGTTGATTAATCCTTTCAACCTTCTGAGGTCTGTAAATTGAATACCCAGCTCATTGGGGCAGGGGGGGGGCAATTTGTAGCCTCTTCAATTAAATTGTGAACTGCCCAGAAGGTGCTTTAAGTGCTATGGCGCAGTATATAAGCAGCATACTTCTTTCCTTCTTTTTCAACCTTCTGAGGTCTGTAAATTGAATTCCCTAGCTCATTGGGGCAGGGGGGCAATTTGTAGCCGCTTCAATTAAATTGTGAACTGTCCAGAAGGTGCTTTAAGTGCTGTGGCGCAGTATATAAGCAGCACACTTCCTCCCTTCTCAAAGCACCTTGCATAAAAGTTAATAAAATAAAAAAAGATAGAGTAACAGTCCATATTATTGAAATAAATTTCGTACTGTAAAGGCAAAAGGAGAAAGCAACTGACCATTAAAGGAGGAAGGGAAAATGTGTTTACCCATACGAAAAGCTTGGAAAATAGAACGTTCTTAGCAGCTTGCCTTTGAAAAGAAGGGGATTCCATAGCCTTAGCAAAGTGTTGTTATTGTAGCTGTATATCTTTTGTCTGTTTCTTTAAAAACATTGTTCTGCAGTGAGCAACATACGTAGGAGTCAGTAACCTCCTGTGAGCAATGCAAAGAAGGTTTGTAGCAGATATGTAAGAGAATGACTTAACTTCCTAGTTTCTTTACCTTGAACATCCGTTGTCAAAGGATTGCAAAGGAGTTTCTTGAGGGTAGAACATGTCTTCATGTTTTATATTTTTGCACTTTCTGTGAAGGGTTTGTCCTGACCAGGGTTTTCTCCATGAAAGTTTGCAATTTTTATAGTGGTCAATAAAAGCTGACGCCCACCTTTTCATTTTTATGCTGGCTCCATAGCTCAAGAGTCAGAGCAGTGGTCTTGCTGGGACATTTCTGATTTATTTGATTTGATTTGATTGATACCCAGTAGGGTGTAGTGAATAGAGTGAGAGGCTAGGACTTTTGAAACCTGGATTGGAGTCCCTGCTTGGCCATGGAAACTCTCTGGGGGAAGTAGAACTGGTAAAATATTTCACTCTTTCTTTAAATATTTCACTTATCTTGAAAGCCCTATTAGGGTCACTGTCAGTCAGTTCCAACTTGATGGCACACGACAACAATATGTTTCAAGGCTCTGGTAGCATCTGGTAGTCCTAAATTTAGAATATGTGTTGTGTCCCAAGGGTGTTATCCCCACCACCCTGTGCAGTCATCCCAGTTGCATTAGAGGTTGAAGCGCAACATTCATACAAGCAGAATGGATATAAACACATTTCTGGATACCCATATAATTAGCCTACTTTGTAGGGCCAGAATCTGCAGTAATCGTGTTTCCAGCCAATCACAGTCTTTTCTTTATGCTCACCGAATTGCTTTGTTGCTATTGTTTCTCTGTGTAGGCAGAAGAGAGGTTGGCTGAAAGGGAGAGTGTTGAATTTTTTGTGGAGCCGGAAGAGGTTGATCAGCACAGCTTCTACCTGACCGCAGTTCAGCCCCACCCTCATCTTCTCTCAGCATCTTCCGAGCACATGACTTCAACCAGAACCTTCTTTGCTTCAGATGAACATTGCTCTTTGAGTGAGGCTTTACTCAGAACTGCTCATCCCAGTGAAAGGCTAGAGAGGTCCGAAGTAGCCAAGAGAGTGTTCTCAAAAGAGAGTAATTCTAAAAGGCACTGTATTCCTTTTACTGCCCATGATTCTTTGGATTCAACCAATCTTAGCATGAATGGCCATGGCTCTGATCCTTTCCCCTTTACTGATCTCCAGCAGTATTCCTATAATTATGAACAAAGCCCAGATCAATGGAATTTACGGGAGGCAGAGACTGCTGCAATCCTGAACCCATCCCAGGAACTGCACAGTTCTCTACCACTAGATATGGGTCTCGGGCCCACAGAAAGAGCACTCTCTGAATCGCAGACTTCTTTTGATGTTTTAAAAAGCATCTGGAGCCCCCACGTACCTAGTAGAGGGGCCAGACGCCCTGCGTCTCGAGTCCTGAGCTACTCTTGCTTAGCTCAGCAGCCACTCTCAGCCAGAGAGTTGAACTCAGGGCAAAGACAGACAGAAGACTTCTTGCAGTTGTTCAGCGTCATCCCTCAACAGCACTCCTTCTGTGGGCAAAATCCTCAGCAAGACATTTGTGTGCCGAGCAGACACCAACAGGATGGGAACAGGTTCTCTGTATTGGCAAACTCCAGACCCTGTTACCATAAAGTATCTGGAAAGCAAAGGAGACCCTCAAATGGTCAGCAGGTCTGGGGACTGATGGAAGTCCCTGAAAGGATGCAAGGAAACCGAGAAGGAGGTTCTTTCAGGTCTGGGAATCATGATCTGGAGAGACTGCTCCAGTTGGAAAGAGCACAGCAGCTACAAGCCTTCCAGCAGTTGCCAATGTCTCATTTCCCCCCATCAGAAGCTCTAGAAGAGGACCCAGACTCCTCCCTCTGCAGCTTCCAGGGACATCTGTTGGGGCAAGCCAGCCCTGAGCCATGGGCCTTTCCCCGGATGAAGTTATACTGAAAGGACATGGGAAGGTTCTTTCCTGAACGGGAAGCACTTGAGAACGGGAGAACCTAGATTGTCACTTTGAAGAGGCGTTTGGTACTTCTCAGATCACAACACACTCTCCCTAATCTCTTTCTGTCTCATTTTGTTCTGCAATTTCTTTCTTTTTAAAAACTCCATTAAAGAACATTTATTTCAAACATATTCATAGATGCAGAAATCTGTATGTGAGAGCCCACAGAGAGCTTTACAGTACAAGCAAAGGGTGCAGGCTAGTTGCCTAGGGGTATGTAAAGAATAATGATGTTACTTGACTCCATTAAGCTACCATATTTCAAGAGTATTCTTGTTTTTGTTTCGACATGAATTAATCCAAGACTTAAAACATTTTACTAAAGCTAGAACAGTCTTAATTATTACTCTCATCATAATCTGAGTGATATTAGAGCATACATTTTTGTGTGTAAATGCCGTTACTTAACATCCTTCATTGATAAGGGATTTTTTTAAAAAAATTATTTGGATTATATCCATGGGATTCTTTGCATCTTTATGAAGTACTAACTTTACAGAAGAGAAAATTCAAATTTATTCTGTAGAACAGTGGCTAGTTAAATGAGTTTCATGAGGTATTCAATTCTATACTAAGAAATGTAGAAACAGACCTCTAGTTGAAAAGTGATGTGTAGGTGCAACTCTTTTCAAGAGTAAATCACACAAAATGAATTGGTGTGACTATATCAAAAGATTTTTCTCCCCGATTACTTTGCTTCTGCTGATGATAGGATGCAACAGCTACCGAAATGCACTCTGAGCCCCTCTGTGCTGACATATTAGAAGATTCCGCCTGTAGGCATTTGCTCTTCCTTTGGCTTGCTTGTCACTGTTCAGTAAGCAAACATCAATCTCTAATTTATCTTTGGTATTTTTCCCCCCTGTTCTTTTACAACAGACAGTTACTTGAGCATATTATTTCCTGGTAAACCATGCTTGATGTGAAAAGCTTCATAGCAATAACTTTAGAAAGAAAGGGATAATTGCTAATATGATGGTCAATGCAAGATACTCATCTAACCAAACAAAGGAAATTACAGAAGCGAATCTTATAGTGCTTATGGAATGTTAAGCAGAGATGTGTCATGAGACATTTTTGAACTACAAACTTCAGAATCATCCTGCAGGTATCTGGCTTGGGGATGTTGGATGCTGTAGTCTAAAAAAGCGGCTTTTCTAAACCCTGGACATCTCTTACTTATAGAAGATGACACATACCATATACTCAGGGGAAAATGCTACATAAGCCTTGTATCTCTGCAAACTCACTAGAATGATGACCCCAGTCACAAAGCCTCTGCATACCCACTCCCATCTGTTACAAAGCTAATATTGCCAGCCTACCATATCAAGGTGTAAAGATTAGCAAAACAATCTCCACTTACTGAAGGGCAGAGGGCACACAGCAGTTTTGCATCAAAACTTGCATATATTGTATTGTCAATCTCCACTTACTGAAGGGCAGAGGGCATACAGCAGCTTTGCATCAAAACTTGCATATATTGACAGAGATCTCTCAAAGGAGGAGAGCAGGCCTTGTATTACCACGTTTCACTTTGACCACAGTGACAGTGTCTTTTACCTTCCCCCCTCCCCCATGCTTTTCATGAAGATAAAATGTGATATGTTCATAAATGTCACCTTGAGTTGCTTGTAGTAAGGCTGAGATACAGGTTTGTTAAAACAATTTAAATCATGCCTGATACCCCTCTACACTGTTATGGAAACCAGTCTCATAAATAAAGAATAATTATACCGGTTTGGCTTGCCTGTTCTCAGACATGTTGCTAGGCTCTGTAATACCATTCCAACGGCAGATTCAGGTTGGTCAGCTCAGTCTTAAGTATCTTAGGGAGTTCAAGAGTGACAGAAGAGTCATCATCTGCCTGGGGTATGGAGTGACCAGAACCAGCTACTGCATTTTGTCCTTGTTCTTGTTTTCCGCCCCCTCATGGTTTATATCTAGGAGATTTCAGGCAGAGGTAATTTGCTTATTCTGCTTTCCCTTTTGGAAGAAATAAGCTTTGGGGAGGGGGGAGTAGAGGGGAAGTTACATGCTGTTCTACACAGCCACTGTGCTCCCTCCTGCCTCTCTGTCACTGTATAACACACAGATCAGCTTACAGATCCATACAATATCAGTCATTCCCTGCAGCGCTTACATTTCTGGCTAGGTTATCCAGACCCAGAAATAGTAGCATTATCATAGCTAGAATAATCTAGTTTCCTTAGGCTTGATCATGTGCAAGGGCTTCTGGACCACTGCAATGACAGTGTCACAAGTTATAGTGTTTTACCGTTGCAGCAGCTCAAAACACTAAAAACAGCCTTGCCTTTGAAATGGAATATATTTACCTTATAGCAGATCAAAGTATTTCTCCACTCAACTCAATATTGTTTTATCTGGGCACAATATCCAGGGTCTCAGGTAGGTTTTTCCATCATGTGTTACTGGCCTCTTCCACAAGAAATACCACGGGCATTTTGCATGAAAACATGCTATCTCCCACTGAGCTACAGAGCCTTCCCTTTCCAACAACAACTGAGTAGATACAGCTAACCGTTTTCCACCTGATGGAACTACGGATCATGTCACATCACATGGTGTTATGGCCCCACAAGAGAAGTCCTCTGGATCCTTGAAGGTCCGGGAGGTGGAACTCCCAGATGGCACCATCGCTGTCCCTGGACCCTCAGAAGTCTCAGAGGCTGACTTTCCAGATGAAGATGACGCTAGTGGAAGTCTTCTGAGGAACAGCCTTAAATGTAGGGGTCTCCTTGAGAGAAAATCAACCAAAATCTGCAGCGGAGTACCAGGTGGGGGTGTGGAAAGCTAGGAGACAACTATGAGTTCTGCTTCTCTATGGATCATCCTTGCAGGAAGTTCTGCTACCTCTTATATGAAGATCATTATTACCTTCTCCTTCTCACAGTGTTTTGAAGGTTAATTAGTTAAAGGCCTTAGGGTGTTTAGAAGAAATCGTAAGTGCTGTTCTCATAACCACCACAGGCAGACCATGTAATTAATACTCCTGCAAGAGTTAAGTATTTATTAGAACTCAGCCCTCCACCTCTGCATTCAAAAATCCTCCAAGCACCCTTGTACAGTATATGTGGCTAATGACATCTCTGAAGTAGCCAGCATTTTGCAAGGGATCTTGAAGTGCCCCTTTAGAGCAAGGAATGAACTGCTTAGCAGAACAATGGGTTTCCTTAATGATCCATGTACTGTTACACAACCAGAGAGTTTTGCATGAATTTAAATGCTCATAAAGTAAATTGTATTGTTCAGTATGTTTTTTTCCCCATGTTTTCCTGAGCTGTGTGTGTCTTCATGAGCTACAAAACCTCTCTATAGAGGTGGAAACGGTATCAAAATATCACAGTGTTGTGTCATCCTATTCAACCCTCCAGCCAGCTGTGGCCTTTTCTAGATAACAGTAGGTTTACCTCCTCATTGCCCTTTATACTTTTTTTTGCCTCTAAAAGTTTAGCTGTACTTCTTCAAACTTCAGACTTCCTTCTTTTTTTATAAGAGGTACCATTTTGGCTTCGTTAAAACCTGTACTACTTAGCGAATAAACATGTTATTAATATACAGGGCACTCATCATGCTTCTTTCAGCAGTGAAAAGCTTCAAAACGCATCCCTTTACCCTTTGAAAGGAAGTTACTAGAGGTTGTTGGTGTTCTGTATTATTTATGAAAAAGGGAAGAAGGGCTTGTGGGGTCGAGAGGATTACACAAATGCAAGAGCGGGCAATACCTTTTTCTGGACCACTAAAAATAAAACAAATTGGAAGCTTTTGTGGATGAAACCCACTTACTCAGACTCTAAGCACACATCCATCATGGATGTTTGTTTATGCTTATTTATCCACAAGCTGCATATATTTACAAATATACAAGAGCCAAAGTCTTCCGCGTCTACACCAGATTTTAAGGAAGACACCCAACATCCAAAGATGGATAGATGTGGTGGGTCTACCTTGATTTCTGTTCTCTGGATTGTTAGTGTTACCAGATGCATGGGACAAGTTTAGCCCAACACCCATTTACTTTTTTTCTCATGTTTTATTAGGGGAATGTAAAAGGGTTGTGCAGAATAAGCCTGGCCTACATGTGTAGCAGCATGAGATGGTACAATGGACTGTGCCACTCAAAAATGGATGCTACATTTTAAAATGCTCTGTATTGAGAACTCCCTGAAAATAAAACATGAGAACAGTTTATTAAGACAGTTTGAGTCAGGTGTCATTGGGACAGTGATTCTGCTCCAGGTTTTAATCCAAACTTTACAGTTGAGGCACTGAACCCTAACCCCCAAAATAGACTCAGCACTTTCATTGCTCCTATGACATCAGAGTCGCCAGACTTTTAAATTAGAATTATTATACCAGAGAGGTGCATTTCCACTTGCTGGGAGTTTGACATGTGGAGCAATATTTGGAGTTTATTTCTTGCCATCTGCAGTGATGTAGTGTCCCCCCCACCCCACTATCTTAGCCTTCTACCACTCATTATTTTATGTGAGAAAGCTCGGTCATGATTGTAGCAAGACCAAATCCTGTCCTCTGTTTTCACACATCTCTGGCTGTTGAACACCCAGTTGCACTACCAGAGGTTGCCTGGGCATATGATGGAAAGCCAGTAAAAGACCTTACACGATCACGTTGAGTAACAGGATCTTGTCCATTAGTCTTTAATGTGTCTCAACAACAGGACTCCTTGTTGCTTCTGCTAAGTCCAAGCCCCCTCATGCTGTTTTCAGCAAATCTTGTACAGTGTGTTCTTGTTTGGAAAACTAGTGCCTTGGATGATGCTCCCTTCCTCCTACTCCATCTTGCCATTTGATTCCAAACCTAGTTTACTGTCTTCAGCAGACCAGTACGCCATCTCTTCCTCTTGCACTTCCTCAGAGTTGCCAGCTTTTAGAGCCGTCCTTAACTTAGCCCAGAACAAATTCTGAGCTTCAGGTTCCGGAGGCCATGCAATATAGGTCTTTTTCAGCATGACTTTCCGCATCCGGTGATAGGCAGAGAGCTCACGCTCAGGAATGGCCTCTAAGAAAATGGGGATGAGAACATCTTTCAGCTCATCAAAGAGGCGATAGCTGGCAAGCTGAATCTCCATCGAGCACCATTCGCTCTGCAGGTAATTCCTGCTGATGATACATATGGTGTGCCGACTGTTATGGATGCTGTCCACAATGTTGTCTATGATATACTTCCCTGGCTGAAAGTCCCGATGATGGAGACAGAGCCGAAAGACGGGACTCCCTCCTTTCTCAAGTCTGGGCACCAAGTGCTCCAAAACCCACCTCTCGTCAGTGGAGTTATAAGAGACGAAGGCATCAAATTTGTAATGCTCATCTTTGCCCCGCCTCCAGTGATTGCTGACCCAAGCACGTAAGATGTAGAAATGATATTTTAACTGCCAGTAGGTACGGTGGTAGAGGAAAGATAGCAGTATGTGAAGCAATAGAGCGGGGAAAGTGACAAGGAACAGGTAGAAACCCACATCTTGGTAACAGACATGGGTATCAAAGCTATACACGTAACTGGAGTGTTGCCCAGCACCGCAGGTGTAGTTGTACAAATAAACAACCTGAACCTGACCGTTATACAGCCATCTCTGGAAGTCGATGTTATCACAGGTGCAAGACAAGGGGCATTTACGCAGATCGAGGTATCGCAATGAGGTGAGCTTTTCTATCACACTGCTATTGACTGTCTGCAGCTCATTTTTCCCTAGAAAGAGGTTGCGCAATCCGGTAAGGTTGCCAAAGACCTCCAAAGTCAATGTGTGAATGCCAGCATTCTCCAAGTTGAGACTAGTCAGGTTTCTAAGATTCTTGAAGATACCAGGTGGAAAGTTCCCCATACCATTACTGCTATCAGTCATACTTAGATATTCCAGCTGTTTTAGGTCATCAAAGACATCTGGTGCAATCGAGAGGATCTTATTTTCTGACAGAAAGAGACTACGCAAGGAGACCAAGCCTTTGAAGAATTTTGGCGGGATGATTTTCAAGCCATAGGGTTGCTGAGCCTGGAGCTTGAGATCGTAAACGTGTTGCAGGTTCAGGAATGGAGGCGGATGGTCCTGCTTCATGCTGATATAGTGTATCCGGTTGCCCATTAGGTCCAGGACTTTAAGAGTTCTCTCCACTGCATGAAAAAAGGTGTAGCTAATGTTTTCAATACGATTGCCGTCCAGGTAGAGATTGTTCAGATTCTGCAGTCCCTCAAATGACCCATTGGTCAAACGGCGGATATTGTTCCCCCCCAGGTCCAGGATATGAAGCTTTCCAAGATTTTTGAAGACACCAGGAAAGAGGACGGAAATACGATTGTTCCGAAGATTGAGTGTCAGCAGGCTACTCAAGTCATCAAAGCTCTCTTCATAGATATCAGTAAGAAGATTATTATCTAAGCGCAACTCAATGAGCTGTCTTAAACCCCTTAAGGCTTTTTTGTCCAAATAAGCTATGATGTTGATATTGAGGTGGAGGGTCTGCAGGTTAGGGGCATAGTGGAAAGCAAAGCTGCGGACTGAGAGGATGCGATTGAAACGGAAGGAGATCGTTGTCAGCTGTTCTAAGGCAGTGCTATTTAAGCAGTACCTTAGACTATTCAACAAGTTGTGCTCCACCACCAAAGTCCGGAGTTGGTTTTGCGTTCTCACATCCAATATATTTGTTATACAACTGACTGATCTGAGATGGTTCCTGGAAAGGTCCAGCATCTGGATGGGAGGACATGTTGAAAAGATGTTGCTGCTCAGGTTCCGGAGATTGTTCTTCTGTAGAAGCAGATGATGCAAGGAACGGTTGGATCTCTGAAGATACTGGCACAGCTCGATTAACTGTGACCCTTTATTTAATTGCAACCCTGAATAGTCCAAGCAGTGAGGCTGCAGGTCAGAAATATTTAGAAGTTGGAAGATGTCAATGCCGGTCCCTTTCAATTGTAGACTGCTTAGATTTCGGAGGCTGACTGTAGCAAAGGAAGAGACATTGGAGATCTTGTTGAAAGAAAGGTCTAGTACCTTCACATTCTTCAGGAACTGTCGTTCATTACCGTCCACCTGACTCAGGGAATTGTTGCAGAGGAAGAGGTAAGACAAGGAAACAGGAAGGCTTAGCTCAGACTTGAGGAGTGTCAGATTATTGTTGCACAAATTGAGCTGCCTCAGCCACCTCAGTCTCTGCAAGCTTTGAACGATTTCTTCAAAGCTTCCAAAGCTGTTGAACTGGAGATCTAGTTTCAGGAGGTTTTGTAATGGGTTCAGTGTGTCCCGATGGATTGTATGCAAATAGTTATTATGCAAAAGGAGGACGGTAAGGTTGTCCAAACCCTGAAAGACATCTCTGGATAAATTTGTGAGATAATTGCAGGAGAGGTTGAGGTTCTGCAAGGCAGAGAGATTCTCAAAGGCTCCATCTTCTATGTTTTCCATTTTGTTGTGGCTCAGATGCAAAGTCTTCAGCGCCGGGAGGTGGCGGAAACTCCCGTAAGGCAAGGATATAATGGAGTTAAGAGATGCATTGATCACAGTTGCATTCCCAGGAAGGTCATCCACAACACTAGAGATGGAGTTTATGAAGCGCTGCATGCACTTGAAATACCCTGGATTGCTTTCGGACTGTATGCAGTTCCTGAAGCCGTAGGCAGCTGCCTCTTGAGTGTTCAGTAGAATAAAAGCCACGAGAGGGTGTAGGAGACTCATTCGGCCCATTGGTGAGAATGATCCTCAGTGCCAAAAGCTGTTACATCACCAAATGAATCTAAAACCAAAGAAAATTTACCGTGAAGCAGGACTACATTCTTATGTGTAACAAGGAAAAGGGGAGGGGTGTATGATGGAAAACACTATGAAAACAGCAGTGCAGGAGATAATTTGTGATTTCTGGATAGCTCGGTAGCTGTCCATGGAGCCAGAAGTTGAAAGTTCAATTCCCCAATGTGCCTCACATATTTGATCATCCATAGTGTCCATTCTAGCTCTACAGTCCAAAGGTTATTATTACAGTACTGTATTATTATCTCATCGTTAATTAATTAATTAATCCCCCGCCCCTCTAGACCATGTCTACTTGGGGCGGCTATGGTTATTTGAATTTGCCCATGATTTTTTCTCGAGGGGAGGAATTCTAGGAGCAAATTGAATATGTTGTATTTAATTCTTCTCTTTTTAAGTTATTTTTGAGCTACACTGAGTCCAATGCCAGAAAAAAGATGGTGTAAAACTGCAATAAATAAATAAATAAATAAATAAATAAATACTCCCAGACTCCATTGCCATTGTCCAAGCTACGTGGGGGGTTCTGGGAACTGCATTTAATTCTGGGAACTGTATATATCCCAGAACCCCCCACCTAGCTTGGACAATGGCAATGGAGCTGAAGTCCAAAATATCTGGAAGGTCAAAGGCTGAGAACCAGAATGCCAAGGAGAACATACATAATGCAGGTCCTAACTATGGATTGCAGCTACTGCAGAAATAGACGTGAACCACTGGAAAAGGTCAAAGCCAAGAGAAATTAACAATATTTGGCAGAGGTGGTTTCTACAACAGGTTTAATGGGGAAAATGATTGAGGGGCTTAAGAGAAGAAAAAGAGAGCTAAATTGGCAAATCATGCATCGTTTGCAACAAAGACACCCCTCTCAGCTTAGGCAAAATCCAGCCTTTCAGCAGTCATGCCACCTGAAAGCTACAATTCGGTCAAACTCATTTCCATCTCTATCTTCTCCCTTTTAATTTTGGACCCCCATATATATTTTGAGGCTCTGCACCTACCTAACATTTGATTTTATTTCATACAGTCTCTCTATTTTGTTTCCCATTACAGTACATGTTAAGTGTTTTACAGACTGGTTGTATAAACCTTTCATAGACAAAAATGTGAGTTCAAGATCCATCAATGTGGCAGAAGTTGACAATTGCCATCACCTCCCCACCGTAGTGTTCTTAAGCATGTGCAAAGTTTAATAATGCACCTGCTCTGCAATAAACAGGAAAACGAAAGCAGAAATCAACTCTGCGCTGGGAGGGCTGCTTCGTGAAAGCTGCTTCCTCTCAGTTCCTCTGTAGTGCATAAGCATACCTCAAATAATTCTTCTGCAGGGTGGAAACGTGCTGTCTTTTAAATGCTTCTCCTTTCCCAGATCAGCATCTATGACACCCTAAGACTCCAACCCTCTCTCCTTTTTCTCCATTTTCTACAAATGGCCCATTATCTTTGCTCACTTGAGGCTGGAGGGTCAGCAGGGGCCAGGGGAGGGCATCAGAAAACACTTGTCACAAGGCACATGGAAAGCAACAGTTGGAAAGTTACTTTTTCAGAAGTATTTTAAAGCTCCCCTCAAGTTATTCTACAAATGCAGGAACAGGTGATATTTAAGAATATAAAACAAAAACAAAACAATAAACAGCGAGCGTTCAATGATAAATCATCTTCTTCATGACTGTGCATCAAGTTCGTGTAGGTCGCTCCAAAATTATATGCTGTTATTAATGTCTCTCGCGTGGCTGATGTTGAGGCCACGCTAGCTACTTACTTGGAAATAGTGCAGTCTGCAAAAGGCCGATGGAGGGGGGAAGGATGTTGTTTTCAAGCCCACCTCAGCTAATAGTCTGGAATTTACAACCCATCTCAAAGAGAGTCATGCGATCTGAGCCTCCCTCATTTCCCCTTTCCACTTTTTTTAAAATTCAAAGACTTTCCTAGGGGAGGAAAGAATGGCCAGAAGCATGGTCTGCCTCTAACAGAGTTAGGATTAGGAATTTAGTTAAACCACCAAAACAGTCAGTTTAAGCCGAATTAAGGCCAAATAAATAGCTTAATCTGGTGGGTGATTTCTTTAGCATGCAATACTGCTTGTTTGGTACCAAAAGTCCATTATATTTAAGAATTCATGTTGGTCTTCAGTTGATACCCTGATCTGTGGCTTCTTACAGCACAGGAAAAATCAGGAAAAGGTGGCATAGTCATTCAAACAATAAAAATGCAGGTTGATTAAATTTAATGGTCAGTAAAAGATATCACCTGTTCCTGCATTGGTTGTATCATTTCTATGACTGTGCAGCCTTTTCCCAGCCCTGTAAGATACTCAAGTTATTCTGTTACCCTCAAGATGTAATTCCTAAATCTAAATTATGTTACTTACTTTCTTGTGCCTAAAAGCAAGCAAAAGACAAACAACCCCCCCCCCGCACACACACCTTGAGCTTGATAAGATAATGACAGAAAACTGCAAACAATTCCACTGAAGGTGTTGCTGGACACCTAAAACACGTCCGTGGAAAATAACTAAAAAGTACTTAGAAAAATCACTAATTATCCTCCGCCTCTAGTGACATAATTCTTGCTTGTCTTGTATCCTGGCCTTGTCTGATTTCAGAAATTAATCAGGGTTGATTAGCGAGTGATTGAAAGGTCAGGAATATCCATGCAGAGGAAATTATTTTGTCCCTCCGCCTAGAAAACTATCACTGCCAGTCCAAGGAGTCTATGGGTCTACTTTGGTACATGCTAGCTTTCTATCCTCCTATCTAATCCATGCCTTTGTTACATATGTTCAAAGAGGTAGTCTTATTAGTCTGTTTGAGTTTGTATAATGTATTTTACTTTATTAGACTTCTATACCACCCACCTAGAATATGTCTACTGTGGGCGGTTTACACAAAATACAAATAGAACATGTCTACTCTGGGCGGTTTACACAAAATACAAAAAAACCTCAAAGATACAAATACAATAAATGAAAAAAACATAGATGCATTTTAAAAGGCATAAAAAAGCCAAATCAAAATAAAAAACGTTAAGCAACATGGCACTTTTAAGGTGAACAGATTTATTTCTGTATGAACTGAATTTAGTGTCTGAAAAAGTGGATTATAATTCACCGAACCTCACACTGAAACAAATCTGTTACTTTTAAAGATGACAACAAAACTGTAAAGGATTCCTACCTTATTCTCCCCAGCCTTCTTGTTCCTTAGTGACTTCGAGTTTGATTTAGTATAATCGCAGTCTATTTTTCGGTCTTGTGGGGGAGGGTGTCTTTCCTTTTTAATTAGCTTGCATTATTACTTTTTGTCTGCTCAAGGGGGAAGTGAACTGGAGTTTCTGTTTTTAGTTTTGTTTCTGACATGTTACAATGCAGTGTTCTCCTTTCCAGTTGCTGGTGAGAGGTAGCTGACAAACTAAAGAAACCTGCAGCCGAGGAAGGTGGGTTGATGGCAGGCGAAAGGCATATAAGTGTCTTGTTAAGGAGAGTGTGGTGTGGGTTCTACTTGTACAGTGCCATCAAGCTAAATTCACAACCCACTGGGAAGCTGGAGGATAGGCTGTTACCCAAGCAGCAAATCCCCCTTCTCCACGTCGCTGAAATGGTCCAATGGAAAGGCAAGAGCCAATACAACTGGTTCCAGCAATAGTGCCAGCAAGCTAAATTCACAACCCACTGGGAAGTTGCATCCAGATCTGATGCGTCTAAAGAAATGGGCTAGTGATCACGAAAGCAAGCTTATTCTGCTTAGAGCTTTCCAGACTTTACGTTGTGACAAGACTCCTTGTTATTTCTGTTAATATTATCTACAGTACAGTCTTTAGACAGACTCATTTTGCTTTTATTCTAAAGTTTATGTAACTTGATCTGCCTAATTCTGGCTATCTGACAAGTTGTTAAGACACATCTCAGGTAAAAATCCAATAATAAATACATAATAAAATAAAATCTCAGGTGTGATTGGGTATGCCCTCGGTTCTGTGACCAGGTACACAACCAATACATGCTCCAGCACCCTGTAAATTAGCTGCAATTAGCAGCAGCAAGTCACACACCAGTAGATTTCTGGCCATTGTTTAAGTTCCTATGAAACAAGTCACACACACCTTATGCGAACACCAGTAGGTTTCTGGCCATTATTTAAGTTCCTATGAAACCCCTGAGCTGGCTGGATAGGTCAGTGGTTTAAGTGTCTGGCTGCACAGCCAAAGATTGGGAGTTTGATTCCCCGCTGAGCCTCCAGGGAGAAAAGCCAGCCTGGGTGGCCTTGGGCAAGCTGCACAGTCCCAGAGCACCCCTAGAAGAAGGGAACGGTAAAGAACTTCAAAATATTCTCTACCTGGAAAACCCTGAAAAAGGTCACCATAAGTCAGAATTGACTTGCTGGCACATGAAGAAGCACCCAGTGCTGTATAAAAATATAAAGAAAAGCCATGAATTTTTTTTAAAAGAACAAAAATATAAAGAACTAGGAATGAAGAATGAGCCTCCTCCCTCACTTTCATTTTAATACAATTATTGTTCCCCAGCAGAGGTAAAAAAATACCGATTTTAGTGTGATTCTTCTTTTTCTTGTTCAGAGGTGAGACATGTGGAAGCTATATGGACGTTGGACGGAGCAGCTTTAAACAATGATTTGGTATTGCATCCAAAAAATTCACCCATGTTCTAGAGGTCTTCTCTTTGCTGTACAGTACTTTTTTCTCATTTTAACTCCAATGATCAGCTGGCATACTCTAGGTTTTTCATTTCTCTTAGGTGGCAAAGTATTCTAGCTTTCTACATTTTGTGAGTGTTCAGGTGCCTTTGGCTTTTATTCATTTGCTTTGAGACTTTTTTTTTGGTTCATCCTCCATCCTCTCTATCCAAGAATTCCCTCACATCCTACAACGAATCCACATTTCAAATGCAGTTCTCTCTGCTCAAATATACCAGCTCCATTCCTATGTTAACAAAGGAAATGTCGCTTTGCCCGTTATCTGTATCTTCCCCTGATCATGGAAATATGTATACAGGCCATGCATTTACATTCCTGTGTTTGAGGAAGTGGATTTGGATCCACAAGAGCTCACACTCAGCTAAAACTGATAATCTTTAAAGCACTACATATATTTAGAGGATGCTACCAACGGCTTCATCATCATCATCAGTGCAGGAGACCATCAGGAGACCAATCACAGGGTCTGAGAATCAGCAAAGGGCATGAACCTGTAGCCCTCCCAGACGTGGTTGAACTACAGCGCCCATCAGTCCAAACCACCATCATGGGGGAGGATGGGAATTACAGAGCCACCTGGAGTGGCAGCATCCAGGGGACTAAACAGCCAGTGCGCAGAAGGGAGAGATTGGTATTGGAAATCTGTATTTGAGGTTGCAGGATCCGGGGAACAGATTTAGGAGTCCCTGCCCCGAGGTGCATACAATCTGAACGGAGGGAGGGAGCGTTGGAAATTGGCTTCTGAGCCTGAACACCCAAATGATCCGCGACGAGAGAGCCCGGAATGCGCCGCGAATGGACCATTCTGGGCCATTCATGCAGACCAAACGGAGAGCGCGCAGGAAAGGCGCAGCCCATCCTCGCCTCCCCGAAAAGCGGGGTGCTCTTTTCTGATGATGCAGCGCCTCCCTCCCCGGCGAAAGGAGACGCACCCACCAAATGCACCGGCTTTGGGAGTGGAAGGAGGAAGGGGCGCCTTTTGGAGGGGGTGAGAGCGTGTCTCTTTAAACGGGAGCGCGCAGGGAGCTGAGCCCGGCTGCTTGGAGCCGGCCATGGGGCTGAGGATGGAGCGATCCTGGCCCCACCAGCCACAGCCCGGAGCTCTAGGGCTCCTGCGCCCCCTTCAGCTTCTCCTGCTCCTCTTGCCCGAAACCTGCTGGGGCAAATACGTGAAAGGCAACATCAGCACCAAAGAGGTGAGTGCGCGTCTCGTAGGAATGAAGGGAGCGAGCGGGTGGGGGGGGGAGGAGTGTTTTGAGATGCCGGGGATGCTGGCTCGGCTTTGGCAGCGCCGATCCCGAGGCTCCTTCCTCTCGGGGACCCTATGGCGCAGGCCTTTCCCCGCACCGACCCCCCTCCCCTCGCCTCCGCCCCTCTGGAAACCCGCTGCGCCCTCGCTTACGATGCGCGCCCTCCAGCCTCTGCGCCTTCTGCGATGCGGAGAAGATGCGCGGGCTGGGGCGCGAGGGGCGGGTGGCTGTCGCCTCCTCAATGGGATCCCCTCCACCCTTCATCTCTTGAGCCTTCTTAGTCTCAGACAAGTCCCCCCCATCTCTTTCTCACACACACTTATTATTTTTATTATTTAAAAAAAACTCTCCGACCCCCCCCCCCCACCCCCGNNNNCCATGTTGGGTTTCGGACAGAGATGGTTGCCAAGGGAGCCTCTCTTCTTCTTGGATGCTGGGAAAGAAAGAGGGGGGGGGAGAGTCCTTCCCGGGTGTCCAGGATGTAGCTGGGATTGGAGGTGGCAGAGTGGGTACCCTGAGAAGAATAACGATGGCCAAACCATCTGCCCCCAAACAGGGCATCCTTAGTCAGCCAGAAGGGCAAAGGGCAAGTTATCTGGGAATTTTGGATTGTGGCCAAAGGTGGGTGAAGACAGCCTCCTCTCCTTATTCTTGGCCTGCGACAATTAAATAAGGCCATTGATCTCTAAGGATACTTGGCACTCTAAGGAGAAGGATCACCACCACCACCACCACCACCCCCGGATTTAATTCAATGCACCTTTATATCTTTTTAACATCCACCAGCCTTTTCTTTTTGGCTGCAGTGTTAAGACTGACCGGAGAGGTTCACAGTTCTATTGGTAAAAGAGGAGGTGGGGTACCCTGTATAATTGAGTGTGTCGTGAGCAGGAAAAGGAGGTGAAGGGGGCACAGATCGGTGTGACAATGCAGACGGAGGCATTTTGGATAAACTCCTTTGACTCCCTTTTGGCCATCGGGAGGTGTGACCAGGCAGGAGGAGCAACTTTCGGCCATGTTAGTCTCTCGCAGCCCAAAATGTTGCAACACCGTAGACTAACAGAGGGATTGTGGCAGCTTTCACGGATCTGCGTGGTCAGTTACAGGGAGTGTTATCCTAAATTGATATATGTGTATACAGTGGATTAACGCACAAAGATGTGAAGAGAGAGAAAAAGGAGGAGTAGAATCAAAATGCAGTCTGTGAGAATATTGTATCAGTAAATCAAGATCTCGTATTTTTGTTCCTACTCAAATACAATGGCTGAAATCCAGAAGGGAGTTGTGACTAGAGTAGACCCATTGAATCAGTGGAACTTACATAGTTGTTGACTCACTGATTCAATGGGCGTACCTAGATTATGACTTACTATTATATTATATTATATTGGACATGGGATGTTCTGTCTTAGCCTCTGTATTACAATCAACAGTGTGTTGTTTCTGCTGTTGGAAATGGTCACAGTGCAATGCTGTAGATCACCCAGATGTTCTCGATCATCATTCCCATCATCCATTATGATTAGCTGTAGTGGCTGGGAATTGGCCTCCAAAGCAAGCTGAAGGCCAGAGGTTTCCCACCCTTGCTTTATGCTATTGGCCTGCAGTATGCTTCTTTCACCTCCTGCCATTTAGCTTGATTTTTAAAAATATGACCTGTCTCTTGGAAACTTCAGCTGTTTTAGGTGCGACAGAGATGCATGCTGTTCTAGGCCACAGAATGTGCATTTGAGCTGAGGTTGCTTCAGATTTCTCTGATGGGTGTGACTAGGATGAGGAGGAAGGGAATGAAGCCAATGAAGCATAGTGCAGTCTCGGTCAGGATTGCACGCTTTACTCCTAATTCTTAATCCAGAATCCGAAGAAGGGAATGGTCAACCATTCTGAGTCTTCCCTACCTGGGAAACACAAGAAAGTGTCACCATAAATCAGAAGTGACTTGAGGGTATGCAATTATTATTATTATTATTACTATTAAATGAATTTACTCTCTCTCCCACATTATTAAGCATCGGTATAATAACTACCACCCGAATAATCCCTATCACAAATTTCAACCGGCATTCCATGAATAAAACATGCTTTTAAACACCCGTTTCCTGACCACCAGCTTCATTTACTGTCTTTACCTACTCTGCAGCAGCATTTACAAATGGGTGGTGAAGCGATTCATAAAGGCTAAATGTGCATCGTTCATGGATCTTGAGCCTGCACCCAATTTGTGCCATGGAGATTAGGAACACACTACCTGGGAAACACAAGAAAGTGTCACCAAAAATCAGAATTGACTTGAGGGTATGCAATTATTATTATTATTATTACTATTAAATGAATTTACTCTCTCTCCCACATTATTAAGCATCGGTATAATAACTACCACCCGAATAATCCCTATCACAAATTTCAACCGGCATTCCATGAATAAAACATGCTTTTAAACACCCGTTTCCTGACCACCAGCTTCATTTACTGTCTTTACCTACTCTGCAGCAGCATTTACAAATGGGTGGTGAAGCGATTCATAAAGGCTAAATGTGCATCGTTCATGGATCTTGAGCCTGCACCCAATTTGTGCCATGGAGATTAGGAACACAATGCAGTGTACCCACCACAGGGGAGACGCCGTGGGAAGTGATCATCCTGCGTGGCGGCTGAATGGCATGTGATGGGATCAGCAGGGAACAAGTAGAGGAACTGGGTTGGCATGGGAGTCGGAAAGAACAGTTTTGTGTGAAATGGACTCTGGGCCTGCCGAAGCTGCTGAATCAAGCATCTTTGCTCTTGAGGGGGTTGCCTGGTGGTGTCGTTTGGGCTCCGCTAAGCAAGATTACAGAAGGAGGCCAAAAAAGGGGGGAGAGACAGGAACCTCTAATACATCTTGTAGTTCAGTTAAACTATATTAAGGACTTGGGATAAAGAAAGAGCTCTGTCTGTCTCTCTGACGTGCTGTCGCTATTGCAATATTTATTTTTTGTGGGGCACGTTTGGGATCAGCGCTTGCTGTAGGATGCTTTCTCCCCAAATTGATCTCCTGGCTGAGACGAGAAGCCATCTGCTTATTTTCGGTCCATCATGCGCGGTTAAAAGAAGAAAAGTTTTACCGGGATGGGGCGGGAGGGTGTAGTGCAGGGGTCCACGAGCAAACTCATGCTGAGAATGGAAGAATTTAAGACCAGATTAGAAATGGCAAACCCAGAGATGAGAGATCCCCTTAAAACATATCTATCTTTCCCTATCTTTTATTTTTTCCTCTCTGTGGTGTTTTTGTTCCCTTAGACTGAGGTCTGCCTGTGGGACTTGGGAAAGGCAATAGACCTTCCTAACATTTATATGATATTGAGGCCATGTCCCCCTTGTTTTATGGGGGGTGCTGCTGAAGGACTAGCGGTTTGCTGGGGTTACGGCCTGATAGCCACGCAGAGAGATGTGGGTATTAGGTGTCCCCCCCCCACACACTTTTATGCTTCTCCCTCTATTTGCTTCAGTTCTTAGATTTGGCTTGTTCTCCCTGCCTTCTTCAGCCTCTGGTATGGTTTCCGTGGTAACCTTCAGCATGGGTTGTTGCCATGGGAACAGGAGGGGATTTTTAAGGGGAAGGAGGAAAGCCGGAGAGTTGTTGGACCGAAGAAGGTAAAAGAAAGCTCACTTCTTTGCACACCTTTCTCTCGGGGAGATTTGCGAACCTTCAACCTCAAATATATACCGTATTTTCAGATCTAAGAGATGTGTTGTCTGCCTCACACGTGAACAAACGCCCTGCCATTTTTTTGCTATCGTTCTTCAGAGCCCATACACCCTGGTCTGCCTAATCTTTGAGGGTACAGTGGTGCCTCGCTAGACAGTTACGCCGCATGACAGTTTTTTCGCTAGACATTGACTTTTTGCGATCGTTATAGCGATTCGCAAAACAGTGATTCCTATGGGGGAATTTTGCTGGACAATGTTTGGTCCCTGCTTCGCAAACTGATTTTTGCTAGACGACGATTTTGACAGCTCCCTCCACGCTTGCAAAGCCGGTGTTTTCGGGCCGTAAGCTTCACAAGACAGCGATTTAAACAGCTTTCCTATGGCCTATCTTTGCTAGACAATGATGATTCTTCCCCATTGGAACGCATTAAACAGGTTTCAATGCATTCCAATGGGGAAAATGCTTTTCGCTAGATGATGATTTTGCTAAACAGTGATTTCAGTGCAACGGATTATCATCGTCTAGCGAGGCACCACTGTAGATTCAACCCATCAAATATCTCTTCCTGGCCTTTTCCTCCCAGCTCAAATGAATTATTTTCACCTTCTCGCCCATCCCTTTGTGGGTCTGCCTCTCCATTGGGTGTAATTTTGGCTGGTTGATGTGGGAGTGTCGTTGACCCAGGAAACTTGGTACCTTGCGTTCGGATCAGGTAACAAGGATGCAGGAGTAGCTTTCACAAGATGCTTCGGGAGACTTCCACCAAAAAAAGAAGGAAAGAAATGCCAGGTGGCTGAAATATGGGTTCCTAGCAAAGATGCCGTTGCTTAATCCCACATTAATGGAACCGGAGTGAAGGCTAGCCTCTTCTTTGGCATTTAGGGTCAGAATTCGTTCCGAGGACCACAAAAGAACACTAGCATTGTGCAGCCTGAATTGTACAATCCAGTCATCCTTTCTATGTTTACGCAGAAGTAGTTCCACTGAATTCAGTGGGGCATGTGGTTCTGTGATGTGCCATCAAGTCTTATATTGACCCTAACAGACCCTTGAAGGTAAATGAGATATTTAAGGAATAGTTTTACCAGTTCTAGCTTCAACCCCCCCCCCCATTGGCTGAGTGGGGATTCGAACCCGCGTTCCCTGAGGCATAGTCTGTCATTTCATCCACTGCACCACAGTGGGGTGAACGGGAGTAGGATGGCTGTACCTTTTATTCTTTTCTCAGAAGAAACAGGACACATATTCAGTATGTAAAGGAATCTGTAAACTAATGATGAGAATTCATGTCAGTTACAAGTTTATGTTCTGGGAGCTAGAAGAAGAATAGTAAAGTCCAGTGGTTTGATCTATGTAGGATCATTCTATGATCTTCCACTTTCTTGGTTTACAAGTTTATGTTCTGGGAGCTAGAAGAATAATAATAAAGTCTATTTGATCTATGTAGGATCTATGATCTTCCACTTTCTTGGTCCTAAAAAAGGGAATTGCTTAACAAACAAAAGGAAAACCAGATTCTTGGAATCACTCTGTATTCCAGCCCATGGCATTGTCTACAATGTAAATAGTTTTACTTGTTTATTTAAAATATTCTACCCCCTCCTTTCTCCTTAAAAGGGCCCAAGGTGGTTTGCATCATTAGAAGATAATATTTACAGCTAAGAACAGTAACTATACACATACTTTAAAGGATCAAACAGATGCCACAGTAAAAGGCAGTAAACAAAAGCAAAACTGCATTCAAAACGCCCATGGCATTGTCTACAATGTAAATAGTTTTACTTGTTTATTTAAAATATTCTACCCCTCCTTTCTCCTTAAAAGGCCCCAAGGTGTTTTGCATCATTAGAAGATAATATTTACAGATAAGAACAGCAACTATGCACATACTTTAAAGGATCAAACAGATGCCACACTAAAAGGCAGTAAACAAAAGCAAAACTGCCTTCAAAGCAAATCAAAGCTGATGATTTTAACACTTGGGCAGGCTCATAAAAGGAGGTGTGGTCCTTGAGATAGCTTGGGCCCAAGGCATTTAGGGCTATATTGGTTAGAACCAGCACTTTAAATTCAGCCCAGAAACAGATTGGCAGCCAGTGAAGCTGCTGTAACGGGGTGGGGGGTATGTAATCCCTGTAGCCCCAGTCAGGGGACCCATTTTATACTAGTTAAACAATTACGGCACACACACAAACATGCACGAATGCCAACACTTTTAAAAGACAGGCTGCACTTTTGATACCAACGATGACCCATCCCCTGCTCATTCTATGCATTCTTCCAATAGCTTGGGCCCAAGGCATTTAGGGCTATATCATTCTATGCATTCTTCCAACGTCTCCTGACATTCCAATGCTCCTTGCATCATGGATGAGGTTGACCCTATACCCGCTCTTTGGCGGCAAGTCGGATTTAGGATCATACAGACCTGAAGCCACAAAGACAGACCTAAAAACAAGCAGCTGCTTCTAACTGGGTCACGTCAGCCTAGCCTCTTCGGTTGGTGCACTGCGCTCTATTACATTAATGAATCTGATGTTAACTGCCTAATAGATTCCATGTTATGTTGTTTGGGATGTTATTTAGCCTTTTTAGAGCCATGCCATAAAATCTTATGGTAACTGGTTGAAATGGATCTTAAGATTGCTGATACTGTATAATTTTCAGACTCGGTTGGGGCTTAAGCTAATCTCTCCTAAAATATAACATTCAAACTATGTTAGGCTTCTTTTTCCAATGGGCTTGAATTTCCAATATGCTGGGATTTCAAGCTTGATGAGCCACTCAGAAAAGATTTGGAGGAATCAGAGGTTTCTCCATGCAAGATAGCCTCAGTGCATCTCTTTAACTTCCTTTAATCTGCTTAATACCTCCCCAAGTCCATCTAGCTGGTTTGCATACAGTGTCTAATATTGATTTTCCAAGATTTCAGAGATATGTCTATTCCTAGCATTATCTGGGTTCTTGCAGGGGATTGAATCTAGAAAGCTGAAGCGCCATCCCCTTGAGGCAAGAATTCTGTCACGTTGATTCCAGACTGCTGTGTTCTGGAAACTTATAACAAGAACCCAATAAAGGTAGCAGGTCATTTCGAATGTTGGGGCCCCAGTCAATGACTTTCTTCCTCTCTAGACAATTGAGCCATGGGGTCCATGTCAGATGGAAAAATGATTTCTTGGCTCTCTCTGCATTTTTTTGCTGCTACCAATCCTACATATATAGAGCAGAATTAGCCTTGAAATAGACAACACCTTTCTTCTCCCCAGGACTGGGTCTTTCTGACACGATTCTGCTTCCTTTCCGACTATGGCCGCCTGGATTTCCAGTTCCGCTACCCAGAGGTACATGTTCTTCTGTAATTTGCAAAATCCCAGCCTTCTGTTTGTACAGAATGTGTTTGCAATTTGGAGGCTCTGGTGCTATCCTCACAGCGCGTTTTCTGCTTCCCTTTAAGGCCAAATGCTGTGAAAACATCCTTCTGTATTTTGATGATCCTTCCCAGTGGCCATCTGTCTACAAGAAAGAAAATAAGGTCAGTTTCTTGAATGGTCCTCTTCAATTTTTCTCTCTCTTTTTCTCTTTTTCCCCCTCTCTCTTTCTGAAGTGCTGTAGTTTTCTCAGTGCATCCGTTTCTGCTGTTGAAAGTACATTCATCCATGTCATAACACATTTTGGTGGGTGCGTCATGGACAAGTATAGAAGGATTGAGATGAAATCTAAATTATAGATCAGCCTTCTCATGGAAGCCTGCTGAATTTAAACTCCCATCACATCCATTGGGAGAGCAACTGTGGTATTTCTGGCTTGTCGCGGTTTTTTAATTTTAATTGAGCTGCTGAGAAATATAGTTAGATCTCTCTCCGTTCATCACAGAACCTTTTCTCTCAACATTATCCTGTGATGAAGGGCACAGTGACCATTAAACCAGTTCAAGCCTATACCGTAGAAATGCCCTGGCTTCAGTCCTGTTTTGACTCCTCTGGATAAGCCCTGTTGAACCAAATGGAAGTTGCTTGGCCCTGAATTAACAAGATAGGGTTGAAACCATGTCTCCATGCTTTTCCCTCCCCTTTCTGATCCTGGAATAATAAGGTACACCTAAACTGCAGGGTTGTTGTACAGATTAAGTAATGCATGTGAAATGGTTTGAGCGCTCCAACAGTACTGAATGAATATTAAATATTATTATTATATGCACACTGATAAAATGACAGAATAATAATGGATATTTTTTTTTACAGACCATGGTTTCTTCCCCTTGGCATTTGTTTTAAAGTGTAGAAGGGCTGTCAAAGCGGCTTAAATCAAAAACATCCAGGTTGAGCATTTCAGTTTTTTTCAGCTGGGATATAAGGGGAAGAAAGCATTACTAAAAGCTACAGAGCGACCACAAATCTTCATATTTCAAATATACACATAATTGACATAATTTCCCTGATGATAATGAATGTCAGCGTAGCAGATGGGATCCTCTTTTCTAGTGTGATGTAATTTGTACACTTGTGGTGTAAGATGGGATGTGGCAGTTCCGGAGATATGAGCATCGGCTATCAGCGTCGGCTCGTTAAGGTTCAGCAATGAAATGTGTTTGCTCACAAATGTTCTTGCTGCCAGAGAAGTTAATTTAAGGTCTGCTTCTCAATGTGCAAAGAAAGCTGCTATAAGGAAGGGTGGGCGGTTGCTAGGGTGACATAAATCCTTCCACAAGTTCTTTTTGTCAGCTTTGCTGTGTTATATATGTTGGGGGGGGGGCAGCTGTTTAATAAGCTGGCTGGAATCAGAGAGGTGTGTGCAACATAAGGTGTGATGCTAGTTTATGAGTGTAATTCCCAAATAGGGTACCAAGAGGCGCAAGTGTGCCATTAAGAAAACCAGTAGCATATCTGGACTGAAATATAAGGGCAGAGTTGGAAGTAGTAGCTGTGTCCATCTGTGCCAGCATATCAGAATAGGGATGAGGGATTTGGAATTCAAAGACCCCCCCAGTCCCATAATTCAGTGGGAACCCCCCAGGCTGAATGATGAGACCTGGAGACCTCAAACTGGAAGGGCATCCATCCTCTACTGGCATTTGTTCCCCATGCACTTCTGTAAGTCACAGGCAATCCTCGTGACTCTCATGATGCAGCGAGTTTCCTAGTGGTTCAAAGAAGCCGTGTGGGAACAGCATGGGGGGGGGGCGAGGGGCCGCTCTGTCTTCTGCCAGTTTGAGGGCTCCTCTCCCATAATTCGGCTTTGTGGAGTTCCTGCAGAATTACGGGACTGGGAGAGCTTCGGTTCAGAAAATCCCATCCTTATATCAGACGACGACAACAACAACAACCACACACACACACACACACACACACAGAGAGAGAGAGAGAGAGAGAGAGAGAGAGAGAGAGACAGACACAGACATTGTGGCACATGAAAGACCACCTGCTATATTTTAATATGAGCTTTCATGGACCAAGTCCACTTCTTCTGACATTACTTTTGCAGAGTGCGGGTGGCATAGAAGTCAAATAAATGAATGAATGAATGAATGAATGAATGAATGAATGAATGAATGAATGAATGAATGAATGAATAAATTAGAGTAAGGGTGGATGACTGTTGTATTTATACATGGCCCCATGACCAGGTGAGGATACAGATAATGTACAAAGAGACAAGGGTTCATTTGCGAAGAAACAGGGCTGTCAGGCTATGAAGAGTTTCAGCTGTCGGTCTATGAGTCTACAAGTTAATAACATTGGTGACACAAGTGGCAAACTCCAGTTTCAACAACCAGGAATCTTGTGTGGGGAGTCAAGAATCCATCTTGTGTGGGCACAGCTTGGAAAAAGTATTTTTTTCCCCAGGCTGTAACTCCCAGCCGACATGTCACGCTAGGGGGAGTTGGTCCAGAAATATAACCGTTCCAAGTTCTGCCCATGGGCCAAAACAACCTGGAAGCATGAAGAGCAATTGTAGCATAAACCAGTGATTCTCAACCTTGGGTCCCCCAATATTCTTGGACTACAACACCCAAAAATCCTGGCCAGCAGAGCTTGTGGTGAAGGCTCCTGGGAGTTTTAGTCCAAGAACATCTGGAGGTCCAAGGTTGGGAACCATGGGCTTAGAGCATGAGCATCTGGAGGTTCAAGGTTGGGAACCATGGGCTTAGAGCAGGAAGTCTTTCATAGCCTTTCCTGCTGAAGAGGGCCAATGAGGTCCAGCATGATCTGGCAAAGATGGTTATGTGCTGGATTGTTGTCATTCTAACAAGACCTCCCGCTGATGCCTGGCGCGGGATCTTTTTTAATTGTGTGCTCCCAGCCCAGTACTCTGAACACCCTCCAATGGCTTATTCTAGCTTCTGTTTTAATCTCTCACAACATCCCTGAGGTCATGTGAGAAATTTAGTTTGCATTTTTCAGCCACTGGACACTGGCGTTACTGGTGTTACTGGTTCCTCATTCAGAGAAAGAGTGGCCTGTTTGTTCTCAGAAGAGGCTGCCTGTCCTATCTCTTTATGAGTTACTGTTCTTGGGCTGGATCATCTTTCAGTTTGGAAACACTGTCATGCATATGGAAATACAAAAGAAGTGTTTGTTCATTTAAAAAAAAATGCTTTAAAACCTTTTAGAGTACAAGAGTGAAGTGTGTCACTGTTTCTAATTCTGGGCAAATAAAAGCTACGCTGCTATTAAATGAGTCGTGTCCTTGACCTCCTTTGAATCTGCTCGTCTGGTTTGGGTGATTGCGAACCTGGGGCTGCAACTCAGTCATTTTTATCTTACCCCTCTTCTTCCTAGGATTGTTTGATGAAAGAATCCGTAATCCGCCCAGAAAACAATCAGGTGATCAACCTCACAACCCAGTATGCCTGGTCTGGATGTAAGGTAAATATTTCCAAAACAAACTACAGATTTCTCTCGGTTTCTTCTATGCCATATGCAATGATTTGTTGTATTCTTTCCCTTAAATAAAGACATATATTGCTCCTTGCCTTTATTTGTTTTTACACTGATCTGCCCTGGGTCTTTGAATATGGGCAATGATAATGTCAGGGAGACATATAGATGTAAGCCCAGTAAAGATGTAATTGTTAGGAATGGGATTTTTGTAATTTTAAAACAAATCCCTTAATTCTCCATTCTGGAAGTTTTATCTGACACACAGAGACCTACATTTGGCTCCCCCGGGAGAAAGGCCTAAATCAGAAAGCCTTGAGCTCTAGCTAGACTTAGCTCCATGCAGCCTTCCTGTTCCTGCCCTAATGCTAGGTGAGAGCTTTCTTTCTGAGCAGGGAGCTAGGCTTAGTCTGGACTCATAATCTTTCTGCTTAGGCCTTTCTCCTGTGTGAGACCCACTTAGGTGTACAGTGGTGCCTCGCTTAATGATAATCCATTCCAGGAAAATCGCCGTTAAGCGAAACATATAGATGTAAGCCCAGTAAAGATGTAATGGTTAGGAACGGGATTTTTGGATTTTTTGGAATTTTTTTAAAAAATCCCTTAATTCTCCATTCTGGAAGTTTTATCTGACACACAGAGACCTACATTTGGCTCCCCCAAATGTAGAAAGGCCTAAATCAGAAAGCTGTAAATTTAGCTCCATGCAGCCTTCCTGTTCCTGCCCTAATGCTAGGTGAGAGCTTTCTTTCTGAGCAGGGAGCTAGGCTTAGTCTGGACTCATAATCTTTCTGCTTAGGCCTTTCTCCTATATGAGACCCACTTAGGTGTATGTAAATGGTCTGTCTGTCTGTCGGATAGAACTCCCAGAATGGAGAATTACAGGATTGTAGTCCAAAAAAATTTGAGCATCTCACCTCTAGTAAAGGTATATTAGACACCGTCCTGTGCTGGAACAAAGAGGGATCTATACTTTTCTTTGTTCTTCTGTACATCCTAATTCTTTTTTCTGTGTTTTCTTGCTAGTTGGTGTCGTTGTTAAGTAGATTCATCGTAATGTGGGGCAATCGTAAAGCGAGGCACCACTGTAAAGGTATATCAGACACTGTCCTGTGCTGGAACAAAGAGGGAGCACAGACAGTTGCACCTGCTATAGTTTTCTTTGTTCTACTGTACATGCTGGTTCTTTTTTGTGTGTTTTCTTGCCTAGTTGGTAACAGAGAACTCAGTGCGTTATCTGAGCTGTGCTAGTGGCAGAAGTTTCCGCTCAGTCCGTGAGCGTTGGTGGTATGTGGCTCTCAGCAAGTGTGGGGTGAGTCTTGTCACTTTCCCCTTCTTCTCCACCCTATGGCTCTGTCTTCATCCCCTCCCCTAAGAGCCAGAATGACTATTGCCACTTCCCCCCCATAGGGTGACGGGCTGGAACTGGAATATGAGATGATTCTGACCAACGGCAAGTCCTTCTGGACACGTCACTTCTCAGCCGATGAGTTTGGTGAGCAAGATAATTCTGTTTTCAGTTGGACAAGATCTGATGTTATCATTTTGAAATTTATCATTGCATCTGGAAGACGGAGACTGCTTCCTGCTTCCTTCCAGCTCGTGCAATGAGTCTGGTTCTGCTTGAGCCTTGAGAGCCTCAAGAGAGGAACTATTTAATTACTGAAAACTCCCCCTTCCAGATGATGCCATCTCCTTTATGCTGGTGCACTCAACAAGATTTTGGCCACAACCAATAAAATGCAGGGCAGACTCTTTCAGTAGATAATTGTTCCTCATTTCCCCAGGTCGGTTTTACGTAGATGTTTCCCTTTGGAAGGACAGACTTGAGATTTAAAATATGAGTTGGACATGTGGTTGGTGAACTGGTACAAGGCCAAACAATGCTAGTTCTTCAACGGTATCAGCTCTAAAATGGCCTCAGCATGCTCACGCTTGTTGCTTGCGCCTCAAGTTTAGTCCATCTTTGACTGACAGAGAGTTCTTCAAAACTCAAAATCTCACTTTTTCATGATCCAGTAAAAATATTGCCTTAACTCCGAACTTTAGTCTATGAATGGATTACTCAGTTATTTCTCCTATCGCTGCTATCTTCAGGGTGCAAATAGCGGGGAAAGGGATTCCCATTTGCAGTCTTAGATAGCATTCCAGTATGACCTTTTCTGCTTCTTTTCAGGCATCCTGGAAACTGACATTACTTTTCTGCTTATCTTCATCCTGATCCTCATCATTTCCTGCTACTTTGGCTGTAAGTATTAAAAAGTCTCTTGCATGGTTTGATCAGCAATTCCAGTTTCTAATGTGATCATTTTGGAGGCAACATGTGCCAGAAAACCGGGGTCTCCATACCTCGAAATGCAGAATAGAGTACTATCCAAACATCAAACAGGAAGAGGAAGTGAGAGCCGTCCGCAGTTCATCCACTACTGTGATTATCACACGACTCTGTATTGCTCTAGGGCTAATAATAAGAAGATGGTTCCTGTTTTGTGAATTTGAGAAGAGAAGGGCATAGTGGTTGTTAGGGCTTCTCAAAATTGTGCAGGGCTAGAAAAGAGACATAGTTTTATCTGTGATCTGCACTTTTTGCCAACCATTTTGCCTCCTTTATTTTCCCTTTTCTTTTTTAACTCGTTCCCTCCTAGATCTCTTGAAGGGGCGGCAGCTTCTTCACACCACCTATAAGATGTTCATGATGGCAGCTGGCGTGGAGGGTAAGTTTTGGCAGAGCTTGAGAAGATAACTTTGCCATATTCTAACCTCCAGGCAAGGAAAGTGACATTCTGAGTAGAAAAGGGAAAACTGTTCATTAAACAGTTCAAGGATCTATGCTGAGAAAATGGGCGTACATTTTCCACGTAATCCAACACTGCCATTTTAATGTATTTGTTTTGTACAATTTTTGGGATAAAGAAAAGAGTATTCTCTCCAAAGCCGATTCTCTCATTGAACTGCCCTCATGTGCAAAGGTGCTAAGAGTATACCTACAATTTAACCAATACAATACAAAGCCAATGTAACTGTTAGCCATCCTTGCTCCCGCCAAAGAATTCTGGGAGTTATCATTGTTCTAAGAATTCTCTGCACCCCCTATTGAATTCCTGGAGTGGAAATATATACTGAACCATTTTCATCTGTGGTTTATGTCTGCCTATGGATATAATAACCAGGCATTGCCTGTAAAGCTAGATTTCTGCTTTTTAAAAGTTGTAGCTTGGAAACACACACCTTGTACAATGCAGTTGGAATAAACACAAATCTTTACAAGGACAAACCCATTAAATGTTGATGAATAATAATTTCCTGGTTCAGATTTTCAGTTACTGTAGATTCTTTCAGAGGTGGGAGACAGAAGAGAATAAAAGGAGAGGAAAAATAGAGACTGATACCTAGTCAGTGGACAGAGGAGAATAGCTACAGATAAAGAATGACAACCATCAAGGAAAGTGTCATATCATTCCCATTTTTTGCTTTTATTGTCTACTTACCACATGTCTCTGTGTTTTCTCTCCTCTCCTTAGTGCTCAGCCTAATGTTCTTTTGCATTTACTGGGGCCAATATGCAAGTGATGGCATTGGAAAAAGCAGCCTCAAGATCTTGGGTAGGTCCTAGAGAGAATATTACCGGTTACCATCTCTGACCATCTGCCGTGTAGGCCAGTGCTTAAAGACCAGGTTCCTACAACCATTCAGAAGGAACCAATGAATGCTGATGTTTATTCAGTGTTGATTTTTTGGATATGTACCCACCACCACCCAATCCCCCCCTCCTTGATCCACACTTTGAAGGCCTACATTTGGGACATCTCACACTTGATTACAGTCAGCAGCATCTCCAGGTTGGGATGGTATAGGCTTGGAAGAGCTCTAGGCCAACTTCTCCAGTTTCCTATGACACTTGGAAGTAGACTTACGGAAGTAGACTTGCCCACAAAAGCTCACATTAAAACATAGCAGGTAGTGCTTAACGTGCCACCATGTTTTGGTCTTCTTTATTTTTCATTTGTTTTTGAATCCCTTAATCCGGAAGAATTTTGTTAATGGTGCTGAATTACTCTCATCTTCCTTTCTTGATTTTCTCTTTTTCCTGCCCCCAGCTAAACTCCTCTTCTCGGTCAGTTTCCTGATCTTCCTTCTGATGCTGATTCTGCTGGGAAAAGGATTTACTGTCACCAGGTACCAGCATGGCTGAAGAGGGTGTGTGTGTGTGTCGATATTTAATTAGAATGGGATGGAAAACACAAGGATTGCATAGGAGAGTGTGCAGACGGGATGAGGGTCTTAAAGAGCTGTGATCAAAGGGCTGACAACTTTACTTGCAAATGTGTGTAACTGGATTCAACATTAGTTTTCAAAGAGGAAACAATTTCAGTAAAGGAGAAGTCGGTGTCCTTGACTTGTGCTTGAAAGTCCTATCCTGAGTGAGGCTTTGGAATTCTACGTAGAGAGATCTTCTGTCTTCTGGGGAACTGCCCCCCCCAAAGTATTGGCCCTACAGGTGGACCAAAAGGGTCATCTTGAGCAGGATGTGGTGGAGTAGGAAAATGTAGCAGCTGGGCTTGTGTGGTGTCTGCATGTTGTTTAAACCTAGGACTGCTCTTAGAGCAAAATGGAAGAATTCTGGATCGTTGTGAAGTGCTTGTTCCTCCCCCCCCCCCAAATCATGGCTTATGGCTCCCTGTTTTGCAGGGGCCGGATCAGTCACACTGGCTCTATCAAGCTTTCCGTGTACATGACACTGTATACTATCACACACGTTGTGCTGTTCATCTATGAGGCCGAGGTGAGTGCTGCTTATATTTGGATGGTTTCCTGGGCTAGGAGGCTGAAGTTGGGTCTTATTGCCCGGCTCTTCAGGTACAACTGAGTTGCAAGCTCAGGAACTTCTGTTGATAATCCAGTTAATCATACTAGACATGGCCAAAGGAAGCTCTCAATGTCTTTGTCACTTGGCCAATAATCTTGATTTCCAGTCATGCTTTTTCAAAGTCACTCATATGTCTGCTTAGCCATTTGGAATAGTCCCTAAATATTACTGTATGGCAGCAGAATTACATAATTCATTGCAAACTTTCTTTTTAGGGAAAAAAAACTTTGTTGTCTTGATTCTACTCTTTCTGATCTTTTTCCTGTTTGATCCTCAGAGAGATCACTGAAATGTTCCTTCTAAAATATTTCAGGCATCAAAGGGGAACATTTTTAAATTTCCCCCCCAGACCTTCTGTTCTAAGGATGCAAATGAACCAGTGGTCAGTTTATATGCCACTTCCTTTGCATACAGAAGAGTCTGTGGCTAATCCTGGATGCAGAGATTTCTGTCAGAGACCCTGTAAAGCTGCCACTATTCAGAACTAGACAAATTAGCTTGTTGGAAGAAGCAGATTTGTTCACGAAAGCTCACATTAAAATATAACAATTAGTTTTTCAGGTGCTGCAATATTTTTGTCTTCTTTATTGTTTTTGCCTGATATGCTAGCACAGAATATAAAAAGAGGGGAAATAAGTTCTAACAATTTTTATGATATTTGGGGTAAATTTGTGGAATTTGTGTTAGTGAAAGGAAGGGGGAAGTCTCTAAAGAATACTCAATACAATTTTGGAGAGGTAATCTGTAATAAAATATTATTAAATAGAGTCCCGTGGGTATGGGGTACACGTTAGAATTTAGTTTATAATAAGCACTATTATTTGTATTTTTTCTATATTTTTGTTGTTACGTATGTTTTTGGTGTTTTTTTTAATTATAAAATAAAAAATTAATTAAAAAAGAATATCATGGCTACCTCTTCTAAAACTACACATTAGTTGGCTTCCTCGGTTCCAGATGAGGGTAATGCCCCAGGGAGACGCTTGCCCTCCATATAAACCTTCAGATCCCCAGTCTGTGCTGCTTTTCTTGTGGCTTGCAACTCTAATCCATACTTCCCCTTGTCACTTATTATTATTATTATTTACTTACCTGCTTCCCTCATTTTTGGATGTGTGTGTCTTAGTTCTTTGATCAGGCGCAGGTGCTGTACACGTATGAGTCACCAGCTGGATATGGCCTGATCGCCTTGCAGTTTGTGGCTTACATCTGGTTCTGCTACGCCATCCTCATCACTCTTAAGCAGTTCCCAGAGAAACAGCCTTTCTACGTACCCTTCTTTGCTGCCTACACCCTCTGGTGAGTGAATGTAGAGGGAGTAATAGGGTCAGAAAACTCAGGTGGGGTCCCCAAGGAGAGACAAGAGGAATGTGGTTTAGTATCACAAATGTTCCTTCTCCTTCACTCTCTCGGTGGCCAGGATGAACGTTGGCACTAGCCCAACAGATGAAATGGTTATGCTGGATAAAGAGAAGGCAAGCGTTGTGCAGACAATATGATATCTCTTGCAAAAAAAGGGGTTGCTCATCCAGGAAACAAAAAAAGAGGTTGTAGAAATTACAGACACCAATGGGAGTGTAGTTTGGTCTTGGGCTCCCAAGATGGGAAGGCTGATACTTGTTCATTTATTTATTTAGACCACTATCGTATTGCAAATTCCACATCCCAAGGGTTATTGCGACAGCAGATTCGGCTAGTTGGTCAAATTGCCTAGCGTTTACCACTTGCGCGACCACACGCATGTATGGCACATTTAATAGGCACCTCCCCAGTTAGCCGAATCCTGTGCCACCATCCCCACGGTGCATGTCATCCTTTGAACAGAAGACTAGTCAATACTTCTATACTGTACTGACTTCCCACTAAAATGCTCAAGGTAGGTAACAAGGTCACTAAAAAAATGAATTAAGCAACAGAACCGGTAAATCAGTCATCCGTAGGATAAGGATAAATGGAATCTAGAGGGTTAGGATAAAGAGGCAAAGCTTATCTTCTCCCCCCAAATTAAATGCTGGGTACTTTACAGTAAAATGGAGGGGGTTCTGTGTCCTGAGTCTTAGACACATTTTTTTTTTCTCTCTTGTAGGTTCTTCGCTGTCCCGGTTACTGCACTTATTGCTAACTTTGGCATCCCTAAGTGGGCTCGGGAAAAAATAGTCAATGGTATCCAGTTGGGTATTCACCTGTATGCCCATGCAGTCTTTCTGGTGAGAATACCCTACATCCATTTGGTCACAGCTGGGAGTGCGTAAAACGTTTTCTATGGGTACTTTTTGCAATTGGAAACAGGTATGCCCATGCAGTCTTTCTGGTGAGAATGTCTTACATTCATTTGGTCACAGCTGGAATTCCAGAAGAAGGAGTGCTTAAAATGTTTTCTACTGGTAATTTTTGCAATTGGAACATTGTCAGAGCATTTCTCCTTAATGTCATCTGCCCGACCCACATGGTCATCCCAGTTGAGGCTCCTCCGGGTGGCCACCCAGAGAGAGAGGCGTCATAAATCCTCTACAAGAGGCAGGGTCTTCTTTGTGGTGGCTCCAACTATATGCAACCAGCTTCCAGAGCAGCTCCACCTGGCCCCCCTAGAGGCAGGGTCTTCTTTGTGGTGGCTCCATATATATGCAATCAGCTTCCAGAGCAGCTCCACCTGCCCCCCCGTGGACTTTTAGGAAGCAATGAAAGACATGGTTTTTCAGGGAGGCTTTCCACACCGATCCCAGCTGACCACCTCTGCCTCCCTTTTTTCCCTCTCTCCCCTTCTCTTCTTCCCTCCCCTCTTTTCCTCCATTCACTCTGAGATTAGTCAGTGCCATCTGGTTTATTAGGGTTTTTTTAAGCTTTATTGATATCAGTTTTAATATTTGTATTTTTATTTTTGTTTTCTATTTTACGAGTTGTAACCTGCCCAGAGTAGTGCTCTGGCACTAATGGGAATACGAATGAATGAATGAATGAATGAATGAATGAATGAATGAATGAATGAATGAATGAATGAATAGAATAGAATAGAATAGAATAGAATAGAATAGAATAGAATAGAATAGAATAGAATAGAATAGAATCAAAGCACTGCGCCTAAACAACTCCCATGCCTGTAGAAGATGCACGGATCCCCTTACTTTGTTTCTTGAGATGTAAGAGTTTGGTCCTTCAGTGTTGTTTTTGAACAGTTTTTCAGCAACTGCATAAAACGACGCCTGGCCCTTGCATTAGTGAGAAGCCCTAATTTTCAGTTGGTTTTATCCTGGGAGTTGGATGAGAATCTCTTTATTGCCACACATATTCACTTTTCCTTTTCTGCCTTGCCTCTTGGTCCATTCTTATTTCCTCTTAGACTGTGGTGAGGAACGTGCACCTCTCCAGATGACGCCAGACTACAGTCCCCATCCTACCTGACCTCTGGCCGTGTATGTTGGTTGGGTTGGATGGGAATTGGAACCCAACAACATTTGAAAGGCTCAAAGTTCCCCACCTGTGTGCTCATTTCAAGAGTCATGGTTACCTCTTGTTTATTTGAAAGTGGATTTTTTTGGGGAGGCCCCCCCCCAGAGGAATCAGTGTCTGATAGATCCCCTTTTATAAACCATTAAAAAAAACTGACTTCCTTTTACGGGGCAAATCCCAATTTGAGATTGGATGGACAAGAGTGAAATGAGGCACGGGTAAGCTTTATATGTGAAAGCCTAATTTCTGAATTATAGAACCATTTGCAAACACTGGTTTATGTGTTTAAATGCATCTCCATAAGTACAACAGCTAGAAACGTCTTCCGTTTTCTGTTGTTTTTAAATATCATCTAAAAAACTATTCTGATATCCATTTTTTTGTGGCAAAGAGGAAGGAAGTGTCCTTTTAGAGGAAGAACAGGCAGCTGAGCTTGAAAATGTGTGTCAAACTACTTGGGCCAGCACCCTTTTTTCTTTCCTCAGATCATGACGCGGCCCTCCGCAGCCAATAAGAACTTCCCATACCATGTGCGGACGTCACAGATCGGGATTGTCGAAGAGGTGGCAGCCGGGGCCAAGTTTCCGCATCACGTATATGGCAACGTGACCTTCATCAGCGACTCAGTGCCCAACTTCACAGAACTCTTCTCCATCCCTCAGAGCACAGGGACCGACACCGGCAATGTGAGAATCCGAGACAGTCCCCTCTTCCCCCCGTTTTTTCTTCTGGCATTTTATTATTAACAGAGGGGCCCCTGGCAGCACAAATCCATCTGGTCCCTGGATGGATCTGTGCGGGTCCATCTTCATATGAGTCACCTTCTTAGAAGCAGCATGAGGTCCTTCAAGCTGACAGCATTCTCCTCAGCTACTCTTGTGTTTCGCCCATGTACTCCTGCTACAGTGGCGTCTTGACTTGAGAACTTAATCCGTATTGGAAGGCGGTTCTCAAGTCAAAAAGTTCTCAGGTCAAATCTGCATTTCCCATAGGAATGCATTGAAAACCATTTGATCCGTATCCGCTCTTTTCCGTCCATAGAAACTAATGGGAAGCTGCTATTCCGCCTTTGACCACTAGAGGGGGAATATTTTGTTTCTTTTTTTCTTAGGTCAAGAAAGGTTCAGGGAAGGCAGGGAAAATGCAGTCCAGGCAGGACAGTACCAGGCAGTCAGCATTCTCCTCAGCTACTCTTGTGTTTCTCCCATGTACTCCTGCTATACATGTTATTTAGGCACCAGATGGGCAGCTCCAGAGGGCACCACCTCCTGCTTCCTCCTGCTCATCTGGAGCACTAGGCCTCCGACAGACACACCTGAGGTGGCCATGGAAGGGCACACCATATATAAGATGCCCTGCATGTAGAACAGCATCCATATCTCCTGATAGCCTTGGAGTCCCATCCGTCTGATGTGACAGTTCTAGACTGGCCAGTGTAGGGGTTATAAAGCAAACCAAATCAGCCTCTTGCCCCTTGTACTACACTGAGGCACCACAAGCTAGGAACCCCAAGGCTTAGCGCATGCTGCTAAGGCCCAAGCTGTGGTTTATCAGGTCCTTGACAGTCCCTTTCCCTGGGGAAGAAGAGTCATGTTTCTCTAGATGTTGTCGAACTGTACTTCATGCCAGACTGTTCTAGTATAACCAACTGTATAGGATGATAAATGTTGCAGTCTGGCAGTATCTGGCGGGTGACAGATTGCCCATCCCTCTTTTCTTCTGTTTTTAAAATCCTAGACAAATGGCAAAAATGAGAGGCTTTACGAGAGATTTCCCAGGAGATGCCATTCGTTTGGCCTGTGCCCTGCGCAAACTTTATTTATTTTTTTTTACTTTACTTTTTTGATTTAAAAACTGCCCTTCAGGATAAATTGTCTTCATTGCTTAATTTACAAAAGTAAAACTATACGATAACATCACATTAAAGCAGTGACAAAAAGCATCCAGCGATAACACATACATCAAACAAATCAGATTAAAAAAAGAACAATTAGACAAAATATTGCAGCAGCAGATAAAAAGTTGCAGGAGCACAACAGTCTTTAGTTGCTGTTTATATGTTGTTGTAAGCCGTACAGGCCAGCGCTGAGGCATATACATCTAATTCCCTCTTCGCCTCGCCATTTGTGGTTTGTGGGTGAATTGCGATATGGTTTGTTTGGGGTATTTCCCCCCCTCCTGCTATTGCTCACTCAGCAATCCTTCTGCTTTTTCCTGCCAGCCTCGTAAACAGGTGGAGGAGACGTCGTCTGCGGACCGTACCCTGACGCCCAGCTGCGTGGTCACCACCTCGGAGCTCAGCGGTGCCCCAGTGCTGTTGAAGCCTTCCTCGGGGAGTGAGACCCAGCCACCCCCCTACCAGCTCCATGCCCCTCAGCTCCACCAACACAATGGCTACACTGAGTATTTTAGCATGCACACAGCTGGTGCGCGGCCTGTCTAAGGTTCTCGTGGCCCTTTGCAACTTCCCTGCTTTCTCTCTCTCTTTCTCTCTACTTCCCAGGCTCCTTGCCTCGAACCTATGCCTGGTTTCTCTTCTTGGACCCCTTTCTCCTTGCACCTTCTGCTGCCTTTTCCCCCTTTGACAGCTTTCTACCCATATCAGAGGGCTATTCTATCTCATGTCTCCCTGGAACACTGTTGGACTGCTGTTGTCGAATACAGAGAAGCCAGACGGATGGGACCGAGCAGAATCGGCTGCCGTTCGCACGGTCTCCTTGCCCATTTATGACAGAGGGAGGGAATCCTCACCCCTAGTTAGTCGGTGTGATACTTCTCTGTCTCTCCCCCCCAGGACAGTGTTAAGTTCCCTGTCTGGGACTCGTTCAGCGTGGAGGAAGCCAGTCACTAGATGGACGTGGTCCAGCTTTCTCTTCCACCCTTAGTTCAGCTAGAGCACCAGATCTACTGTTAGCTGCCTTTCCCCCCCTAGACAGTGTGACCCAGCGGAAGGTCACCCATAGCTCTTCTCAGCCGCTCTTGTGGAACAGCTCTCCCATTTGAAAGCAGACATATCAGCCCAGACTGGCCTTGTAATGATGTAGCCAAGTTTTTTCTGTATCACTTCCTTTTTAGGTCATACTTCCCCACCTGTCCTAATGATGGCAGCTGGAATCCTTTCCATCCCCTTTACCTTGATTTCCCTGTTCCTCCCCCAAGGGTAATGGCGTTGCCCTCTACCTTCTCGTGACGGTGCTGTAGGTTCTGCTCCCTGATGACGGTGGGTTTCTGAAATCCATCGGAGTGGGTTTTTCTTTTTCGCCAAAATAAAGAGGATTCTCGTGTTTCTATCTCATTGAGAAAGCATGTGGTTATTTTGGGAGTGCAGGCAGACATAAAAGGAGGAAAAGAGATCTGGCACGCAAGACTTTAATCATTTCCATGTGCCTTGCAAAATAGACAATTTACCACAAAGTCTGATGACACAGTAAGTCTTATGCTTTCACATCTGCTCTCTCGCTAGTTTCAAAAGGTTTTTTTTTAAAAAAAACAACAACAACAACACTAGACTGCTGTCAAATGAACCTCTATGAAAAGATTAAGAAATCCAGTGGCATGCCACATTTTACAGGAGTTTAAAACAGATTGCAAGTTGTACAGTACGCATGCCCAGTTTACATCACGCCAGCAACTCTTGTTTCGTTATAGGCCTTCCAACTTTGCAAATAGCCCCTGCAGGCAAGCCTTAAACAGCAGCTTTATCCTACAACATTTTAGCAAGTGATAATATGTATCTGCATGCTATGCTATGCTGATTTATCCAAACAAGCTACAGTATGTTTAAATTGTGTGTACGAAGACACCAAGCTGGGTATCACACACATATATTTGGCTATAGCTGTCCTCTCTGAGGAAAGAAGGACAGGGTCCCCTCAACTTTTGATAAGTTCCCTCAAAAGAAAAGAGCCTTCCCCCAGTGACTAGTTGGCACTTGCTTGTGGAGTTGTTGTTTTTTTGCCTTAGATCTCAACTGTAATTATATGATAGTTCCTTTATTCACTGCTCTTCAGGTAGGACAAGCATTGCCTTCAGAAAGTGTCAGAACCTGTATAATCTCTATACTGTAGTGGAACCTTCACACAGCCACTTCACTATGATCAACATGGCTCATAGGCAAGAAAATATTTGCAACTCACCAAGCTGAAAGACTTGAGTGGTTCAGCCAAAATTCCTGTCTGTGAACTATTTATTTTGCTTACATGTTGACAACCCTGAGAGTAATGGAGGTTGATGTCAAATTATCTAGTTCTATTCAGCTTGGTGCTGGCAGCAGATAAGCACCTTTAGCTAATACTGTAGATGTTTTTATCTGCAGGCATCCTTCAGTCTCGAGAGACTATGGTAACGTGCTCTGAATCGAGGTCTTGGAACAGCATCTAGTGTGGCTGAGAAGGCCAATTCGAGAGTGACAATCCCCTCCACACTGAAGACAAATATAATCTGTCCCCTGTCCAGCTCCCTGATTTTGCTGATTTCAGGGCTGCCTCTTTGCCTCAGTCTGCTGGACAAGGGTCTCTTCAAATTGGGAGAGGCCATGATGCACTGCCTGCCTCCAGGCTGAACACTCAGATGTCAAGGTTTCCCATCTGTTGAGGTCCATTCCTAAGGCCTTCAGATCCCACTTGCAGATATCCTTGTATTGCAGCTGTTTTTATTTGTTTTCATCACATAAAAACAAGTTCATCAAAAGCCATATACTGCAATGCAAATACCAAAGGGGGAAAGAAAGTCTGCTATCAAGAATGACCATTCAGTGTCACTGAAAGCATGATTTCAATGGACACTTTAAAACAACAAACATTCCCACCATTTAAAATGACAATGGGCACAGATCTATTTCATTTCATTTTTAGCCCCTATGCAGTGAGGGAGATTCACTTAGTTTTAAACACATCGAAATATAATTCCATTAGGTACAGTGTGGGAAACATAAGCTAAGCATTGAATGGAACCTGAACATTTATTTTCATGCACAGTAGAGAGATCAGCAACATATGAAAGAGTTGTAATCTAGCATTCCTGGGGAGGTTGCTTGAACCCTGAAGAAGAGGACAGCTGTGGCAGCTCATTTGAACATCTTTTTAAAAGGAAGCCAAAAGTTAAAAAATAGGACAGAGCAGGAACAGAAACTAGGGGCCGAATTCCAGTAAATAGAGATGACTGGAATATACAGGCTTGAGTGGAAATGATTGCCCCTATGCTTAAATGGCCCCCAAAGAGAAAGCAATACTAGATGTATGGAAAACGTTCCACAAACCTTCATCCCATCACTCCTTATAAGCCCCATTTTTCTTGTTACTGGAAATTAGTTTTTCCTTCAAAGCTGTTGCCACACAGTAAAGTGTTTTGAAACAGACCAGACCCTTCCTAAGTATTATGTGCTGTTCTTGTTCAACGTAGCTAACGATGCAATTAAAGCACCAATTCCCACCTTTTACAGTATGGAAAATAAAGCTATTTAGCTCTCAAGAATCTGATTTTCTACCAATGTGAGTGTACAATTTTTTTGTGGAAGTTTCATATAGAACAGGACAGTGCCAGACTGTGCACTCCAGATCAGCAGCACAGACCAGCACAACTTTTACAGATAGAATTTCATTTTTCCGGACTATTGCTAGAACAAAAGACTTGAATTTTTTTAAAAAAATGTTTCAGATCCCATGCAGAAATGAAGATGCACAAATGTTCGCAGCCATGGGGCTTGAATAAAAGCCTTTCTTTGGCATGAATGGGAGTTTCTCCACCAACCTAACTGTAGCTCAAGTGTAGTTAAAAAATATTAGGGTGCAGGAAAGAGGGAAAGAAAAGTTAGTAATGCTCTTGTGTACAGTGTAGTGCCCCTCACCATCCCTCTACAGCTTTCCTCCTTCCATTTTTTAAGGAGAAAGGTGGGGCAAAACTTTAAATAAACGACAGACTGAATGAATAATAAATGACAGGATAAATAAATAAATTTATTTGTATCAATGTATGTGTGAGAGAGGAGACATCCATTTTTTTATTTGATTTGGCCCATGCTCCCCCTATTTTCCCCCTCCCCCAGGGGCCCTATCCACCGTTGGGGCGCAGCCCCATGAAGCTGATCCTCAACAGAAGAAGCTGAATATCCCCCCCCCACTTTCCCATTGAGAGAGTCTGTAGCGAAGCGTTCCTTTTTTTTGGACTGCATTTCCCAGAATCCCCCAGTCCCCATGGCCACGGGGCTTCTGGGAGCTGTAGTCCAAGCACCAACGTTCCCGAGTTTTCTGTGAACCTAGAATGGCTGAAATGCAACACGGCCAGCCACCCCCTTGCAACTCTCCATCTCCCCTCTCACAGCCCCGGCCCAGCTCTTTTTTCCTCTCCGTTTCCATAGCAACGCCGAGGGCCCTCTTCCCCCGCCGCGTCTATGATCCTTCCTTTCCGCGATCCTCTCTAGCCCTTCTCCTCTCTATGCACCGCCCCTTCGGCGGCCGCTCTGTCCCTTCGTCTCGTTGCCCTCCCGGGTCCCGGGCTGGGCTAAGCGTCTACGGACGGGCCCGTGGGGGCTCCGGTCGCTGCGGAGGTGGGTCAGGCGGGGGAGGGGGGGGAGGCGCCTCTAGGCCTCTGCCCCACTTCGCCCTCAAACACCCCCCCCCTATTTAGCTCTGTGGGTCTCCAGCTCCTTTCCAGGAAGAGAGGTGCCTGCGGTATTTTGGGAGCATTGCATGCTGTGGCTGTTTTTGGGAATTTGCAAGGAGTGGGTCCCCCGCCTGCCTTCTTCTCCCCCCCTCCAGATCTCCCCACACGCCTCCCATTTGGGATCCTTTCCCTAAAAAAGGTTGTGATTCCTCTGAACCTGACCCTTCTTTCTCTCCCCCCTCTTTTCCCCCATGTTTGTTTTGATGCCCAAATTGGGGGTCCTCCCTCTTCTTATGGGTATTATCTCTCTATTTTCTATAGGTGAGCTGATGTGCCTGCTCCCCTGTCCCCTATAGAGGTGCCGCCTGGCCCAAGACATTTGGCTGCCTGAGGCTCCCCCAGCCTCAGAAGAGGTAAGACCCAGAGAGGACCTTTCCTCCGAGTTGCTTTGGTGCAAAAGGGGGAGAATCTCTCGAATGGCTTTGCCCGTTCCTGGCAAGGAAAATGCAATGCCTTAATTTCATTTATGGTTTAGCTTTAATGCATTATTTGCTTTGGGTTGGCACTGGTTATGTGATGATTTTGTTATGCTGGTATTGTTCCTTCTCAGTTAACTGCCCTGAGTAAACATTGGGATGGGCGACAATCAATCAAATCAATCAATTAATCAATCTTTGCTTTGGGTTGGCACTGGTTATGTGATGTTTTTGGTATGCTGGTATTGTTCCTTCTCGGTTAACTGCCCTGACTAAACATTGGGATGGGTGACAGTCAATCAATCAATCAGTCCATCAATCAATCAATCAATCAGAGGATAACAGGGTGATGATTGCCTGACCTTTCAGGACACAGGGGTTTTGCTACCTGAGGCTGCTGCATGAGTCTGTCTATCTATCTATCTATCTATCAGAGGATAACAGGGTGACGATTGCCTGCCCTTTCAGGACACACGGGTTTTGCTACCTGAGGCTGCTGCATGGTGCTAGGATTGGCCTCGGACCCTATTCCTTACCTAGACTCCTAACATACGGTGTGAGGTGTAAGCCCAATTTTGTTTTAAGATTTTTGGGCAATGTGTGACCCTCCATATCCTGTGGGACTGCAACACCCATCAGTCCTAGCCTAAATAACCATAGATTTGAAAAACGGGGAGGGGGGGATACGACGTGCATGCTTGTCACAAATAAATCCCATTGAATTCAAAGGTGCTTACTTCTATGTGAAGTTATAGGTTTGGTTTGTAACTTCCTAAAAATGGTGATACCCAGCAGCCTTGCCGCGTGAGCACAGGTGAGCCTGCAGTTAAGAAGGCATCGTTATTACATTTGACTTATGTAAAACCTACACTGTCCGTAGGTGTTTTAGTTTACAGTCATTTCAGAACTGCAGCTCAAGAGGGTTTTCATTCTGAAACTCTTAGCACTGACAGACTGTGGAGATATAGAAAGTAGAAAGTAGAAACACACAGAGATAAAAAGTTATTTTTCCCTTGCTCTTAGTTTTGTCTTTATTGCTTCTTCTTTTTTTCCTTGAATACATCTCTCCTAAAAAATGGGCATCGTATCCACATTCCTGTTCAACTTTCCTTTTTTTTTCTGCCACATTTTCAGAACACAAGCAGGTGTAAAGAAAAAATGGAAGAAAATATATGGAAAGGGAGACGACAAATCCTGTAGCTGTGCCATGTCTAAGGCCCGGGGTAAGAGAGTGTGCCAGTGTATCCTTGCACGGAGTAGGGATGGTTCTGCTAATTCATTTCTTTATGTTTCTCCCGCTTTTAACCAGATGTATTTATTTGTTCCATTTTTAGCCCACCCATCTAGATTCAGGAATCTACTCCAAATGACGAATAAGTTTAGAATTTTCCTTTACCCTTTCAGGCTCAAGAATGACGCGGCCTCACCTTTTTGGACTGTGTCGCCTCGGCACCCGCTGACCTGTAGGAAGTGTCGTAGCCCATCATGGACCCCTTATCGGCTGTCTGTTTGAAACTGTTGGTCCCGCTGCTCCTTGGCCTCTGCAGGATCCGTCAGGCCAGCGGTGGTGACTGTAAGGGGCATCGGCAAGTCTTGCGCAGCGCTTCTGGCTACGTGACGGACGGGCCGGGCAACTATTCTGTGAACGGGAACTGTGAATGGCTGGTGGAGGGTAAGCCCTGGAGAAAGGGGTGATAGCTTCCCTTTGGCTTTGGATGAGGATGACAACTCTAATAAGGAATCGCCAACCCATGGAATGCTGTATTAGACAAGCTGCAGGGCCTTCCTGTATCTTAAAAGTGTGTCTTTAGTAAGAAACCTTGTTGACTCTATAATAGACGCAGGAAACGCTTGGCCCTCCAGACATTTGGCTTGCAATTCCCATGCTGAGTGCAGACTCTAAATGTCTGGAAGACTGGTTTGTTGGCACACTGGTTAGGGCACCCACTGCTCAGCCATGGAAGGCAGCCCCATCTAGGAGAAGGAAAACTCCAATTTCAAACCTCCACTGCCTTGTGGCTATATCCACTCATGGAAAAGGCTTCAGGAATTAACCTAGAGGCAAAATCCGGAGCCGGAGTCCCGAAGGCAGTTTGTGTCGTTCTGCCAACTCCTGCGACGTTGCTGGAACCAGTTGTATTGGCTCTTGCCTTTCCATTGGACCATTTCAGCAACGTGGAGAGGGGGGATTTGCTGCTTGGGTAACAGCCTATCCTCCATATTACTTTACCCAGGCTTCATGCTCTGGAGAGGACACTTCTCGATACAGAGCATGTTACCATAGTCTCTCGAGACTGAAGGATGCCTATGAGAAGCTCTGCATAGGTTACAGGTTTAAACTTAAAAATCTCGCAGACTCCCATCTAACAATACGTACAGCAATATGATGATTACAAAAAATCATACAAAACCCAAGAGAGAACGAGAAAGAAAAAAAAATAAAATAGTGATATTAACAGCATTCAGGAAACTCAGATTCCCCAGTTTTTCGGGCTTATAAGGCAGCTGATGTGAGTTGATCACTTCTTTTTATTGTAATAATAATTGTGTGCTGTCAAGTCTATGCTGACTTACCATGACTGTTTCGAGGGCTTTCTAAGTAGAGAGTACTCAGAAGGGGTTTGCTATATTCCCTTCTCGGAGCATCTTGGGACGGTGCAGCTGGCCCAAGGCCACGCAGGCTGGATCTTCTCCCGGGAGGGCCCAGTGGGGAATTAAACTCCCAACCTCTGGCTCCACAGCCAGAGATACCTGAGCTTGAAACCACTTTCTTTTTCTTAGTCTTACCATAAAGCCCAAATTATGAGGGAGGAGGGGTGGGGTTTGCTCTTTATTTAATTATTTGTTTGTTTAAATATTTCTGTCCCACCTTTCTCCCTAAAAGGACCCAAGGTGGCTATCATTTCCCATTGGTCCCTTTTTGGGAAATCTTGCCAAACACCGGCCATAAGTGTGGTTGCAGAGATGACAAGTCACTAAAGCAGCTGTATTGAGGTTGCCCTCTCTCTGCCTCTCTCTCTCTCTCTCTCTTTTTTGCCCTCTCTCTGCCTCTCTCTCTCTCTCTTTTTTAAAATTCATTTTCTTATTTTACTGAACGTGATGCTTTCCCTTTAACACCTCCTTGATTGCACTTGAGTTCTCTTAAAGTGCATTCTTGGCCTTAGGACATGTTTTCTAACCTTCCCCCCCAAAACCTGTTTTGTGTCCTGCTTTAGCGCCCAGTAGCAGCTATCGCATCCTCTTGACCTTCATGTTTATGGACACGGAATGCACCTACGACTACCTCTTCATTTACGATGGAGATTCCCCCAGTAGCCCTTTGCTGGCCAGCTTGAGTGGCAGCACCCTGCCCCCTGTCATTGAAGCCACCTCGGGCAAGGTACTCACCGGAGGGGAGCGGGATGGGAAATGGGGCGACGTTGTCATTGACCCTAGAGGTCTAGGTTTGTCTTGACCTCAGATCATAGACCGTTAATGTCTTCCAGTTCCCAAGCGGCTTAAAGCAGGGATTGTCTGCAGCCCAATATGAAACTCATTGCCTAATTTCACGCAACCTTGGGCTGGTTTTGCAAGCTGTCTGCCAGCAAGCCATTTAGAAACAAGAACAGCCTCCCTCTTCCCATCACCCATTGGAGAGGAACAGAGAAGGAGGAAGGAAGAGAGAAAGAAACAAAGACGGAGGGAGAGTTGTAAATAAGTGAGAAAGAAGGGGCAGCATCAGTACCTCGGGCCCTCTAGTATGTGGTCCCAACAGGTTATATCCAAACGAAAAAGGATTCCTCAACCTATCTTAAAGATGCAGCATCTTGGGATAAGGAGTTTAAATTCCATCTGTGGCTGTTGAGATGATGGGAGTGGGACTGGAGTAAAAGGGCGTTACTCCTCTAGAAACTATCTCATCGTACCAGACTGAAAGGTGCCAGCTTCATGCAAAATACATCTTCGAGGGAATTTACTTTAAAAAAAATTCCTTAGCATGAAAATTATGGAAAAACCATTTTGGGTATATTAAATACTTCGCAGCTTACCCAGAAATTACCGTTTTTTTGTCTAAAAGGTGTGCTGTGCTTGTAACAGATATCCGGCTGACAAAACAGAGAGAGCAGATTTCTTCTTAAAATCTGCAAGCTTGATTGCAATGCTGTTTTTTTTTCCTTTCCTTCAGCAAGCATTGAGTTTATTAATTCTAGAATAAGCTGGAAAACAGAGGAGCATTTTTTAAAAAAAGTCCAGTCTTTAAGAGTCCATCTGAAATTGATGTGTCTGGAAATGTTGGCCTCATAGCAGTTGCTTGCTGTCTTCTAAGGTTGTGTTGACCCTGGGGGTTTTCTGCATCAAGGGTGCAACTCAGAGGCCAGATTCAATTTCAGAGAATTTTTCTGAGGGGCCATGTTCCAAAGGCAAAAGGATAGGGCCAGAAACAGCCGTATATTTTAGTTGGAAGTGCTTGCTGCTGTTAGTCCAGTTTTAGGAGGGGCATTTTAAAGTTTTAGAGAAGGGGATGAAAATCGTACGATAGCTGGGAAACTACAAAGTTAGGGTGTCAAGGGGAAGAACGCATGGCTGGTGGGGGAGCCCTAGAGGGCCAGATTCAGTTGTTATTCCCCAATCCTTTGACTTTTATCAAGGCTCAGCTGCCAGTTCTTTGTCTATATGTTTTTAAGGTGTATGGAACAAGGGTGCAGTCTTGGCCCCTCACAAGCACCTTTGCTATGCTCCTGTTGGTGCATTGGCTTTAGCAGGAAAGGGTCATCCTTCTTCCTTACTTGCCTTACAGATGCTCCTTCACTTGTTCAGTGATGCCAATTACAACCTGCTGGGCTTCAACGCCACCTACACCATCTCACTGTGTCCGATGGGCTGTTCTGGGCACGGGAGCTGTGACAACGACGGGCACTGCGTCTGTTTCCAGAGCTGGGGGGGTGAGGACTGCTCCATGCCCGACTGTGCCAGCTACTGTCAGTACCATGGCACTTGCAACCAGGTAAGGCCTTTGCCTCTTAGTCGCTTGTGTCTGGAAATGGAAAAGCCTTGTACAGTGATGCCTTGCTATACGATTGCCTCGCGGGATGAGGAATTCGCTAGACAATGGGTTTTTTCGATTGCTGTTGCGCTTCGCAGAACGATGGTTTCCTATGGGCGGTTTTCGCTAGACTATGATTTTTCCCCATTGGAACGCATTGAGTAGCTGTCAGTGCATTCCAATGGGGACCCGCGCTTGCAAGACAATGTTCCCCTATTGACGATTTTCACTACATGACGAGTTTCCCATTGGAACGCATTAAGTGTATTTCAATGCATCCCAATGGGGAACCACGCTTTGCTAGACTATGTTTCCGCAAGACAGCGATCTTCGCAGAATGGATTAACATCATCTAGCGAGGCACCACTGTAATGTCTTTCAAGGGCAGAATATGTTTGCCCGTCGCTTGTAAAATACCCAACCTTTAGGTTTGTTGTGCTCTCCATGCAGAAAGCTTGCTGCAGTTTCGCCAGCCTCAGGGTTACCTGGAAGACCACCATGTCACTTAATAGATCCTTTCTATTCTTGAGATCATTTGGCGATACCCTTCAGGTGGTGGTGCCCCTTGCTCCTCAGTCCCATTCTGCATTTGTTTAAATCAGTACATTTAGCATTATAGCACCCACTGCATGGTATACATCAGGAGTTCTAAAGGCTCCAGATTTTTTTTTAGTTTTAGATGCCTGTTGAAAAAAACATCTAGTTTTGATACACTCCTTTGCATAGCTGAACCTATTATCTCTTCCATGAACCTTCCTTTGTAAACTGTCAAGTGTGTGTGTGTGTGTGTGTGTGTACACACTGATATACAGTGTATCCTGCCCATCTAGTAACAAACCACTACTCATATATATGCATGCGCGTGCACTCTCTCCTCCTCTCTCTCTATTCCAGAATTTTATGCTTTAATGTTGTTGGGCGCTGCTTTGACCTTTTTTCAGAACTAAGCAATTCATCACTATTTGAAAATGAAATAAGAGACCTCTTTCTTTGGCCCCATAGGAGACGGGTCACTGCCAGTGTGAGCCCGGCTTCGTGGGCCAGGCCTGTGACTTAGCCTTGAGCGAGAACCAAGGGGCTGGCCGGTGGTACAACGTGACGGCCCATGACCCCAGCTTCCGGCCCCGCATGGCTGCTGCTGGGGCTTTCCTGCCTTCCACCGGAGGACTGTACATCTTTGGAGGTCAGGAGGTGGTCCCCTTGCATTTTCCTTTGCAGGGGATCTGAGGGAGTAGCGCTCCAACTTTGGGACCCTTTGATGCACTCTTCCTTAGACTGGTTGAATGCGCATCTAGCAGAGAAGTAGTGCCAGAATGTTTGAAATGTTCCTGCAACGTTAAGCAACATCCAGCCCAACATGTAGGATACAGGAAGGTGGAAGGGAATTGCCTGTATCCAAAAAATGTTACGGCTTTAAACAGTTCTTCATTGTGCCAGAGTTAGTGCAAGGACACCATCCAGTGAATATTTTTGTTGTGCAAGGGATGGTGCAGAGGAGTGTGCAAGAGGTTGCACAGCATGCTGTGAGCCAGACAGCTATGTTAGTGGAAACCTTCACCCCACTCACCTGTTGAATCTAGGTTGATGTTTCCTGTTTCATGACATTCAGCGAAGATGGGGGGGGGGACTAAGAGGAACAAATAGTCTGTAGGATTCATGTGGGTTGCGTCTTTTGTAAAATTAGATGTGGATGTCGGTGTCGAGGGAAATCACAGCTGGGGAAACAGCAGGGAGGTACACAAGGGCCAGAGGAAAGTGGAAGGAGGGTTTACTGGAGCATCATGTGCCACTTAGTTAATCAGGCCTCTGATACTTCCCCAGTAGGGACCTTTTCTATGTTGCCTTTATGGGCCAGAAGGGATGCCTTGTGTATACCTCATGAGGGCACACCATAAAGAAGTGTGGCACGTGACTTTGGAGGCAGGGGAGAAGTGAGCCATGTAACTCAAAAGAGCCCTCTCAGGCTGGCCTGATTCATCCCTTAGGTTTATGATGAAGCCCTTAATGTATATAATCTTTGGGGTCAATTTGTATCTCACCTTTGGGTGACATGATTTCCAAAGCAGCTGAGGCGAAATCAGAACAACAATATTAAATAACGGCCCTTTCATCTCTGTGGGAATGGATGAGGAGTCTGGTCCTTACTCATCGTTTCGGTGGCTGAGGCCAAAATATCTTCCCTTCTGCTCTGCAGATCAAGAGCGTTTTTCTTTCCTTCCTCAGGTTTGGATCTAAACACAGCCCTGGCCGACCTTGTCTTCTATAACTTCACCACTAATGTTTGGCATCGGCGAGTGCTGAGCCCCTCCCCGGTAAGCATCTCTTTTATTGCTGCTGAGGACCACAACAGTCTCCTGTAACGTGGTACCCTCTGGATGTGTTGGATTTGAAAAATGCCAACATTTTAAAATAATGGTTAAGCACCCAGCCCAAAATGCAAGCACAGTGTGTCACACAGACGCACTTATTCCAAAATCTGCATCTTCCATGGTTCATTGCTTAACAGCTAGCTGGATAACGTTGCTCCAAAGGAGAGGACCATAAATTAGGGTGTTCAAACATTTTCAGAACTAAGCAATTTGATTCTTCTTTATTAGTCTTCCCCCCCCCCCCCCCAGCTGAGGTTGGATGGCCACCAGTGACAAATACAGTAGCAGCAGATTTTTCTGCACTGGTGAGGAGGCCGTTGATCAAGATGACCTTTTGGGGTATTGTCCACCTCTGTGGTCAAAATCCTGTAGAGTTCTTACACTGGTGTAAACACAGTTGGCAAACATCTTGTGGCTGCCAGCCATAGCTGTTGGTTATCGAAGTCAGTATGCAAGAACAAGTGGCCACAATACCTTTGCTCATTCGCCATGTTTTTCTGACAAGATTTTTGCCCGTGTGTTATGGCCTGTGGGAGTCATAAGATCAAGATCAACCTTTCTCATTCTGTGATAGGTGAATTCACCACAGAACCTGGGGACATGCTCAAGCTTAGCAAGATCAATCGAGCATAAGCCTTTGTGGACTCTGGCCCGTGTCCCCAGAGGCATCTGAAGAAGTGGGCTGCAGTCCACGAAATCTTAAGCAGGGGAAAACTCATTAATCTTTAAGATGCCCTGAGACTCGATCTTGTCGTCATAGACTAACCCAGCTGCCTTCCTGGAACTTACAGTGATGGATTGAAAAAGCTTCATGAGGGGAACATTTTATTTTCCCACAGAGCTGCCCAGGGCTTTTACCTTAAATTTCTACTCCCATCTTTCTCTTCCACTTTTGCAGTCTGCCCGTCACTCCCACACCGCTGTGGCTTGGGAAGGACTCTTGATTCTTTTTGGGGGCGAATTGGCTAGTGGTTTCCTTGCCAACGATGTCTGGATGTACCTGCCGTGGGAAGGGCGCTGGCGGGAGCTGGTGCCCCTCAACACCACGTGGTTCCCCCCTCCTCCCGGGCTGGCCGGCCACGCGTCTGCTGTGGTGGATGAATGGCTGTATATATTTGGAGGTGAGCCGTGGGGCTAAATTGAGGTGGTGCCAAGTCTTCTGCTGTCAGAACATACTATGAAAATTAATGCAGCGTTTGCAAGGCAGAATCACGGGAGGGAGCAAAAAGCAATTTTCTGCACTGCTTGGGAAAGTTACTCTTTGGGACCCTCTTTGGATGTGGCGATTGGACCATTCTCGGAGGGGTACTTGGAAAAAAGTGACTTGCCCAAGCTTTGGCTTTAAGGCAGAAGAAGATCTAATACAAGCATGTTTGGGACAGAGAATGGGCCCAAGCTTTGGCTTTAAGGCAGAAGAAGTTATAGTGGTGTCCAACCTTGGCCCTCCAGATGTTCTTAGACTACAGCTCCCAGAAGCCTTCACCACCACCTCTGCTGGCCAGGATTTCTGGGATTTGAAGTCCAAGAACATCTGGAGGGCCAAGGTTGGGGACCACTTAGGACAGAGAATGATTGAATCGATAGGTCATCTCTGAAGGTAACAGGCATGTTGCTTCGTGGACATCTGGAAGGTTTTAATGTTGTGTTGGTTATGTGTTGATTTTTTTTAAAAAAATAAATCCTATATGAGGACCCCCATATCTGTGAGGGATCTGTTCCACGATCTGCTGTGAATACCTGAAACCACAGAGAGTAGCGAACCCCATAAAGTTTAAACAACATACAAGGAAACGAGACCAAGGCCGCCAGGGATGGGACAAAAGCTACCAGGATCTGCCCCTTTGTCTGTTGTGTAAACCATGGACAACGGAAAGTGGATTACTGGTCCCACAGATAGAGGGGTCACCCTACAGCTGTTTTAAGTGCTATATTACGGAATACTATTTCATCAGAAGCTGTCCGGACTGGAACTCGGAACCCTCAATGCTGCGTGTCACTATGTACTGGTCCCACAGATAGAGGGGTCACCCTGCAGCTGTTTTACTGAATACTATTTCATCAGAAGCTGTCCGGATTGGAACTCGGAACCCTCAATTCTGCGTGTCACTATGCCGTTTCCCCAAAAACAAGACCTAACCTGAAAATAAGCCCTAGTATGATTTTTCAGGATGCTCGTAATATAAGCCCTACCCCAAAAATAACCCCCAGTTAAATGAAACCCCTCCCTCCACTCTTGTGCAATAACCAGAAGAAGATGACACTACTGTATTTGAGTAAACGTAGATGGTTGTACATGAAAAAAAAATAAGACATCCCCTGAAAATAAGCCCTAATGGGTTTTTTGGAGCAAAAAACAATATAAGACCATGTCTTATTTTCAGGGAAACAGGGTATCTAGCATGGGTTTTGATGGAATATTTCTCTGATGCTGCACTGATCCTGTAGCCTAACTTGGTGTTGGTGACGGGATGGTTAAGGCTTCAGACCAGCACATTTATCGGAGCTCGCATGCAGAACGATACGGCAGGAACCATCCCAAACTTAGAACGAATAGTGGAAACTAGCGTCAAACAACCCTGGGCATCGCCATTCCTCCTTCGCCACTGAACCATCCCCTTACCTTTCCACAGGTCGCACCTCGGTGGACATTTTCTCCTCACAGATGTACCGCTTCCACCTGAGGCTCTGGCACTGGGAGCTGGTGGTCCCTTCGGGAGGCAAGGCACCTGCGGCCGCGGGCCACTCCATGGTGTTCCATCCAGCCTCCCGTACTCTCCTGGTCTATGGTGGGCACCGGCCTTCCACCGCACGGTAACTGGGGGAGCTGGGAATCCGGTGGGAAAAGGGAGGTAGGGGTCAGCCTGGGGCAGGTGTAAAGGGAATCACTCACGCCAACTGTTTTTGAATCTTAGGTTCAGTGTGCGTGTAAACACCACCGACCTCTTCCACGTAGACTTGCGCTACTGGAGTACTTTGCGAGCCAAGGATTCTCACCGGGGACCTCGAGAAAGGGCCTTCCACTCCGCTACTGTCATTGGCAACTACATGGTTGTTTACGGTGAGTTCTGTTCAGCCTTATAGGTAAAGGCAAAGGTTCCCCTTGACATTTAGTCCAGTCATGTCCGACTCTAGGGGGCGGTGCTCATCCCCGTCTCCAAGCCGCAGAGCCAGTGTTTGTCCAAAGACAGTTTCCATGATCACGTGGCCATCGCGACTAGACACGGAACGCCATTACCTTCCCACCGTGGTGGTACCTATTTTATCTACTCACATTTACATGCTTTCGAACTGCTGGGTTGGCAGGAGCTGGGACAAGCGACGGGGGCTGACTCTGTCGCATGGATTCGATCTGACGACTGCAGGTCTTCTGACCTTGCAGCACAGAGGCTTCTGCGGTTTAACCTGCAGCACCACTATGTCCTCAGCCTTACAACTCAGTACTTAATGACCGTTTTGCCCTGAGGATACGGACAAAGAGTTGCTGCATGTGCTTTCCTGCTCCTGTGCTCTTGCAGGACCCAGAAATGGGCCATTTGTGTTCCTCCCAGTCAATATTATTTGTGTGCCAGGAAGAGCTTCGCCTGTGCTAAATGTCTGCCCGTCAGGTCGCTGTCCACAGTGTGGACTTGGAGCCGAGGGGAAAGGATGATAACCTCGTTCCTAAGTTTGACATATTGCTGATGCAGTGGTGGCCGTATTTCCAGTTTCTACCAAATTTCTGCCTGCTCCAATACATGAAAGGGTAGAGAAGGCCCAGCCAGAGAATCTGAGAGAGCTGCAGTGGGGCAGGTTAAGATCCCTGTGGCCTGAAAGGAGACAGAACTGAAGGGGCCCAATCCACAGGCCTCAGACCTGAATGGGACTTTGCCTGGATTGGGAGAACTCGGTCTCTTTTTCTGTAACATGTTAATTTTAGTATTCCTAGATTGTAAAGCATCTAGAGCAGTGGTTCCCAACCTTGGGCAATGCAGGTGTTCTTGGACTGCAATTCCCAGAAACCTTCACCACCAGCTGTGCTGCCCGGGATTTCTGGGAGTTGGAGTCCAAGGTGGGGAGCGATTGATCCAGAGCTTGTGGGAAGTAGCGTTCTTTGTATTCTCTTTACATGGAATGGTTACTGTCGGGAGGGGGGGGCTACAATTCCACCCCCCCCTTCCTTTTTGTATTTAGGAGGGGAGACATTAAAGACATATCGTTAAGACTTGGCTTTGAGTAGGTTTTTTTATGCCTATGCTGTGTTCTTGTGTAGATAGATAGATAAAACTTCGTTACGGTCAAAAGACCAGCCACAAATAAAACATCTAAAATATATAGATATACAGAAATATACAAAAATATTGGGATCAAATGCAAAGCAATAATTAGTTCTGAGGTAAACAACAACAAATTCTTGTGTATTTTATGTGGTGATTTATTTTTAAACGTTTTGTACGCTGCTTGGGCAGGTTTTGAAAAGGAAGCACAGAAATTCTGGGGGGAAAAGGTCCCCTCACAGAAATACGGTGTATAAAATGCATTAAAAGGAAAGAGGGGATCTGGCAAGGACACAATGGTCAATTTTCCTTCCTTTTCCCTTCCTGTCCTGCAGGCGGCAACGTGCACATCCATTACCACGAGGAGAAATGTTATGAGGACGAAATCTTTTTCTACCACCTGGGCTGTCATCAGTGGGTCTCCAGCCATGACCTGGCCCCTCCAATCACCCACGGTGAGGGAATGCTCCGCGCTCCCAAGTCTTCGGCAAGAGAGAAAGCACCTGCATGGCTGTGACAGGACCGTTGACGCTTAGAATCCCCTGTTCTGCATTTCCCTCCAAAACGGGACTTGGGTTTCTTTTGGAACTCTTTAAGGCAGGCAGAAGTTCCACAGGGGCAGGTTTGCCCATCATAATTCTCTGAAGGGAGCTCCTGAAAGGTTTCTGGCTGCACAGATCATAAAAGCGAAGTATGCTGCTTATATACTGCCCCAAAGCACTTAAAGTACTCTCGGGGCAGTTTCCTATTTAATTATGTCCAATGGTCCCCAACCCTGGGCCTCCAGATGTTCCTGGACTAAACCTCCCAGAAGCCTTCACCACCACCTCTGTTGGCCAGGATTTCTGGGAGGTGAAGTCCAAGAACATCTGGAGGCCCAAGGTTGGGGAACCACTGCTGTAGGCAACACATTACCCCCCCACACACACACATTCCTCCCAGCAAGCTGGGTACTCAGAAGATGGAAGGTTGAGTCAACCCTGACCCGTTGCCCAAGCCCCTCAGGATTGAACTCAGGTGGTGAGCAGAGTCTTCACGGCAGTACTGCAATTCAACCACAGCACCACGAGGCTCTTAAAGCAAAGATGGAGGAACCATTAGCTCTTGAGAGAACGGTAGACTGCAACTGCTGTCATGGTGACATAAGACGATGGGAGTTGAGAGTCCAGCAGCATCTGATGGGCCACAGACTTCTGTCTCATTAGGATGAGAAGGAAATGCTTTTCAGAAAAAGCTTGACTCTCCCTACAGGCTAACCTTGACCTGTTTCCTTTATGCTTTCTTTCTCCCAGAGCCTGAGGGAAAGGCTCAAGCCCAGGCACGGGGCCGGTACGCCCACGTGGCTGCTGTGATGAATGGAAACGTTCTGCTGGTGGCCGGAGGCTACAGCGGGGTGCCGCGGGGTGACCTGCTGGCTTACAAAGTGCCCACCTTCGTCTTCCAGGTGCCCTCCCAGATGGTAAGCCACACCTTCCTTTTCACAGCAATCATCCTTCAGGGCTTCCGCGTGAGCAGGACCCTGAAGCCCTAAAACCTCTTAAGAAGGACGTGGCCAGATGTGCGTGGCACAGCCCGCTGGCCGCAATTCACGGCTACCCATATAGGCTCCAGGTTTCATTTCCACAGTGTCGTGTTTACAAAAATCATAAAACTCGAACATTTTGTCAGAAGCATGGCAACAGTAGACTGGGGCTCAGCAGAGTTTAGGAGTTACACGGCTACAGAAAAATCACCAGCCTGCTTTTAGGCATTTATGTCCACCGGAGTTCCTCGCAGAAGTGGCTGTCATGTGAGTTGTTCTATAGAGGTGGCTCCCTACCTTAGGTGCTCTTGGACTGCAACTCCCAGAAGCCTTCACCGCCAGCTGTGCTGGCCAGGGATTTTGGGAGTTGTAGTCCAAGAAAACATCTGGGTGACCCAAGTTTGGGAACAGTTACTCTATAACTTGCATTATTCCAACACAGCCCCAGGCAGCAACAGTAATTTTGCCACCCTCCTAAATAGGGTTTTTGATTCCAAGATGACAAATAAATAGCTTTCGACCTGTTTATTTGCAGTTTGCAGATGTTGTTTTCAGTGACAAGCCACTTTCTGCAGGACAGGTTGAAAGACTGAGAAAGAAGTGAGGGGGGCGTTAGGCATGTGTAAAGTGACACTGATCTTTCTCAGATGTTTCTCAAACGTAGCTTTAGATCCAGTTCCTCTCCCCTGGGCTAATTGATGGTTTGGAACCCAGCGAGATTCTGTTCTTTGAGCCCTCATGAAGACAACCAGCCCGGGGTGTCTTAGAACGTTTTTGGTATAGAGGGTTGACTGGGATGCAACAGGGTTCAAAGTCAGTAGCTGAGTGGAAACCATGAGCGCAGAAAAACAACTGTCCATTACAAAAAAGAAAAATTCTGGTTGCCTCACAAACTAGGGACCCCCCCCCAATCCAATTCGAGGTGTAGTCCCTATTGAAGGTTGTGCTATATAGATGAGAAGTAAGTAAAACAAACACAGGATGTAAGGGGGAGTTTCTGTATTCAGAGCTTCCACTAATTTGCTGACATTCAGCAAAATCTCCCATCTCACACACTTTCCTATATGGAGTGATTGTAAGGGCAGCCTAGTTTTACCGTTCATGTGAAATGCTCCTAATCCATTTCTCCTTCTCTCGTTGCGTCTATCAGTATCATCTGGATTACTGCTCCATTTATACAGAGAAAAGCACGTGCGCTAAGGACCCCGAATGTGTCTGGTGCACGAGAGGCTGCCAGAGTACTCAGCCCCACAGCAACGTGAGTCCCTTTGGGGGGTGGCGGTGAGATGAGGGACATGCCTTTCCGGAGATGGGGGGGCTATTAAAAGAAGGGAGCCATGAGAGTGACGTACAAGCCCGTGAGGTGAACCACTTCTGGCCCCCCAAAGACGGCCCAGATCTCAGGATCTCTGCTGCTCAGTTTGGCTTCCCAACAAGGAAAAAAGGCCTTGAAAAACAGAAATACTTGCTTTAAGGGTTTTTATTAGTTTGCTGTTGAATTTCAGCAGCGTAATGATATGGGAACAGCAACCCCCACCACGTGTTTGGGAAGGGGTAGGTGAACATAGCCTGGATCGTAGGCAAGAGAAGCAATCTTAGAATGTAGGATTCCCGGGGTGTGTTTCTGCAAGGCCTGGTATTTATTATAGTCTGTCTTTGTTTCCTTCTTAGTGTCCCAATACGGGCTGCCTGGGTCTAGCCCGCCTCCTGGTGGATTGCCAGTCATGCTTGGCTTTTGGTGGCACCAATGCTTCTCTGCCCCGTGCCCCGGGACCATTTGGTTGGTGTGTGCAAAATGAGACCTGTATGCCTCTCTCAGGTAAGTGAGCCAAGCTGCATAGTTCTGCAGTGCACTGAGAAATGGTGCGTCTGGTCCCACAGACTCACGTTTCAGGGATGCTGCTTCTGTGGTCTTGTAAACACTCAGAGATGTTGTGGGGCTTTTCTTTAGAAACTTGCCAGGAGGCGTATTAAGATGTGAGGCATCAGGAACATTGATATGTACATCCTGAGGTGTCAGTATAGAATTCTGAATACCAGAATACGTGGGGTAGCTTTATAGATGGCTACGCAAAGCACTGTAAATAAGTAATTAAAACTTTTCAAGTTTTCTTTCTCACCTATTTTACTTTGACGTACCCTTACTATTGCTGTTGGTTTTAACGTCTCTATTTTTATTTTTGTTTTCTATTTTACGTGTTGTAAGTAGTGCTGTGATACTAATGGGAACGGGATACAAACTGAATAACTAAATAATAAATCCCTCATGGGATGTTTTCTCGAGTCCTAATGTCTCCTTTCGCATCCGGCCTGTCCGAAAGGACGGGTAGAGTTTATTCGTGTCGTTAGCCTGTTTATTCAAAGGATCGGATGCTGGTTTAATGGTTTAACGAGACATCTTTGTTGGTGCAAGAACACCTTTTTATACATGTCATATTGTGTTTTTATCCATGTAAGTCGCCACGAGTAGACATTGTGTAGGGGGGGCAGGGTAAAAATCTAATAAATAAATAAAAATAAATAAAATTTAGGACCTCATTGTCTGTGTCAGCTTTGTGTAACTTGCTGTGGCTAACCGCAGGTCAATGACGGTGTGCTAGAGCAGTTCTCAGCAGTGCCAGCAGGCTCGCGACCAAGACATGATGTGCCACCTTGTCAGTTAGCTGCAATTAGCTGCACCAAATCATGCCCACGTTAATGCCAGCACCCATAGGATTCTGAGCTATAAATCCTAGACATCCAGGTAGCAACTCAGTATTGGGCACGCAGTCCAGTGCATGTTCCCCTTAGCCCTCCTCCCTTCCAGTGTAGGCCTTTTTCACAAGAGCTTTGTGGTGCAGTGGTTAAACCGCTCTTCTGCAGCTAAAACTGTGCTCACGACCTGGGGTTCAAATCCCAGGTAGCTGGCTCAAGGTTGACTCAGCCTTCTATCCTTCCGAGGTTGGTAAAATGAGTACCCAGCTTGCTGGGGGGCGGTGGGAATGTGTAGCCTGCATAATTAACTTGTAAACCGCCCAGAGAGTGCTTGAAGCGCTATGGGGCGGTATATAAGCAGCACGCTTTTGTTTTTGCTTTGCTTCTATGGAAAATGGGTTTCCCCCTTCCCTTAGGGAAGAACGAAAGAGTCCTCTCACTTCTAGGGCATCATAGGAAGAGCAAACTTTACCACGGCCCAAAGGGATCCCTGTATTCTTCTCTGAGTATGTGGCTGACACCCTCCTTTTAATCCCCCCCCAGAGCAGGGCAGATGCCAGGTCGGGAAGCTCTCGGGCACCTACGGCTGGTGGGGGCCGCACCCTTTCTTTGTGACCTCCTTGGCGCAATGCCAGCACGACAACTTCCTGCCTGGCCTTCACCTCATCACCTACCAGCAACCGCGCAATGATTCCCAGCCTGACAAGGAGCGGGAGCGCGGGGGGGGGGGAATCGCGTTACGACAGCACCATATTCATATGAATGTGCCCATTTTGGGGAGTGGGGGGAAGGAATGAGGCATGGTGGGTCTTTAAAAGAAATGAAATCAGTAACCGAAAACTAATTGTTCTGTTCCCTGTTCCTTATCGTTCAAGAGGAAAACCTTGGACAAAGTTAGCATTCAGAAGATTTTTAAATATACTGGCGTATATTATGGTATACAGCAAAGAAAATGGAAAGCATACAGAACAATGTTGGATCTTCTGCCACACATGACTCTGGTGCTCATCCTTTGTTAGAAGCTTCATGGGGGAGATGGGGGCCTGTTGGTTCTGCTGCACCTTGTAGGAGACTCGCGTCACGGTGGTTAAACTGTAGTACTGCCGTCAGAACTCTGCTTGGGACCCCGGTTCAATCTCAGATTGCCAGCTTGAGGTTTGCTCAGCCTTCCATCCTTCCAGCATCAGTAAATGGAGCACCCAGCTTGCTGGGCGGGCAGGCAACGTGTAGCCTGCATAATTAAATTGTAAACCACCCAGAGAGTACTTTTAAGCACTACAGGGTGGTGTATAATGAGCGTGCTTTGGTTTGCTTTTGCAATATATGTCAATATGACAAATATTTAAACCTTTCCTCATTACCCACTCAGAATGACATCCCATCAGCTTTCAGGTGGAACAGTACTCTAGGCATAGAATTATGGGGAGATCATTATCTTCATTTTTTATTTAAAGTATTTATATGATGCCTTTCTCCAAAAGTGGAGGGCAGGGACGTGGTAGTGTTGCAGGTTAAGCCGCAGAAGCCTCTGTGCTACAAGGTCAGAAGACCAGCCGTTGTAAGATCAAATCCACACGATGGAGGGAGCTCCTGTCGCTTGTCCCACCTCCTGCCAAACTAGCGGTTCGAAAGCATGTAAAAAATGCGAGTAGATAGTTACTACCACAGTGGGAAGGTCACGGCATTCCGTGTCTAGTCGTGCTGGCCACGTGACCACAGAAACTGTCTTTGGACCAACGCTGGCTCTACGGCTTGGAGACAGGGATGAGCACCGTGCCCTAGAGTCAGACGCGACTGGACTAAATGTCAAAGGGAACCTTTACCTTTACATTTCTCCAAAAGTACCCAAGGCAACTTACAGTATTAGTTAAGGAAGGCTTTTTATACCGTTGGATACGTGCTTCGTACCTTTTTGTATCTTAACCTTCCACGGTTAAATAACCTGCGATGGAAACTAGAAGTCAGTATTCTCGTGGAAATGTACATATTTTTACTCCTGCCTTTTATTTTTATTCTGTTTATCATTTTATTTATGTTTGGTCCACTCATCATTTTCTAGCAAGCATGAAAATTGTCTTGTTGGGATACAATCAAATAAGAATAGAAATGACAGTCCTGTGTCCCCACCTAGACCATGTCTTTGCCCCACACCGGTATGTGTACCACCACTCGGCAAGGGCAGAGGTTTACAGGCTAAGCTGGAAGAATCTAGCGGCGAGAATCCTCTGTTCTTTCTGCTTTTTTGGTAGTGCCATATTTCATTTCTAGCATTGTCTTCCCTTCCCTTCGTTCAATAGGAGTCATAGAGTCTCATACAGTTATACATTTGGGAAGAGACCACACAAATCACACAGCCAAACCTGTGACAGTAGAGGTCTCCAGAGCTAAAGCATGCCTGACAAATAATCTTATAATGAGCTGGAAGGTACCCTCTGGATCATGGAGTCCAGTCCCTCTCGAGGAGGCCCAGTGGGGGAATCAAACTCCCAACTTCTGGCTCTGCAAGCAGAGACCTCGACCACTGAGCTATCCAGCAGTAAAATCTAATACTGCTTAAAACAGGCACCCTGCTTCTAACAAAGGGAAGTATGGGACATTTTTGGAGGCTGAATGGCTCTTTCTCTCAAGACATTGCTCTTAATCAGGCCTAAGGAAATGGATCTGGTTTTTCTGACAGTATTAGTTAAGGAAGGCTTTTTATACTGTTGGATACATGCTTCGTACCTTTTGTATCTATCCCTCCCTTAGGTCTCTATTGTTCGGAGCACGACCATTACTCTGAATCCCAGCACAGAGATGGACGTTTCGCTGGTCTACAAAGGTTTCATTCATCCGCTCGTGAGCAACTCCGGACACGCCGAAGATATCAAAATCTGGGCACGCATCCAGCGCCTTTTTGTGATTGCCAAGCTGGCCAGGTTCCCTGGCACGCCCGAGCTGGTGAGTTTGGGAGCTTTATTGCCCAACAGGCCGCTTGGGAGGAAAGCCAGGCTGTGCGGCCTCGCGCAAGCTCTCCGGGCCCAGAAGGAATAGCTTCCGAGTGTTTTCTACGAAGGAAACCCTGAGAAGGCTCACCACCCATTGAGATAAATCCTTAGGTTATTATGCCAAACAGCCAGGCCAACAGTCCGTTTCTAATTAGCCCAATGCAGGCAGGCCCTCACTTCTCCCACCTCTTCTGTCTTCCCTTTCAGGAGGAAGTGGGTCGTTGGGCAGTTCAGCAAGAAAAGGATAAACGGCTACTCCAGCGTCCTGGGGGCGAGCGCCTTTTCCCCAGCACCGAACGGGGCAAGAAATACGCAGTGCTGCTCGAAGGCCACCTCAACAACTCCGGCAATGGGCAGACCAGCGAACTGACCCTCACGTGGGATCGAACCGGAGTGCTTGGGGGCAGCGTGAGTATCTCGGCCTCTGCAGGGTGAAAAAGCTTGGAACCCCGGCTGTCCTGCATGTGTGCATGTGCTGGGGAAATGAGGAGAGACGGCCCTTTAAGGACTGGATATCAATGGTGGAAAGTGGGAAACAGGCTTGCTGCTGACCGATCGGTTCTGTTGACCGTTACCCCTCTGTTCTGTTTAGATGTCCATGGCTATGCGAGTTTGTTGGTTCTCCTTTCCTGTACGTGAGAGAATATAGCTCCCTTTCAGGGACTCTTAAAAATGCTGCCTCCTGTTATTGACTTTGGAGAACAGGGTGCGATGAGGATTTTTTGCCCCGTGTTGCCCAGATTTGTTAGTCTGTTTTGTCCTTTTATAAAAGAAGCAGTTTCTCTGGTGGGATTCATCAGTGGTCCTCTCCTTGTGGAACAAACACCGGTTAGAAATTAGATGGGCCTTCTGCCCTCCAGATTTTTAGAAGGCCATTGTAGACCAAATTGTTTAGGGAGGCCTTTGGCAACATCTTGAGTTTATTTTTCAGACCCGTATGTTACATTTGCATTTGTGGTTATTATTATTTTAATTCTTTATGATACTCCTGTAATTGTGGTTTATTTTGTTATGTTTCATTCCATTTGGTTTGACTTCATTGATCAGGTATCCGTTTTGGGTCACCTTTCTTTTTGCTGTGTTTGCGTTATGATTTGGATTATGTTAGTTTGGTGGTCTGTTTTGTTTAAATCGTGTAAACTGTCCTGAGGTTTACTAAGTTCAGGCAGTTTATAAGTAAATAGATAGAAGGAGATAAAAGGAGTGCGTCTTAAGCAACATGATAACAGTAAAACCCATGATAACAGGAAACCCATAATGAGCACAGATGAGGTTGAAGGACCTCAAAGGATCCATGTCGGGGGCTCCTTCGTTTCTGAGATTTCCTTTCCCTGCTTCATCGCATCTAGGAGATTTCTTACTTTTTCCTGGAGCCCCATCGCTCGGAGTTGTGTGCTGCGTACCGCTCTTGTCTGGCATGCCTGGCTGACCAGGGCTGCGGATGGTGTCCGCTCAGCGCCACTTGCCACCGACGGCTGGCACATCGGGACGACACCGGGCCCTGCGGGGCGGGCAGCGTGCGTCTCATCCTGGTCCCAAGCAACTGCATCTTATGTGAGGACTACCGAGACTGCCACGCGTGTAGCAAGGTAGGGAGGGAGCTGCCAGAGACTGGCATCGGTTTATTCTGGGAGAGGCTGGCGATCGAGGAGGGCGTGAAAAGCAACTGCTGGGTTGGGAGCAGTCTCTGGAGACAAGGAGGAGGGGTGGGTCTTTAGAAGGAGGTAGGCTTGAAAAGGCCCCTCTTGCACCATCATGGGCTGCTGCCGGGCACAGGCGAGGTGGTGGTGGGTGGGTGTTTCAATCCGGGCTAAAGTCAATTTCTCAGAGGTGTCCCTTCCGTCTCGTTCTGTGCTCCAGGACCCCTTTTGTGAATGGCAAGTGCACAGCAGCAAGAAGGGAGACTTCCTTTGCAGCCGGCGTGGCCGCCTCCCTGGTGCCATCCATTCTCCCAAGGATTGCCCGAAACTTTGCAATCAGTGAGTTTGTTGGGTGGGGGAAAGGGGTGGGTTGGGCGTCGATGAAAGTAGGGGGATCAGCTTTGTGTTGGGTCCGACCATGAGCCCTCTGTAGACCATTGTTCCCAGATCTAGCTGGGAGAGGCTGTCCGGTCCTTTTTTAGACACATCCCTTTCTCCACTCTACCTTTAGACTCCAGGGATGGGATCTGGTTGCAAAGCAGAGGCTCTACCAGGATCATGCCATCTTCCCATGCCAGGATCAGGCTGTCATGGGATGGAACATCTGCTAAGTTCTGCCCCGTGGCGGAAAGATCAGAGCCAAAATAATCTCTGTGTAGCTGAGACACCAGCTGGTGGCAGGGAGATAAATATGTCCTTAAAGGGCAGGAGATTTATGGGGGCACCTGTGTTCAAAGCAAGCTGGATGAGGCTCATGGCACAGTGGTTAAACTGCAATACTGCATCCAAAACTCCGCTCACAACCTGGGTCCAGGCCCAGGAAGCTGGCTCACTCAGCCTTCCATCCTTCTGAGGTCGGTAAATCGAGTAGCCGGCTTGCTTGGGCAGGGAAGCAATGTGGAGCCTCCATAGTCAAATTGTATACTGTCCGTAGATTGCTTTAAGCGCTGTGGGGCAGTATGTACGCAGCGTGCTTTTTTGAAATCTCCAGATGTTATTGGGCAGCAGTTTCTAGCATTCCCAGCCAGCATAGCCATAGATAAACATTGCTGGGATTTGCAGTCCAACCTCAGTTGGCCCAATGTTGACGTCTATGATGAGCCTTCGGGTGATTCAGAAAACTCTGATTCCAGAAGAGGTCATAGGACTATCAATGGCCCGGTCATTGTCTTGATCTTCTGAGCTTTCCTCTCTTCAGCCAGTCCTGAAACCACCAGCTCATCCATGCCGAGTTTGGAGGAAGATCAAGGACGCAAGGGAAGTGGGAAGGACTCTGAATGTGTAGAGGACATATTTCAGGGTGTTTTCTCTCTCCTCCTTCCAGGCGTACCACGTGCTCAGAGTGTCTCTCCAACTCCAGCCAATGTGCCTGGTGCCAGTCCACACGCAGCTGCTTCTTCTTCGCAGCCTATATCGCAAAGTAACTATGGAGACTGCCGCGGGTGGTACGACAGGTAGGTTTGGCGTACAGAGCTGCCGGTCCAGCAAGGAGTGGCTTTAACCAGGACTAGTAACTTGGATTTTCATGCTAAGCGAAATGCAAGCGGCACAATTCTTTGCCAAACGGTGGGATCTCCTGACGGTTGTTTTCCTCCCTCTTCCACCCCCCCCCCGTGTTCATTCTGTGCCCCAGTGCCTGGACTGTAGCCGGTTCAACACTTGCCGCGAATGTTTACAGAACTTTGAGTGTGGTTGGTGTGGCAACTCCGATAACCCTACTTTGGGCAGGTGAGTGTTTGCCTACATTTTTTTTCTATGCAAAGAAGAAAATGTTTTGTTTTGTTTTTTCCTGTCCATGCAAGATGTATAATTTGGCCAAAGGGCTTGTGGGATTGGGCTAGGTCAGAAAAATAGGAGCATAATAGAGAGGAGCGAAGTGTTGTGCAGAATTAGGGATCTCTGTTTTTAACTTTCAGATTTATAAATTAGGTTCTAGCCCTTAAGGTTTGAAGGACATGTTTTGAAAGTATATTTCTGACTCTATATCACTTGTTGGAAGGTTTCCCACCATTGGATATTGTTCTTACATGCAATTAAAAAAAAGAAAAATCAGTGAGGCCAGGTTTTCCTTACTTCTGGTAATAAATGAATCAGAAATAAATTCATTGTATGGTAGGACCCTCTGTATCCATGGGGGATCAATTCCAAGCCATTCACCATCACTGCTGCTAAGGCTGAAAACCAGAGAGAATAGTGGACCTTATACATAACATGGTTGGCCAGTTCTGGTAACAACATTGTGGAAATACATATCTCTGGATTTTTTTTCTTTTAATATGTTTAATATTTTCAGGCTGCCAATAAGTGAAACCACAGATACCCATCCTGTGGACACAGGCATTGTTACAGAGGTAGATGCCCACAAATAAAAAAAAGAGGATGGCAGGCCTGGGACCTTGTGAGGCGAACGATGGATGTCTCATTTCCTTCCTAGGTGCCTGCCTGGCGATTTCTCTGGCCTGAATACCTTCCTCAACTGCTCAGTGGCACTTTGGGAGTCGCACGGCCTTCCCCCCACCCTGCCAGCCCGGTGGTCCTACGAGCAGTGCCCAGATGTGGACGAGTGCCGGCTGGGCCTGGCCAGCTGCCACCCTTTCGCCAGCTGCAAGAACACGCCCGACTCCTTTGAATGTCACTGTAACCGAGGCTACGCGGGCGATGGGGTGACCTTTTGCAACCAGACGTGAGTCGTAAGATAACGCACGTTCTCTGGTCCTGGGTGACTCTTTGGAAAATACCCACAGCTTATATGGCTCTTTCCAGGAAAGCTTTACAGTGGTGCCTCGCTTAACGATGATAATCTGTTCCAGGAAAATCACTGTTAAGCGAAAACATCCTAAAGCGAAATTAAAAACCCCATTGAAACACATTGAAACCCGTTCAATGCGTTCCAGTGGGGTAAAAACTCACTGTCCAGCGAAGATCCTCCATACGGTGGCCATTTTCGCTGCCTGTATAGTGAGGAATCCGTCCCTAAGCACAGCGGGGAGCCACTTTGAGCACCATTTTGAAAATCCGACGATCAGCTGTTTTTGATCGTCGTAAAGCGAAAATCGGTTCCCGAAGCAGGGAACCAATCATCACTAAGCAAAATCCCCCCATTGAGACCAACTGCGATTGCAAAAAGATCATCGTAAAGCAGATTCGTTGTAATGTGGGGCAATCGGTAAGCGAGGCACCACTGTACATTTAGCACGGCATGCCATAATTTTTAATTATTCCATTTGCTTGGTAGATTAGGGAGCCCAAACTTGGGTCGTTTAAAACCAGTGAGGCTGATTGATTGATTGATTGATTGATTGATTGATTGATTGATTGATTGATTGATTGATTTAACAAACAAACAAACAAACTTATATACCGCCCATCTAGAATGTATGTACTCTGGGCAGTTTACATAAAATACATTAAAAAACTATGAAAGTATAAATGTACTAAGAGTAGAGCCCAAATTAACAGCAGAATCCAAGATGGAAAAAGAAAAGAAAAAAAGGAAAGATAGGCTAAGGATGTATTGGTTTTATTTCTGCTTTGTCAACTCTCTCTGATTGTGGTATGTTAACTGCCCTAAAGGAAGTAAAATAAAATATTAAAGACAAGCCCTTCCTTCAGCCAAAGAGTGTCAGTTTTTCGTTTGTTCAATGGTTATATTATTTAAATTCTCATTTTTTCCACTCATAACTAAATATACTTTAGCTTTATATTCTGCACAATCAATTTTGGGAACTTTTGTATACACCCCTGTGCGAAACAAAGGCAGCTCCTTAAATCTGAAGACTCTGTCTTGTCACCAACTACTTTTAAAGGGATAAACCCATGGAGATTTCACAAAGTCTTCAGTTGGGGCGAATTTCGGCTTGTGTGAATAGAAGCCTAGGGAGTCTAGGTGGTCGGGAAGATAACGTTGCCCTGGAAATAGGCTTGCTAGAGTGAGGCCTTCTGGCTAATATCTCTGTGATCTCTCTCTCTCTCTCTCTCTCTCTGTGTCTCTCCCCTTCTTGCCCACCAGCTGCTATGATGAATGTGCCCATGGAGAATGCAGCGGGGCCCCGAACTTTACCTGCTTGTGCGATTTAGGCTGGACCACCGAGATCATCACGGGGGCCACCCCTCCACCCAGCGGGGTCCAGTGCAACCTGGATTGTGGGTGTCACTTCCATAGCAGCTGCAACCTCAGGGGGCCCGGTGTATGTGACGAGTGTCAGAGTGAGCCACGACCCTGATTTTATCATTTTTTTTTTTTAAAAAAAGATACATTGCAATCATTATGATTAGTTTGTGTTGAAACTCCAGTGTGAGAAGAAACTGGCCCTGCGGGAAACTGTTGGATGACGTACATCTCCCAGCATTCCTTACCAGGGGCTGATGGGGATTGTAGTCTCATAAAGCTTGCACATTCCCCACCCCTGGTAGAAGAGGACAGCTCTTTTATTTTCCCTCCCCATGTTCAGTTCCCTGGCCTCCCTTGTTGCTTTTAAATGTGTTTTTGGTATTCATCTTGTTTAGCATTTCTAAATATAGTATCTGTTTCATTCTTTTTAAAATATTTATATACTTATTGTTTTTAGCTTTTGAATATTGCCTTCTTAATGACGTAAGCCGTCTTGGGTTCTTTTTAAGGGAAAAAGGCTGCAGAGATTCCCCCCCATTGCAACTTTGAAATATAACCGTATATATTAGGATTTAGCAGTTATAGAAATATAGTCACATTCATGGGCTGTCTTTATATCATTGCTAAATCCTGTTCTCCACGGGTGAGTTCAAGATATTTCCAATAAATAAACAAATCCTCTTCTCTTTTGTGGACTTGCTCTTCGGTGGACAGACTGGACGTACGGCGAACGCTGCCACCTTTGCCGCCCGGGCAGCTACGGGAATGCCACCAGCCAGAGCGGTTGCCGGGCATGCGCCTGCCATGGGCACGGCCTGGAAGAGATGGGCTACTGCCACAGTTCTACGGGCATCTGTTACTGTGCACCACCCACGGAAGGGCTGCACTGTGAGCGCTGTGCCCCTGGCTACTATGGGGACCCCAGGTGAGAGGGCGGGCTGACTTGGCTATGCATTATTTGTCTATTGACATTTACCGTATTTTTCTGTGTATAAGACGCCCCCATGTATAAGACACCCCCCACGTTTCTAACACAAAATCAAGAAATCTAAGCAAGGCTTAGCAAGTAGAGGGGTTAAAGCAGCGATCAAAGCACAGCAGGATCACTTCGATCCCTGCTTTCTCCTTTCTTGCTAAGCCGGCTTAGCAAGTGGAGGGGGAAAGCAGGAATCTAAGCACTTCGATGATTCCTGCTTTCCCCCTCCACTTTCTTCGCAAGGAAGTCCTTTCTGATCTACTCAGTTTCATAATAGAGGGAGATCTGTCGAAGCTGGTTGTTAGGCTGGCTTTTCCTTTTGTGCCTTTCCCTGGTTTAAGGGACAGGGCAGGTTAGGCAGTCAGAAGCGAAGTAGACAATCAAATGGAAAATCATTTTTTTTAAAAAAAAAACAGAGCTTTTATTTTATGGCATGCCTATGCAGCTGTGAGAGCCATTCCTTGGGCATTTGGAGAAGCAGAATGAAGCTGATTTCTGTTACCTAAACATAAGAGTTACAACTTCAACTAGAACTGGATTAAGTTGAGGAAAACAGAAAACTTGGATGCTAGTTAAACATATTGGCTGCTTTATTTTTTAAAAAGGCAGATGCCCAATCAAAAAAATAGCCATGCCACTTTTCCAGAATTGTTGTTACTTAGAGAAAAAAAACATCCAGAGTTGCCTGTGTAGGATTCACACTTACCTTCCTGCACAGGAAACACCTGAAAATCGGGTTTGAGTTGTTCAGTATTGCCTGTACAGCTGTCCTTGTGCTGACCCTCCTCTATTCATATTTTCCTGCTTCAGAAATGGAGGCCTTTGCTACCAGGAGTGTGTAGGGCGCTCTTTGCTCACCAACCTTTCTTCCGCTTCTTCGCTGAGCTCTCAGCGGGCTGGGGGCCTCCCACCTGGTGGGCTCTCTTACTGCGTCTGGGTGTTGTCCACGGGGGAAGACATGCAGCCGTGCCGGCTGGAGCAGGTCTGCCCCACGGTCACCCTGACGATCCAACCTGACACCCTCTGCATGGTAAGCGTAAAGGCTAGAGGGGTGGACAGGACTCTGCGGGTGGAGGCTGGTTCTGTAGGTAGATGTGAGACAATACAGTTGTGCCCCACTTTACGATTAGCCCGCTTAACGATGAATCTGCTTGACGGTGAGGTTTTTGCGATCGCAAAACGATGTTTTGATCGGTTCCATGCTTTGGGAACCAATTTTCGCTTTACGACGATCAAAAACAGCTGATCGTCGGGTTTCAAAATGGCCGCCGGCTGCAGAAAGTGGCCTCCCGCTGTGCTTAGGGACGGATTCCTCGCTGCACAGGCACCAAAAATGGCCGCCCTTATGGAGGATCTTCGCTGGACAGTGAGTTTTCCGCCCATTGAAACACATTGAACGCTTTTCAATGCATTTCAATGGTTTTTTTCGTTTCATTTGACGATGTTTTTGCTCTACAGCGATTTCGTTGGAATGAATTAACATCGTCAAGCGAAGCACCACTGTAGTAGAGGTTCTATAATCAATGCATAAATATGTAATTTCTGTAGGGAGCAGGGAGGAGATGAGCCACACATATTTCCGGGGGAATTTGCTGTGCAAAATCTGATTTTTTAATGTCTGGTGTGAATTGTACCTTATTCTCCCTAAAAACACACCACTATCCCTCCAGCTTATAGCAGATACCCCAGACGCAGAGAGATACATCCAGAGGAAAAATTAGGTGGTAAAGTTAGTATGGCGTGTTAGAATTTGAACCAACTTCTGAAAACAGTCACTTTGATTTAATTGTGAAAAGAGTCTTGTGCTTGTCTTCTTGGAAGTAAGCCCCACTGATTTCAGTGAGCTTTACTCCCAAGTAAGTTGGCACAGGACTTAATTTCCAGGCTATATTGAACTCACAGAATGAGAGCAGGTATTTTTTAAATTTTTTTTTAATGAGCATCTTTTGCCGAAAAACAGGATTTTAGGTTGATTGCTGGCTGCATTCAGTCCCGCTTCAATTTCTCCTTAGAATAACTATGTCTATGCCTTTGATGGGCTCCCTGATTTCCTGGACACAGGCCTGATTCAGTTGGATCGTACGCTGATCGGAGCTTTCTGCGGCCAGGGCCGTCCCCGCCCCATCACAGTGGAGGCTGTATCAGGTACGGGAAAGAGAGAGAGAGAGAATTGACGAAAAAGAGAAGGTTTACCGTTCTGATGTGTGATGAGTGCTGAATTTGTTTCCTTACTTAGTAACGGTCAGTCTGTCCCAGGCACAGAGTGAGGGCCTTCTCTGTGGCTGTTCCCGGGTTCTGAGATGCGGTCCCACTGGAAATAACCTTGGCCCCTCTCCCTTTTACCCTTCTGCCAACAGCTGAAGAGCTACCTTTTCAGACAGGCTTTTAACCATCATGACTGAGTCCCTGAATGCCATTTCTTAGTTAAGGTAGTCTTTAACATTTTACCCATTTTTAATTATTCAGTTGCATTTTACTCAGTTTTAAATTTTTAAATTTTTTAAATGTAGATTTTACCATGTTTTTAATTCCCTTCTTTTTAATACTATGGGCCACCTTGGGTGCCCTTATCGGGAGAAAGGCATCCCTACCAATAGGCCAAATAAAGATCAAGAAGCAAATATTCCATCAAAAATCTGTAAAAAAAATATTAACAGCTTGCCACTATTGAGAGATAGAGAAACAGGCCAGAACTTTGGGGCATTGTTATCACCCTTTATGAACTGGAGGTTAACTGCAGCTGTAAATTGCAGAAAGGATGATAGCATGCAAGCTAGGTTTCAGGACATCATCATTGCCACTGCTCACATTTGCATGGAGGAATCGCAGCCGTGTTTCCCGTGGAAAACCACAGTTTGGAAACCGTGGTTATAGATTTCGAGCTTGCCCTTCCATACCCCCAACCTCCTAAAGGATTGTCCCATTTTTTCTTTTTTCTGGAACTGAGAATCCTTTACGGCAGCCGTTAGTTCTCTGATTCTCTCCTTGCCTTCTCTTCTTGCAGGCCTGCTGGTCATTTACTACGAGGCCAACTCCAGCGAGGCCTCTGGCTTCAACGCCACCTACACGGTGCATCGCTGTCGACCCAGTTGTCACCCCAACCAGGAGTGCGAGGAAGGGCGATGCGTCTGTAAGGCCGGTTTCACAGGGCCCGGCTGCCAGTTCCACATCTGTCCGGGCAACTGCAGCGCTCATGCCGGGCAAGGGAGATGCAATAGGGTGAGCCCCATTTTTGAAAACATGTCGTTCGCCATCTTTAAGCCGTCTTGTGGGGGGCAGGAATATTGCAAAAGGAAAGCAATGCAGTCTTGATAGCAGAAGAAAAACAGTGAATCTGTTGGAGTCACCTCTGGAAGGATATCCAAGGAGATCTGCCAGGTTGGTTGTCTAAGGTTCTGTTGAAGGCCTCCGGTGCTGGAGCGCTCACCACCTCCCGAGGTCTTGGGTTCCGTTGTCGTACTGCTCTAACAGTTAGGAAGTTTTTTCCTGATATTCAACCAAAATCCGGCTTCCTGTCACTTGAGCCCATTGTTGTGTGTCCTGCCCTCTGAGATGATCGAGAACAGATCCTGCTCCCCCTCTGAATGACAGCCTTTCAAGCATTTGAAAAATGTTATCCTATCTCCCCTCAATCTTATTTTCTCAAGGCTAGACATGCCCAGTTCTTTCAGTCTTTCCTCCTAGGGCTTGGTTTCCGGACCCCTAATCACCCTTGTTGTCCTCCTTTGAACTCATTCCAATTTGTCAGCATCCTCCTTGAAGTACAGGGACATGATGGCACTGCAGGGTAAACTGCAGAAGCCTCTGTGCTGCAAGGTCAGAAGACTTGCAGTTGTAAGATCGAATCCACACGACGGAGTGAGCTCCCGTCGCTTGTCCCAGCTCCTGCCAACCTAGCGGTTCAAAAGCATGCAAAATGCAAAATTGCGAGTAGATAAACAGGTACCACCTCGGTGGGAAGGTAAACGGCGTTCCGTGTCTAGTCACGCTGGCCACGTGACCACAGAGGATTTTCTGCAGACAAACGCTGGCTCTATGGGTTGGAAACAGAGATACAGAAAAGCTCAAAGGGCACCTGAGTGGTTAAAAAAAAGTCTAACTTAATCTAATTCAAATAATATTGAGTATGCAATTTAGGACAGAGTAAGTAAATTGCGGTGGGTAAAGCTAAAATCGACAGGTGGGAACATTAGCTTTAGAGGAGCTTATTGATCATAACGGAAGGCAGAAGGACTTCCTGTTTAGTATTTTAGAAAGGCAGGAATCCATAGCATCCCTTCGACTGAACTTAGATTGTTTGACGTCGGCTTTTGAGTGCAAGGCGAGGGGGACGGCGCTTAAAAGCTAATTGCCGTTTCCTGAATCTAGACCTGCTGGACGTGCGGTTTTCCTGTCAACCGGGGGGTGTCAGCTTATCCCCTTTTGGCTTCTCGCCTTCCCTCTTTCCCCTCAGAGCTTGGGCTTGTGCGTCTGCAGCGATCGCTTTGCTGGCTCCGACTGCTCCCTCCCGCTGGATGCCGGCAAGATCGTCTGGGAGACTTTGATTGACACTCAGCTGACGGCTGTAAGTGGAGCTCCTTTGGAGAACAGATGTAACACCCTGCCCCCGGGCCACCACCCTCTATCTCTTGGGTTTTGATGGAGCCTCCACCTTTGTCAGTCGCCCCAACAGAGGCTCTCACACACTCCTTCCACACACCTTCTTGGGGAAAATGATGAGGCCGGGGTTTGATGTCCACAGCAGGGAAGGCTCGGCGGGCCAGCCTTTGGGGCTCTTCCGAGTGGCAGGGCTGTCTTGGCTGCCGGTATTCTTCTCAGTTTATTTCATGGTTTCAGAATTGTTCTATTGGACGGGACTTTAGGGTCCGCTTATCCGTCATTAGTTCTCCTGACGGTTCTTTGAGCCGTGGGCTTCAATAACTTGTGTGTGTGCATTTTAATCAGTAAATGAACAGTATGTCACCAGTCTTGTTAGGGCTCGAATAATTGGCTCATGGCATTCAGATCAGATCAGTGACTGCTTTTGGCATAACAGTTGCTAAATGAACAGGGAAACAGTATGTCACCAGTCTTGTTAGGGCTCAAATAATTGACTCATGACATTCAGATCAGATCAGCTACTGCTTTTGGCATGTGTGTGTGTTTGTGTGTTTAGTCGTTTAGTCGTGTCCGCCTCTTCGTGACCCCATGGACCAGAGCACGCCAGGCCCTCCTGTCTTCTACTGCCTCCCGGAGTTGTGTCAGGTTCATGTTGGTTGCTTCGCAGACCCTGTCCAGCCATCTCATCCTCGGTCGTCCCCTTCTCCTCTTGCCATCACACTTTCCCAACATCAGGGTCTTTTCCAGGGAGTCTTTTCTTCTCATTAGATGGCCAAAGTACTGGAGCCTCAGCTTCAGGATCTGTCCTTCAAGTGAGCATTCAGGGTTGATTTCCTTTAGAACTGATAGGTTTGTTCTCCTTGCAGTCCAGGGGATTCTCAAGAGCCTCCTCCAGCACCACAATTCAAAGGCATCAATTCTTCGGCGGTCTGCTTTCTTTATGGTCCAGCTCTCACTTCCATACATCACGACAGGAAAAACCATAGCTTTGACTATTCGGACTTTTGTTGGCAAGGTGATGTCTCTGCTTTTCAAGATGCTGTCCAGATTTGTCATCGCTTTCCTCCCAAGAAGAAGGCGCCTTTTAATTTCAGGGCTGCTGTCTCCATCTGCAGTGATCATGGAGCCCAGGAAGATAAAATTTGACACTGCCTCCATATCTTCCCCTTCTATTTGCCAGGAGGTGATGGGACCAGTGGCCATGATCTTAGTTTTTTTGATGTTGAGTTTCAGACCGTTTTTTGCACTCTCCTCTTTCACTCTCATTACAAGGTTCTTTAATTCCTCCTCACTTTCTGCCATCAGAGTGGTATCATCTGCATATCGGAGGTTGTTGATATTTCTTCCGGCAATCTTAATTCCGGCTTGGGTTTCTTCCAGTCCAGCCTTCCGCATGATGTATTCTGCATATAAGTTAAATAAGCTGGGGGACAATATACAGCCTTGCCGTACTCCTTTCCCAATTTTGAACCACTCAGTTGTTCCATGACCAGTTCTAACTGTTGCTTCCTGTCCCACATATAGGTTTCTCAGGAGACAGATAAAGTGGTCAGGCACTCCCATTTCTTTAAGAACTTGCCATAGTCTGCTGTGGTCCGTGTCTAGTCACGCTGGCCACGTGACCACAGAGGATTTTCTGCGGACAAACGCTGGCTCTGTGGGTTGGAAACGGAGATACAGAAAAGCTCAAAGGGCACCTGAGTGGTTAAAAAAAAGTCTAACTTAATCTAATTCAAATAATATTGAGTATGCAATTTAGGACAGAGTAAGTAAATTGCGGTGGGTAAAGCTAAAATCGACAGGTGGGAACATTAGCTTTAGAGGAGCTTATTGATCATAACGGAAGGCAGAAGGACTTCCTGTTTAGTATTTTAGAAAGGCAGGAATCCATAGCATCCCTTCGACTGAACTTAGATTGTTTGACGTCGGCTTTTGAGTGCAAGGCGAGGGGGACGGCGCTTAAAAGCTAATTGCCGTTTCCTGAATCTAGACCTGCTGGACGTGCGGTTTTCCTGTCAACCGCGGGGTGCTTATCCCCTTTTTGCTTCTCGCCTTTCCTCTTTCCCCTCAGAGCCTGGGCTTGTGCATCTGCAGCGATCGCTTTGCTGGCTCCGACTGCTCCCTCCCGCTGGATGCCGGCAAGATCGTCTGGGAGACTTTGATTGACACTCAGCTGACGGCTGTAAGTGGAGCTCCTTTGGAGAACAGATGTAACACCCTGCCCCCGGGCCACCACCCTCTATCTCTTGGGTTTTGATGGAGCCTCCACCTTTGTCAGTCGCCCCAACAGAGGCTCTCACACACTCCTTCCACACACCTTCTTGGGGAAAATGATGAGGCCGGGGTTTGATGTCCACAGCAGGGAAGGCTCGGCGGGCCAGCCTTTGGGGCTCTTCCGAGTGGCAGGGCTGTCTTGGCTGCCGGTATTCTTCTCAGTTTATTTCATGGTTTCAGAATTGTTCTATTGGATGGGACTTTAGGGTCCACTTATCCGTCATTAGTTCTCCCGACGGTTCTTTGAGCCGTGGGCTTCAATAACTTGTGTGTGTGCATTTTAATCAGTAAATGAACAGTATGTCACCAGTCTTGTTAGGGCTCGAATAATTGGCTCATGGCATTCAGATCAGATCAGTGACTGCTTTTGGCATAACAGTTGCTAAATGAACAGGGATGCAGAAGGTGTGTGTGTGTGTGTGTGTGAGAGAGAGAGAGAGAGAGAGAGTGAGTGAGTGAGTGAGTGTGAGTGAGTGAGAGAGAGAGAGAGAGAGAAGTGTCTTTGTCTTGTTTTCCTGTCCTGGAGGAAAGAGGGAGTTGACTCTTCCGTTCATGCCTATTGTCTTCCTTCAAGGACACAGCCAGCCGGTTTCTTCACCGTCTGGGCCACACCATGGTAGAAGGGCCGGATACCACGCTTTGGATGTTTGGAGGCATGTCATTGCGAGAAGGCATGCTGGGCAATGTGTACAGGTACGAGGCCCTCCCCTGTTTACCCCCCCGGAGGCTCCTTTCCTGGAGGTGTCCTCACCTCTCCAGTCATTACAGCCCAGCGTGCCGGGTCTCTCCACAGATACTCCATCGCCGAACGCCGCTGGACTCAGATGCTGGCCGGAACAGAGGACAGAGGCCCCGGGCCTCATCCCCGTTACTTCCACGCGGCTGCCTACATTTCCTCCTCCAAGGCCATGTATCTGCTCGGTGGGCTGACCGCGGACGGCGTGGCCAACGATTTCTGGCTGCTCAACCTTACCACTCTGCAGTGGAGGCTCGTACAGGTAAGGTGGATGCTGAAGCTAAGCTCATGCTGGGGAGCTGGGGGGTTGTGCTGCCTAGTGAACTCTGGACATTGTAGTCCAAGACAACACAAAACTGCATGGCTTCCTCATCCATCCTGTTGACAAAAGAGGAGCAGCCGGTTCCACGTGGTCCAACACATTCTGCATCCACTGTTGCCACTAAGAGGAAAGCCCCCATACAGGAGAAGATGGTGGGTCTCTAAAAGGGCAGAGAAAAAGGTGTCAGGCTAACAAGGCGGGCTTGGAACACCTCCTTTCCACCCGCAGCCCTTTGTGAACTTGGACCAGGCTGCTTCGGACAAACGCAGGAAAATGCCTTTTTCCCCCCAACTGGATTTCCAAAAGGCACACAGGAAACAGAAATATATGAGGTTCAAGTTTCAAACAGTTCAGTCTGCACCTGCATATTCACCCATAATTATGTGTTCCTTAACCCATCGTTTGTGATCTTTGCATTACCAAATTATGTCTGACTTTCTAGTGGGACAGGAGAGGAAAAAACAACAACCCAAACTGAGGTTCAGAAAGCTGAAGCTGTTTATTGGACCTGACTCTTCAGCACTCTGGATTCCTAGTGCCTTCTTCCCCCCCCAGTATTATGAGAGCGATGGGAAAGAAGAATCTTACTGGTGCCTCTTCCTTCTTTTCCAAGTGTCTACGTAAAATGGGGGTGCAGGTATAACCACTCGGTATGTTGGCCATCTGGTCAAGTGATGAGGAGAGTCGAATCACACAGTGATTCCCAATCAGAGATCTGGGGATGTGACCGCTTGGTGGATGATGGCACAAGTGATTAAGGACTGAATGTGGGTGTAGGAATTACTGGGGCAAGAGTGTTGTGGTGGACTTGTTTTTTTTCTCTTCAGGAGAAAAATGAATAAACTTTACTGTCCTAAGCACAGTGGTGCCTCGCTTAACGACGTTAATTCGTTCCAGCAAAATCGCTGTAGAGCGAAAAAGTTGTAAAGTGAAATTAAAAAGCCCATTGAAACGCATTAAAACCTGGTTAATGCGTTCCAATGGACTGAATAACTCATCGTCCAGTGAAGATCCTCCATAGGGGTGGCCGTTTTCGGTGTCTGTAGAGTGAGGAATCCATCCAAAAACACAGTGGGGAGCCATTTTGAGCACCCAGCGGCCATTTCGAAAACCCGACGATAAGCTGTTTTGATTGTTGTAATGCGAACATTGGTTCCCGAAGCGAAAAAATTGGTTTCGTTTTGAAAACCCAACGATTAGCTGTTTTGATTGTTGTAATGCGAAAATTGGTTCCCGAAGCAGGGAACCGATCTTCGCAAAGCAAAAAAACCTCATTTAAAACATCGTTTTGCAATTGCAATCGCAAAAACATTGTCGTGAAGCAGATTCGTCGTTATACGGGGTAATCGTTAAGTGGGGCACGACTGTACCAAGCTTTGGATGTCTCTTCATCCCAAATAATCCTGAATCGACAGCCCAGCTTTTATCAGGTCTCTCCGCAGATGAACCAAGAATGGTGGAGAAAAGAGGGGGACCCCCCCATGCCCCACTCACTCCTAATGTTCAAAACTCTGAATGATCCTGATGGATCTCTTCATGTCTTCCTGACCCCCGGGCACGACTGTACCAAGCTTTGGATGTCTCTTCATCCCAAATAATCCTGAATCGACAGCCCAGCTTTTATCAGGTCTCTCCGCAGATGAACCAAGAATGGTGGAGAAAAGAGGGGGACCCCCCCCATGCCCCACTCGCTCCTAGTCTTCAAAACTCTGAATGGTCCTGACGGATCTCTTCATGTCTTCCTGACCCCTTCTAGGACCCGCTGATCCCGGCTGTGGCAGGTCACACCCTCACGGCTCGGCGTGGCTCTTCCTTGCTCCTAATTGGTGGCTACTCCCCGGAGAATGGCTTCAATAAGAAACTCTTGGAATACAACGTGGTGTCAGAGACGTGGCATGCTGGGAACCAGGCTGGGACGCCCCCTACAGGTAAAGATAATCCATGGGGGAACTGGTCACAAGGGAGGTCAAAGGATAACCTGGCAACCCCAAAGGTTTTTAGGGTACGAAGATTTTGCTCGTGCTTTTCCTAAGCCGCCAGCTTTTCCAAAAAGCTTTAAGAAACCTATGGCCCCGCATTTAAACTCAATAACCTGGCAACCCCGAAGGTTTTTAGGGTACGAAGATGCTGCTCGTGCTTTTCCTAAACCGCCAGCTTTTCCAAAAAGCTTTAAAGAAAAGAGGATTATCACAAATTCTCAAGACCACAGTTGGAAAGTGTGCCTGCGAAGGGAGTCCAGCAAAATACCTTCCTCCATATTTCTGCTCGAGGAAGAGGAGGCAGTCAAATGAAGGAGAATTATTACTGCCCAGAGATTTCTTCCCACCCTCAGCTCCTGGCAAATAAAGACACCTGGCACTGCACATTTTCTTTTTCAGGTCTGTATGGACACTCCGCTGTGTACCACGAGGCCACTGACGCCATCTACGTCTTTGGCGGCCACCGGTTCCACGTAGAGATGGTTTCAGCTTCTCCCGAGCTCTACAGCCTTTACTACCCCAACCTCACCTGGAGTTTGCTGGCCCCATCCCAGGGACCGAAGGTGAGAGAGGCGCTTGATGCAGGTTTAGCAATCCCGCCAGCATGCTCATGAATCGTACCCTCCCAGCTTTAAAAGCTGGCTTTGTGTAAATTCACTTTGGGCCACTATGTATTGGGGGGGGGGAACCTCCTCTGAATTCAAGTTCCAGCCTCGTTGGTTCAGAGATAGGGGTTGGTGTTGGGTTTGGGTTGGTTTCGATGGTAGGGATTTTATCTTTTCCATCCTTAGCACTTGAACATGGGCTAAAGGTGCAAACATTTAACTTTCTTATATTGCCTGTCTTTCTCGTATGACTTAATACGTTATAACCACACATTTGGAAATTCTAGGATTTGAGTTGTAGTTTGTGAGTTAATTGTCTTGAAATATTGTTGATTTTGGTTGTTCTTTTTCCCCCTCTCCAAGTTGCTTTGAGCCTGCTATTGCCACAGAAAAATGGCACGTGGTGATGTCTGAAGAAAGAATTTTGAATGAATGAAAGATGAAAAGATGTTCTAATGAAATGCTTATCTTTGTGTAGCATCCATGGGGCACTTTCTAAGTTTAGGAGGTCATCTCAGGCATTGAGTTGGAGGAGTTGGCTTAAGAGGGAAGTGGGAGGTTGATTTCCACGGTCTTTTTATTTCCCACCTCAACTGTTCCCTCTCTCTCTCCAGCCACTGGCTCACTTCTTCCACGTGGCAGCAGTGCTGAAGGACACCATGGTAGTTATAGGAGGGCGCACGGAACGTGAGAATTTCACCAACCACGTTTTCTTCTACCAGTTAAACTGCAACACCTGGATCCTACCTAACAACACAGGTAAAGTCTGGAATGAAGAAGCTGACGTTCGGCTACAGGATTCAGCATCTCAGACACAACAGCTCACAATTTTAAAAAAGCAAGAGGTCCATTTAAAAAACAGGGTTTTTCCCCCCTTCCTATATTTGAAGCGGAATGCAAATCGGGTTTTTTGCATAGAAGTTGCAGAATTGATGTTTTCTTGGTGCGGAATTTAGGTTGATTCCGATTTTTGTTTTGTAATGGCAGAACCTTTGAGCTTGACAAAGGAGGTTGTGGGCTGCAGGGGGTGCCTGGAGTTGACAGGGGAATATAACCCCCACGGCTACGGCAGTCCTGCTGTACATTCTTTGTTGGCATGCTTCCTCATTTTCAGGAAGATGCCTTGCAACCAGCGCTCTGCAAACCCTTCTCCAAAACATCACCTTCAGCTCCCTGTATTGGTTTGAATGGGGGGCGTCATGGATCTGGGATTCTTCTCTTTGGCTCACCCCCATCTTTTTTGGTTTTTCTTTCTCCTTCTGCAGCGCCGGCCATGGTGGGCGAGCCTATCATGGAGTCCATTGCCCATGCTGTGGCTGCTGTGGGAGGCCGCATCTACCTCTCGGGCGGCTTCAATGGGGTGGCCCTGGGGCGTATGGTGGCCCTCTCTGTGCCCTCTGACCCTTGCCTCATCTTCCCCAACCCGGAAACCTGCAACGGATCTAACGCTAGCTGCACCTGGTGCCACGGCAGCTGCCTCTCTGCAGACGCAGCTGAGAGGTGCGAAAGAATGGGTTCAGGATAACAGGGAGCAAAGAGATGAGGGATCCGGCTTTGAGGAAGCAGGAGGGCAGTGTAGGTCTCAGCTGGAAAGTGAAGGGAGCTGAAAAAGATGTGTCTTTTGTGAGTGGCTTGTCATTAGCAGAGGGAAATGGGGAGGTGGTGTGTTTGGGAAAGGAATCTCTCAACAGTAAGAGAGCCAAGGGAAGCAGAACATGGAACTGGAGAAAAGTCATGGGGTTTTGAGACATATTGCAGCCTGTCCTTTACTGCCCTTGCTAAACAGTTAGTTGGCATTGAGGTTACTGTAATCCTTCTGGAGAATGTCTGATTGTTGGCAAATGGGTTTTACTTTCTGCTTAACAGAATAGATATTCTTAGCTTCAAAAACTCAATACACACACCCTGATTCTTTTGAATTTCCATTTCTACTGATCACATCCTTCAGGAGGACCCAAAATGTTCTGTGAAATACAGCGTAGTGTTCCTTTCCCTCTTCTTACCTTGCTAATTATTTATTTAGAACAAGAAATATTGACGAGTGTGCATTTTTATCCAATAGAATCCTCACCTCACCTGCTACATTAGTACGTAAACTGAACTGATAAGGTTTTAGAATCATTTATTTAAAATATTGCACACCGCATGCTTATCTTTTACTATGATGCAGCAGACCAGGTGCAGTTTGGTTTAGTTTTTGGCAGTCTGGGAGTTCAGGAGGGTTAGTAAATAGCTTTGGATCAGTAGGAGAGAGAGAAAGAGAGAGAAATTGGGTGTTTCCAGCAAAGTGGTTTCTCTTTTTTCCTTTCCTGCAGGCAGGGTTGTTCCTTTGTCGGAAACTCCTGCTTCCCGACCCCAAGATCCGCGGATGAGTGTCGTCGTCTCAGAACTTGCAGTGAGTGCCTGGCCCAGCACCCTCGCGCCATGGCCCACAGCCTGGGCATCCCAGTGAGTAGCAAGGAGCCCAGGGGGCGCCCCTCCTGTCCGTTCTGTATTGACGCCCCCAGACTGTAGATGGCTGCAGGCGCATTTCAGGAACTGCCGTTGGGGAGCAGAGGACGCTGATCTCTTTGGAGTCAGATCACGGTGGATATTTGGCTCAGTAATGCTACGAGTGAGAAGGATCCAGGAATTGTAGATCACAATATGAGCCAATGGTGTGATACGGCGGCGAAAAAGGCAAATGCTGTTTTAGCCTGCATTAACAGAAGTACAGTCTCTAAATCGTGCAGGGTACTATTTCCTCTCTATTCGGCACTGATTACGCCTCATCTACAGCAGGGGTCCCCAACGAATCCCTGGTCCACGGCCCGGTCCACGGAGACAGATCTCCGCCCTCCTGCATGCATGCATGGTGGGCGTGTTGCACTTGCGGAAGGGTGTGCCGTGCTTGCAGGTGGGCGTGTTCTACAGTTCTCGAGTCCACACGTAGGGGAGGGAGCGTGACCGACCTCCAAACCACGAGCATGACGGACCCACCATGCCTGCCCGCACATGAAGCCCATACCCCCCAACTGGTCCATGGTTTCCCAAAAGGTTGGGGGCGCTGATCTGTGTCCAGTTCTGAACAATGCAGTTTAAGAACGATGTCAGCAAACCAGAGCAAGTTCAGAGGGTGGGCAACAAGGATGAGGTCTGAAAACAGAACATTTTAACGCTGCAGAAAAGCTATCTCAAGATAGCTGTCTCGTGTTGCGTGTGTGATTGAAAGGGTAGTGGGGGATGCCCAGGCGCTCGTACTTAACTTGGGCGACCCCTTTTTTGACCCCGATGTCTGCTCCCTAGGCCTTGCCGCACTGCAAATGGTGCACCAACTGCCCCGAGGGCGCCTGCATCGGTAGTGCCGGCAGCTGCACCTCCGAGAACGACTGCCGCATCAACCAGCGCGAGATCTTTGTGGCCAGCAACTGCTCGGAGATCTCATGCGAGGCCTCGGACTGCGCCAAATGCACGGCGTCCGGGAAGTGCATGTGGACTCGGCAGTTCAAGCGCACCGGTAAGGGTCTGGATGTGATTGGGGTGGGGATGGGTGGGAGGCCATCATGAGCACTGGCTTAGAAAAAGGAGAAGCAGAGGGGCTTTTGGGGAGGACGCTGGGCAGAGATCGGGGGGCTGAGAAGGCAGGGAGAGTGGAGAAACAAATGAGAATCTTTGTGGCTATCCAGACAGTCAATGAAGCACCCAAATGCTGGAGGCCTTCAAGAGAAAACTGGACCACCCCCTGTCCAATCTGCTTTGATCCGAATTCCTCTGCTGAGCAGGGGGTTGGACTGGATGGCCTTAAGAGGCCCCTTCCAACTCCTTAATAATGTGGTTCTAAGTCGTGTGAGGATGTTCTGTCGCTGAAGTTGTCCTGAGGTCCTTCCTGTCTCATTTCACTGAACATCCTGGCATATCGTGTCTTCTTGACCTTACATTTTCCTGCCCTTGTTGGCGCCCAGTCTCTAACCTCGTGGGACTTGCAAAGGCCTGGAGAATTCCAGGGACTGGAGTCCAAAATGTGAAGCGCGTGTAGGAAGCCGTGTCTCGTAGTGGGAACCCTTCTCATAAAAACACAACCACACCTGTTCCTAGGGGAGACCCGGCGCATCCTTAGCGTGCAGCCCACCTACGACTGGACTTGCTTCAGCCACTCGCTCCTCAACGTTTCCCCGATGCCGGTGGAGTCCTCGCCCCCGCTGGCCTGCCCCACGCCTTGCCACAACCACAGCACTTGTGGGGAATGCCTGAGCTCCAAGGGGGCCGACGGGGGATGGCAGCAGTGTGTCTGGAGCGTCAGTTTGCAACAGGTAACCCTGGTGGGCTGGGCTGGCCTGCTTGGATCCCTGATGGTCCCCTCCCCCTTTGGAGGTCGGTCACGCTCCCTCCCCTGCGCGGGAACTCGAGAACTGCAGAATTTGGAGGGCAGGGATAGTTCAGTGGTTGAGGTCTCAGGCTGCAGAGCCAGAGGTTGGGAGTTTGATTTCCCCCCCACTGGGCCTCCTTGACAAGGATTATTGATTCCCCCCCACTGGGCCTCCTTGACAAAGGATTAGGCTCAATGATCCATAGGGTCCCTTCCAGCTCTACAGTTCTAAGATGATGATGATATTTGTGGTCTCACTTTTTCCCCCAATGAGCTGAAGGCAATGCACATGACTCTCCTCCCCACATAAGCCTCACAACAACCTTGTGAGGCAGGCGTTGTTTTACTCCCTTGGCTTAAAAAAACGTAAGCGGTGAAATTTGCCCAGCATAATTTATTTAGTTGCAGAATTTAGATTTTGTGTGTATGTGTGTGTCAGTGAGAGAGAGAGAGAGAGAGAGAGAGAGAGAGAGGATAAATGAGAAGGATTCCTTCCAGGGCAGCCTTAACCCTCTCTCTCTCCTTCCTGTTTCATTCTGCAGTGCATGAGCCCCACTTACCTGCCCATGCGCTGCGCCGCTGGGATGTGTGGCCGGGTGCTGAGCGGATCGGAGAGCTGCACCCCCTCCTGCTCGCGTTTCCAGCAGTGCGCCGTCTGCATCCAGCAGCCTCGCTGCGGCTGGTGCAGCCTGCGGGGAGAGAACGGCCAGGGGCTCTGCCTGGAGGGCGGGCGGAGCGGTCCTCGCCACGGTGAGTGCCCCACAGGGGGCTGGGTCTGGGGGGTCCAAGTGGCCTTTCGGAAGAGTGGCCTAGCAAGAGCCTGGATGTGGAGCACAGCAGTGGGGTGTTGCCTGCGGCCAGACAGCACCTTAATGCCCTTGTTTCAGACCGCAGTTCTCTAGGAATATTGGTAAAGGCGAGTGTTGCATCTTCCTGCCTTAGTTTCTGATCTAAAGAACCTCCCTTTCTGGCCCATCGCTGTCCTTAGCCATCAGCTGGCCAGCGGTTCCTGGAGACCATGTTGCAGGGGGAAATGTCTCCTTCCCATGAGTAGTTGTGCTGAGGATCTTGACCCTCTTAAGATAAAAGAAAGGCAGTTCTGAAATGTGGGCCACAGACCTGTTTTATACCCCCGAGACTATGGCAGCCCCTGGAAAATGCAGAATAAGAACCCACTCTGGTTTCTATCAGGATTCTTTGAGCTTTGAGGAGGGAGGCAAGCACTCTGAACCCCACTTTATGACGAAGCAACCAGCATGAATTTGACCCAACTCCAGGAGGCAGTGGAAGACAGGAGGGCCTGGCGTGCTCTGGTCCATGGGGTCACGAAGAGTCGGACACGACTAAACGACGACAAAGCACTCTGAACCCCACTTTATGGGAGGGAGGCACATTTCTATAGGTTTTCAGGACCAGAAAATGATTTTCTTTTTCCCACTGGCGTTTGTTTTTTTTGCATCCGGGTGCTCCCAGGGGCTGCCAACACGCCTTTTGCATGGCCCACGGCCTGCCTTCCTCTCCTCTCTCGGATCTCACCGTCTCCTTGTCTTCTTCTCCTCCTCGTCCTCCTCGGCAGGGCTGCTGGCGTCCTGTGGCCCAAAGGCCAGCTGGGCCTTCATGTCGTGCCCTCCTGAGAACGAGTGCTTGAACGGGCACCACGACTGCAATGAGACCCAGAACTGCAACGACCTGCCCCAGGGTTACAAGTGCACGTGCAAAACGGGCTACACTCTGGACAAGTGAGTGCTTGCAAGGCAGCCGGTGGGAGCAAAGGCGAGGCGCACGCGGCGGAGTCACGCCGGCTGAACGGAGTCCTTGTGGCCAGAATTGGGGGAAATATGACATGG